ATTTTGCTAAATTGAGATGTATTGAGCTAATCAACTGTGCCAGAGATCAATTATTTCGACTGGCTATCGAATCATTTCCTATTCTAATCAAATCAAGATCTTCTAATCATCAAATCATTTTCTATCATTTTCTATCACCATTTTCTCAGCTAATGTAGATTCGAATTGAATTCAAATTGAGATTTCTGTAATTTTCTAGAAGAAATTCCAGCAAAACAGATGTCTTTTCAGTGGAGAGGAAAGGGCCAGCGGTGGATGGTTGCACAACGGAGAGCCACCCCAATGAATGGGAGTCGGTACCAATCAAAAGATCCTTTCCCATTCAAACGAATCACAGAGGAGAGGAGAGACACCATCGACATTTCCCTATGGCTCTTTGTATTCCATTCTTAGTAAAAATTAGTCACACATATAGAGAAACGAAGATGAGAGATGAGAATCGCTTTTTCTCTCATTCGTCACGCTTGTCCGGCTTCTTTTTGTTTGATTTCAAAGTGCCAAAATGCAAAAAATGATCTTCGGGACTAAAACTTATCAAAATCTATCTATTTTAAGACAAATCTTTTAAATTCTAAATATCTGTTATCAATGTTAAAAAAGTTTTAAAGATTTACTAATGATTGCATAGCTCTTATCTGTTTCTTGTAAGTCTTAACTGTCTTATAAGTCTTGTAAGTCTTAAATGACTACAATTAGCTAAGAGTTTTATGGTTTGATTACTAAAAAAAGTTACTATCAAAGCCAAAATAGGTTTCTGTTTTGAAAAAAAAGTGCTTAAAAACGTTTGTGTTTCATCGTTTTTGACTCCTCGACTTTAAAGCTTTGAAAAAATGAACTAACTCAAGCTTTTCAGAAATTCTTAAAGGATAGTTTATCGAACAGCTAATAAACGAACAGCTAATAAACGAACAGCTAATAAACGAACAGCTAATAAACGAACAGCTAATAAACGAACAGCTAATAAACGAACAGCTAATAAACGAACAGCTAATAAACGAACAGCTAATAAACGAACACAATGAATGATTGCGTAACGATCACAGTTTACAGAAATTCGATCAAACTTTGAATCAGTTTACAGAAGAGATCAAAGCAAAAAATCAATAATAATAATAATAATAATACTTTATTCAAACGATAAAGTGAAAGAAATCATAGAGAAATGCACAGTGATACTTAATCATACAATACATACTGAAATCAATAAGCCAATTACTTACGGCAAAGAGCCACTAGATCTAAAGCATCGATACGTTTCTTGAATATGAAAAGCGACTGAATTTCTCGTATGTCGTTTGGGAGCAAGTTCCATAATCTAGCGGCTAGCAATCAATAGCAAAAAAATAGACAGAATGATCTAAACGTTCTGTTAGAGTTAGCTGAGAAAGTTACACTAAAACTGGACCAAACTCAAGTAACAGAACTTTTAAGTAGGTGGAATAGAGAACATAACATGTATTCCATTCGTTTGGCTTTGAAACACTGAACCGATTGATTGCTTGATTCTATTTATGATTCGGTGATTCGATGCATCTTTTTAGACACTTTAGCTAAAAGAATTCTTTCTTCGTGTCAATAGATCGGTTCAGTAGATCGAGCATAAAAAGATATAGACAAAATTTGGTATATAGACAAAATTTAGAGAAATTCATTCAGCCAATTTCTTCGGTAAAGGTTTTTAGAGGTTTTCACTCTTTATTTTTTCAAAATCGGGTTAAAAACACGTGCTTTCGCTGCTTTTAAAAGCCTCGATTCACTCTTGAAAGATTCATTCATTTCCTCGTTTCATTTCCTTGAAAGTGATTGACACGGAAGATGAAAAAGATGAATGCTTTAAAAAAAGATGCAAAATTGACCAATAAACACTTTTTATTCGGCAAAAGCCATGGGTAAATTAGTGATTTTTTTTATTTCTCAAAAAGGAAACATGTAAATGAGCGAAAAGACTTTCTGGGAAGCTTAATCCAATAAATTATTAAAAGCTACGAACATTGAAAGATCTACGAACATCATTTTAGGGGTTTTTTAGGGCTCTTCATTTTGAATTACCTAATAGATGACCTGTCAAGTGGAGGACCCAAGAGAAAAGAGAAGAAAAGAGAACCCAATGGCCAAGAGAAAAGAGAATCCAATGGCCAAGAGAAAAGAGAACCCAATGGCCAAGAGAAAAGAGAACCCAATGGCCAAGAGAAAAGAGAAGAGTGAAAGAGAGAAAATCCCGATGATCGCTTACGCAATATTCCCCCCATTTCTCATTCAAAATTCATGCAAAAAAAAAGAGGCAAAAACTTCTTTTTTGCCTTCTCTTTGTCTAGGGCAATAAATTACCCAATTTTTGAAGGAATTAGAGAAATTCGGGGGCCAAGAATCGGCTATGTTTGTCAGAATTGCAATCATCGAGAGGAATTGTATGCATTTAGCCATAAAATGTATTCAAAACTCTGCTTTTAAGCATAAAGTTGCATTTTTCACAATGTGATAAAGAAAATCGCCTATTTTTAACTAATATTGCTTTTTCAATGGATTCAATTGGATAAAATTTATCTTTAAAGTGATCAAAGATATTTAAAGACATGAAAAATCGAAAAAATGTTGGATTTGTAAAGTTTCTGGAATTGCGAAAGTGCTTTTCGGGAACACGGTGCGCACGATGATCAATGCAACTGGTTAGTAGAATTTGAATGGACCCTTTAAACGGGCCCTTTAAATGGACCCTTTTAGATAGTTGCAATACAACTTCTTCGGACGATCGTAGTGAGTTAAGCACCTGCAATCAAATCTCTGAGTTTGTTGCATTTTTACGTTTTTAATTACCTTTTAATTTTAATTTTTAATTACTCAATACTGTAATCGAGCTAATCTAGACTGAATACCCAATCTACACCAAATACCGTAATCCAGCTAATGTAGACTGAATAAGTTATTCTAGACTGAATACCCAATTGCGAAATTGCGAAACCAATTGCGAAAACTATATTTTGACAAGAATTTAGGCACGGTTTTTAAATTAAAGCTTTATAAACCATAAATTTATCAATTTAAAAGTTTATAAAGCTTTTTCTCAACAAAGCTTTGAGTTTTAAACAAAGAAATTTATGAACAGAAGAAAATTCAATGTTATCCAATAAAGTGTGTTCCTTTTGAGTAATGCGTTTTCTAAAATGCATATCTTTTCTAAAACTACTGTTAGTTTGCATTGAATCAGATCGGATTTTCGTATGATTGATTAGGCTTTTATATTCATGAATTGATACTTAAATCGGGTGACTATGTAAACTAAATGTCAGTAGTTTATCGCATAAGTGCAGGCATTTTAGGAACACTTTAAATTTAGGCATTTCAACATTAAGATAAATAGAGAAAAAGTATCGAGATATATTTACTCGGACGTATGTGGAGGCGGGGACATCAAAGAAGATAGATAAAGAAGATAGGCCTTTTGATTTAATAAACTCATGGCCATGAATTGGGCCAACCACAGTGGAAAAGTTTATAACTCCGCTTTTCAAGAGAAGGGATCTCTAGTCAAAGCTCTAGAGAAGAAACCTCTAGTGTGGGCGCAAAAAGGGGTTCCTTTAGGGTAATGAGAACCCTAGGGGGGCCGAACCCCACACCCTCAGTTTGGAAGTGAGAACTTAACCAATACACCATGAGGGCCCCTGTATGACATCCAAAGTGCATTTTTCACGATGTGATAAAGAAAATCGCCTATTTTTAACTAATATTGCCTTTTCAATGGATTCAATTGGATAAAATTTATCTTTAAAGTGATCAAAGATATTTAAAAACATGAAAAATCAAAAGAATGTTGGATTTGTAAAGTTTCTGGAATTGCGAAAACTATATTTAGAATTTAGGCACGGTTTTTACAAGAATTTAGACACGTTTTTTAAATTAAAGCTTTATAAACCATAAATTTATAAATTTAAAAGTTTATAAAGCTTTTTCTCAACAAAACTTTGAGTTTTAAACAAAGAAATTTATGATTAGAAGAGCTTTTGCTTCTGATCTTTTGCTTCTGAAATTCTTCTGTGTCCTCCTGGTTATGCTCTCCCATTGCGATCAGAATTTCAAGCACAAATCAAGCTTTAAACCTAATCAAGATGTCGATTGCTAGATTCTAACAATATTTCTTGACGGGTACTTGTTACGGGTTAAAAAAGTTACTATCAAAGCCAAAATAGGTTTCTGTTTTGAAAAAAAGTGCTTAAAAACGTTTGTGTTTCATCGTTTTTGACTCCTCGACTTTAAAGCTTTAAAAAAATGAACTAACTCAAGCTTTTCAGAAATTCTTAAAGGACAATTTATAAATAAATAATAGGAGTTTCTGATAAAACGAACTATAGATTGATTGGTTTATTATTTGTTTTAAAATAACGTTTTAAAAAACGGACAAGACTTTCTGGACTTTCTGGATACAAAGAGCATTTATTGGCTTCGCATTAAGATGAGAAAAAGCATTAAGAGATAAACTAAAAAAACTAAAGTGTCAAGCTCTAATTTAGTTGAATTTTCGTATGATTAATACGTATGACATCCTGACATCCAAAGACATGAAAAATCGAAAGAATGTTGGATTTGTAAAGTTTCTGGAATTGCGAAAACTATATTTCACAAGAATTTAGGCAAGGTTTTTAAATTAAAGCTTTATAAACCATAAATTTATAAATTTAAAGGTTTATAAAGCTTTTTCTCAACAAAACTTTGAGTTTTAAACAAAGAAATTTATGATTAGAAGAGCTTTTGCTTCTGATCTTTTGCTTCTGAAATTCTTCTGTGTCCTCCTGGTTATGCTCTCCCATTGCGATCAGAATTTCAAGCACAAATCAAGCTTTAAACCTGATCAAGATGTCGATTGCTAGATTCTAACAATATTTCTTGACGGGTACTTGAGCTGTGTTCGGGGTGTTAACTGGAAAACGGACAGAGTGAAGGGGTTGATGAAGTGCCGAGAGAAGAGACCATCTGGGGAAATCCCCTTCACATATTGCTTCAACCTTATGTTAATCAATCGACATCGCTTTTCTTTTCTCTTCTACATTCCACTTGACAGTCACTCGACAATGTGTAACGTTTAGTGACTAAATGGGGAAAGGGATTTAATCTTGAAATAGAAAAATGTTCATCGAATACTGTTTCTCGCTGAGTAAACAGCTTTTCTGACGTTTCACGTTCGCAACTCAATAAAATGAATAACTTTAATCGATTCCCCGACTCCGAAAACCCACGGGTACAAATTTACAGCTAAATATCTTCTTTTGAAGCCATTTAAAAAGCAAGCAAGCAAAAAGCAAGAAAATCCTATATAAACGAGTGGCGAGGTGTTCTTTGTGCGGTAATCACTCGCGATCTGGCATCCCTGTCTAGTATAAGAGGCTTCCATTTTAGAAACAGTAAAGGGGAAAGAACGGTGAGCGACTTAGCTGATTACCGGTGTCTGTTTGTCTTTCTTGGTTACTTAAACAGCAGCTAAACTGGGAGCGATCCCGGGACTTCCTGTTCGTTCGAGTTCATTGAAATCGATCAAGCTTAACCACTTAAACAGATCTTGTTTATTAATCTCAAACTACAATAATCTAAAATTCCCCTTCTTCTGTGGAATATGGAAAGCACTTTCCACTAAACTCAATTCTCTAGTTTTTCTTGAACATTAAACGAAGAATGGAGAATTGAGTGTACCAAAAAGAATGTGTTCGCAATTTTAAAACACAAAGTACACCTAAATCTGCTCACTGGGTAAACCATAACTCGAATCCTACCGTACTCCTTTCACTAATTTCTCAGCTGTATAAACTCTCGCCTTTTTCTCTTAACAAAAACAACAATTGCGCCACAAAAGAAAGCGACAACTAGACTATTGCAAAAGACAAAAGAAACGGATGCACGGATGCCCTTTAAAGTATCAAAAAAAAGGGGAAACAGTATGACTCGGACAAAATGAATGGGATGCATGTCATATCCAGATATGGCCAAAGTACAAAAGGACCGTAAAAGTTGCGTAAGTGATAGAAATAGAAAAGACAAAGAACGGAACGACATTAGCACCCCTTTTTTTGGAATCGGCTCCCTTTCTGTGACTAAAATGAGCGCAATGTGATGACTGGGAGTCTCCCACGAGGTGTCAAAAGCACTTACCTGAATCGACTAGTGTCACAATATCGAATTAGGGTTAGGCTTTAAAACTTGAGAAGTTGGCACATCTAGAAATTGATCTAGAAATTGATTTGTAGAAGTTGTTTAAGAACTCAGAGGTTTAATGCTATTGACTAGCTTTTTTGAATTACCTAACTAGGTAACTAGTTTTCTTCAATTCACTAGCTTTTCAATAAATGTATTTTTTTTATGGGTATTTAATGAAAGTGAGAAGGAAAATTTCATTTTTCGCAAACTTTTCTGGCTGATGGGTCGGTTCTTTTGAGGTGCTAGCAAAAGTGCCAAATTATTTGCGCCAATTTTCGCGCCACCTATCATTTGCGCCAAATTTGCGCTTTTCAACACGGGTTCCAACCAACTCTGATTGACCATTTATATTCTTTTTGAGTTTTTGCTCGCTATTTTGCCGCCTTCACCGGATCTGAAAATGGCATAATATCGATATAGAGAGTAAAAAGCCCAATCGGTGATACAAAAATGACTGCTTTTGCGGTCTATTTACCGTAAATACTGTAATAGTACCCCACCCCCATAATGACGGTGCGGAGTGTTGCGTAGTCTAGCTTTGAACGAGTTTTTCTCGACACTGGTTTATGTTACAATGCGCGCTTAGGTATCAAAAAATAGCCCTGAATGCTATTTTTGATACCAAAACAAATATAAAGTCAAATTTCAGCTCTTCCGTTGCGGAGATGGATTCGCTCCAGGAAAACGCCTAGTTCATCTCGCCGTCATTCCAAATCCACAAAGTCGTTATTGCTGCCCAATTTGTTAGTCGATCAACAATTGCAGTCGACTTTGTTACCAGTTTTTCCACCAGTTTTTACCGCTAGCTTTTGAATCTATTTAGCCATGTAAACTGGCTATTTAGCTAGTTTACAAACCGTAAATACTGTAATAGTACCCCACGCCCATAATGACGGTGCAGAGTGTTGCGTAGTCTAGCTTTGAAGGCGTTTTTCTCGACACTGGTTTATGCTACAATGCGCGCTTAGGTATCAAAAAATAGCTGAAATTCAGGGCTATTTTTTGATACCAAAGACGCATTTTTTGAAAGTACGGGCGCTTTGAAAAAAATGAAATACTAAAAAACTTTTGCGACTACGTGACTGTACGAGGGCGGTGGGGTACTATTACAGTATTTACGGTATGTCAAATTTAATTATTTACTTAACTAGCTTTATTTTAAGCGCATTCGATTCGTTTTCTCTTTTAATCGGTTAATTTCGCTCTTAACATTTCTTATTTTAGGCCATTTGATGCTCAACGACCAGTCAGAAAAAATAAAAAGCGACGTTGTGAAAAAGTTGTCATTTATTGACAAGCTTACTTTTGCGTCTTTATCAAAGGAAAACGAGTATGTTTCAACTTTTTATGTACTTTATGAAAGTCTTTGCGGATTTGTACAACTTTTGAAAAGTATTTGGTAAAATTGTCGAAACTACGTCGAATTTTTAGACCTTACTCTTGAGGAGCTTGCTAATGGTGGCATTAGCAAGCTCCTCAAGAGTAAGGTCTAAAAATTCAAAGCCCCATTACCATGTTATAATAAACATTGTTTGTTAGAGTGAATCATAAAATATCTTTTATTTAGAAAACTCGTCAGTAGAATCGGCGTGCTCCCTAAGGTTGTCGACATCTTGATTCGGGCCGAATCGGTTGTTATCGATGATTCATCAGCGGTGATTTTTATTTTTCAAGATGAATAGATATGGATAGATAATTTGTGCTTTGACACCCTCTGTAGATGTTTGAATTCTTTCAGCAATCACGCTGATTTTGCTAAACCTCGAAAGTTTTATGGCTGTAAAACCTGGAACTAAACTAGAGTTCTTAAACTAACAAATTTAATTACTTTCTTTTTAGTTTTACGTGGAGAATTATTTCATCGTCATCAGTACGGAGGAAGACAAAATGGTGATTGAAGGTGATCAACTCTACCATCTACATAGCGGGTATGAGTTATTTTAGTTTAAATTAGTACTTAATGACTTATGAATCTTATTAAAGAATACTATAGAGTACTCTGCTTTGAAATCACTTAAAAGATTAGCTAGATGGTATGTCTAAATTAGACAGACAATGTATTTGAGAAACGTTAAGCTTTTAGTCTACACTGCTGATTAATAAGCTTTAGAGCGCGATATCAGTTGCCGTACAAGTTCCTTCCGCACTTCTTCAGCATGGTCAATGAAATCGGACATTTGCGCTTTGAGCTCGGTCGCCTTGATGTGGGGGATAGTCTTTTCGAAAGATGACGAAAGATTTCTTTTTTCAGATTGACTACGTTGACTCAAGCTTGCGAGACAGACTATGGAAGGAATACATGAAGAACACGAAGAGTGATCTCCAAGAAATTTTGCCTGCAGGGCAGCACCGCGTGCTGCAAGATGTGAGTTTATTCCAAGTACATTATGTGGTAAAGTGAACTTTTAGATTTCAAAGTGCGTCCAAAATGGAACATCGCTGCGACATTGTACGTTCGTCGCTGAGTCATTTGAGTTGATCAAACATTTTTTCAACGTATCGAATACTTTTACGATGGAGAACTTGCACATAAATGTTGTAAGTTGATTTTGATTCGAATGTTTAACTAAAGATTGATTTTTGAACTTAAATCTGCTTTAAGCTTTATCTAAACACGCTCGTACCTTTAATATTTCTCCTTAGCCCGACATGCCTGAATCTTTGAACTTTTTCAACACTCCAAGGGTTTGTGTATTTGGTTTAGACCTTGAAATGGATCATATTTAGTTTCAAAATCTCAGCTCGGCCGAGTTATTCAAGTCTCCTTTATTCTCCATCGATCTTTTCTGGGCGAAAAAGTTTGACAAAATATCGCTACACACAACTTTGCCGGAATTTTTTGACGCGTTTGCAGAAGTGAGTTTTTACAATTTAATATAACTATTTAGCATTAAGTGGGTAATGTGCTGATAGACTTGAGCTAAAATGAAATGGTAGGCAGCCGCTATGCTAAATAAACTTTAAAAGCTTTCATATTTCTTTTAAGGTATTCATCGAGGAATTTGCGCTGAGGGATCGTTTTTTCGGACAACTCGTTTTTATTCAACATGCGACAAGAGACGAGAAAGACCGGATTAGAGTTTGTTTATTAAGCATTGGGGTGTAATTAAATTCATTTAGAACCGCATCGAGAAGATTCGTGGCATTAAAAGCATAGATTCGAGCGAGGAATTCGAGGCGTATTCACAGATCGTTGACCCGAATGCATACGGACATCAAACCGAATTTCAGGTAAAGACTTTGAGTTAATAACCCTTAGCAAACGAATAGTAAGCGCTAAACAGTGGTATAGAATTGATCAGATATAAAACTGTGTACTGATATTACTTAGTATGGATTCTGCAGCCTGAGTCATCTCAACAAGGAGTGGCGAGCCGATCCAATTGCAACACCGATTCCGGATAGCGAATTTGCTCCACGATATGCGGCAAGGCATGCCAAATTCTACAAGTGGAAGATAAACGATAAGAAAGGTAACTTTTTAAAACTAGGTATTACTATGCTGATAAACCTAGAGATCACATAATTCACGATCCCTCAAACCACTTGAGTTATTTGAGTTACAACATAGCTACTTTTAAACTTACATTTACTAAATCATCAGGTTTACTCGACTTTGTGACTGAACTATTGTATAACATAGATAAACGTTTTGTTTTTCAGAAGCAGCATGTGGATTTTTCGATTGCTTCATTCACCGATCGTACGCGGGCGTGCTGGTCTTCTTGGTTGCAGTATTTGATTGTCAAGTAAATAAAAACTAAAAAATTTCACGTTGACGAGTTTATTTTATTTTTTTTCTAAGAATGTTTTGTGCTTTAATTTTTTTGTTATTCACCTGTTTGCAATCGTCTGTTAATTTTTTGTTATCTGAGATAAAGTAAAGTTTTCAATTTATTTGTACAAAATACCTTCATCAATACACTGGAAGAGTGAAAAGTGTGAAATGAAGTAAAAAAAGTGGTAAAGGTGATATTACGCCTGGTTTCCTCTCCAATCTTTTATCCGGGTGGAGATGCTTTCTCCTTAATTGATCGTGATATCTGATCACAATCGACAAACTTTTTCCCAAATTGACGTGCAATCTGACCAATCAACTTGAAAACAATAGCTTTATTCTATTTACAAGTGTACACTGTGGTGTAAAAGTCTTGTCCCACTTACTTTTCTGAAACATTTTGCACAATATTCTAAAAATTCTCGAAAAAAATTTTTAAGTAAAAGGGTTTTTCTGAACCCTAAGTTTTCGAAAAATTTTAGAATTTTGACATAATGTTTCGGAAAAGTAAGTGGGACAAGACTTTTGCACCACAGTGTATCTCTTTCGTATCAATGAAAAAAAGACGCGAAATTCGGGGGTGGGACAAATGCGACCTTTTTTTTGCGCATCTGGACATTTGCGCACCTTTTTTTTGCTGGAAAAGGCCTTAGGCAAGGCCGTAGAGCTTCGAAAATATTTCCATATACGGGAATCGTATGCGTAGATTCCGAATTTCGACAAATCAGACCTCGCTGACACGTCAAATTTGGGCTAAAAGGCAAAAACTACGCAACTTAACGCTTTTCCGCAGTTCTATTAGAGTTTTTATGGTCGTGCGAAGTTGCGTCGTAACCCCCGAACGATCTGTCCGGCTCATGTCACGCCAAATGAGAATTTCTTAGCCTAGAAGCTAAGGCGTGTGCTAGCCACATCGAACAGTTGACTCGTTAAAGAAAGCGCTCCTTAAAGCATGGGATGAGCTTGGTGTTGCCTACTTGCGTGCCACAGTTGACGCCTTCGTCAAATGCTTGATGCTTGATTCTATTAGAGTTTTTACGGTGATGACGCACTCTGTACTGACAGTACTGGGAATAGGGAATAGGCTGCAGAAGACTGGGCTCTGCCAAAAGTCAACCTCATCGTCGAAAAGAAATTCCTCACACGAGGCAAATGAAGAGGAGAGAAGAGAATCATCTCGTAGGCAACTGCAAAGTACGAGCGGATGGCTCTGTCATTTGTGCATCGCTTTTCTTAAATAATAAATCGCTTTGCTTTAAATAATTTCATCAAAAAGTTTATTTTCCATGCCAGCAAACGCCACCTATTCTATTTTTAGCCCAGCAAGGCGAATTCCGCCAGACTCCCGTCCTGTACATCTAAAAACATCTTGTACAAATTTCTCTTCTATAAACAACGATTTCTTACCACAAGACAAAGGGAATCATCAGCGAAAAACTCGGAAAAGCATAACAAAAAACCGATATAATTATGGTATTGTTTGTTTTCATTGAAGTCCACGCATTTGACGTGATTCCCATCCTGCCATACACCGGTAGCTCCCGACGGTCCAACGCTTTTATCATACTAGTTGCATTGATGCAATAACCTTTTTGGTAAAATAACTCACACGCAGTCCAATCCAATAGTAGGCTTCAAAACTCCCTGGATCAACGTCTTCAATGAAATCTAAAAATCTTTCAATATGTTTAACCGTTTAGTGAAAATGGCCGAGAGAGAAACACAGCTTTTTTTGAAGTTAAGTTAAGTTTTGAAGCTAATAGTATTGACCTTTTGAAAACAAAAAAGGTTTCAAATTGCTTCAAAGCAAAGCAACTTTCAAATTGCTAGCAACTTTCGAACGAGACTGTTTCCGAACGGGAGCAACTTTAAAATATCGTTAGCCATGTCTATGTCTAAAATATCGTTAGCCCAACCCAATCGAAGATGAGTCTTGAAACTGTAAACAACTTAGCTTTAACAATATGTTGCGTCTCCTCGTTGTAGATCGAAATAAGTTGGCCGCCTGTGATGTGGCAAGTATTCGCTACAGAGTCCCAACTTCCGTCCCAAGAACCGCTTTCCGTATTTCCATAGACAAACTATAAACTATAAACTATAAACTAAACTATAAACTAAACTATAAACTATAAACTTTTAACTTTAACCTTTAACTTTAAACTTCACTGCCTTTTTTTGCTTTCACTATTAAACTGTACCGATTGCTCATCGATTTTTAGTATAAGCCAAACGTGAGACAATACGAAGCAGTGAAACAGCGACTCACCGATAGACACAATCCTTGAAAAAGAGAGCCTCCATTCGGGCATGGCTGAAAAATGGACATCGAAACTATTGCTAGCAGGGTTTTTCCTTTGCGTCAAACAATTTTAGGAGACCGTCTCTATTTCTATATTTCTTTTCTGTTCAAAATCAATCAAAAACAAGGAACACCACGAGTAAACCAATAAAGCAAAAATTTTATTTCTAGAACATTTAGTCACAGAATTGTTAAAAATCGAAGCTCTGAAAGCGTTTTGCATTCTGAATACTACATCTCTCTCATAAAAGTATGATAGGATAGAGTCACATACGTTTGGTGTTGTGGTTATCGTTGTGGTTGATGTTGTGGTTGATGTGGTTGATGTGGTTGCGTTTGGTGTTGAGGTTGAGGTTGAGGTTGCTGTGATTGATGTGGTTGCGTTTGGCGTTGAGGTTGAGGTTGAGGTTGATGTGGTGGTTGATGTGGTTGCGTTTGGTGTTGAGGTTGTGGTTGGTGTGGTTGCGTTTGGTGTTGAGGTTGTGGTTGATGTGGTTGCGTTTGGTGTTGAGGTTGAGGTTGAGGTTGAGGTTGAGGTTGTTGGAATTGTTGTGGTTGTTGTTGTTATTGGTGCTGGGTAATCGTGATGACCAAATTCCCTCTTTTCGTAAACGTTCTTTGGTGAATGACCGTGAATCATTTTGAAAAGAAAGCATAAAAAAAGTAAATCTATTGGCGATTTCATTTTTAGGAATTTAAACGAAAACGATTGAGAAATATAGACGTTTGATAAACAATATAGCAATATATAAGCTTGATGAATAATAGAGCAATATAGACGTTTGATCAACAATAAAGCAATATAGAGGAAAACAATTGATGAATCGAGAAAAGAAAGGCGCTGGACTGATCGGAATGTAATCAGTGATGTGCCTTTGGTTTTTCGGGAACTCCAAAGTGCAATTCGATTAATTGTCCGACTTGAGAGTGACTTGAGAGCGGTTAAACTTGCATTAACCGAATAAATTTGCATAACTGCTTTTTTTTAGTCAATGATTCAATGAGTCAGTCAATGATCTTAATGATCGGTTAATGGCTGTTACACTCGGTTAAAGCGACGGTTAAACAAATTGATTTATGCAAATTTGCAATACATATTGTTGCAGCGAATACATATTGTTGCAGCGAATACATATTGTTGCATAAGTGACAACGATTAGGTGAATGAGATAGGCCGAATAGATGAGACGACCAAGATGGGTCCAGCCAGGCCACGACATGAATGAGTTGAGAAGTCCTGGAATAATGATGTTACCTCTCACTAGGAATATTTCAACCGGAATGTTGAAACCGTTTGCTAAAAGTGGACATTCTGTTCCTCTAAATCGTGACTCTTTTTTTGGGGTAGGCTAATTTCCGCAATTTTATTTGCGCAACTCGCCATAACTTTCTTCTAAGTGCACCAATCTTTATGATTTTGTTGTCATTTTGTAGATCTCAACAAGTGCGACAAAATGGAACTAAAAGCATAAAGATTGGTCCACTTAGAAGAAAGTTATGGCGAGTTGCGCAAATGACCCTGTTGCGCAAAAAAAATTGTGGAAATTAGCTTTCCCCAATTTTTTTATCATTAATGCTTTTTTCATTTTTTTCCCTACTTCTTTTCTTTTAAATTAGTTCTTTATCAAATAACATTTTTTTTTAGATTAACTCTTCACTATGAACAACAGAAATCAGTAACAACATGTGGAACAACATCAAATGGATAACGAGGACAGTTTTTTTCTGCAAACTTTCAAACTTTTTTAGCTTTCGTTTCTTTCTTCTTTTCTAAAAAGCAATTAACTCCGATAATTTTTAAAAAAAGAAGAAAGAAACAAAAGCTAAAAAGGAAAAGCCAAAAGAAATCAAACTGCTGTGCGCGTGGCGAATTGCCACTGCTCTGCAGTTAGTCAAAATTCAATACACAAGTTAAAATTCAAAGTTGATGGATAAACTACCGTAATCAGCCACTAGACGATATTCAGTTATCCATTTGTCGTAGCTTGTCGACTTAAAAACCCATTATTCAAGCTTTGTTTTGAGTCAGTTGTGGGCTCCATTGGAACCATATTGGAACCATATTGGAACCATATTGGAATCATATTGGATGGAACCTTATTCGAACCACATTGGAACCACATTGGAACCATATTGGAACCATATTGGAATCATATTGGAGGAACCTTATTCGAACCATATTGGAACCATATTGGAAGGAACATTATTCGAACCACATTGGAACCATATTGGAACCATATTGGAGGAACCTTATTCGAACCATATTGGAACCATATTGGAACCATATTGGAACCATATTGGAACCATATTGGAACCTTATTGGAACCATATTGGAACCATATTGGAACCATATTGGAACCATATTGGAGGAACCTTATTCGAACCATATTGGAACCATATTGGAACCATATTGGAACCATATTGGAAGGAACCTTATTCGAACCACATTGGAACCATATTGGAGGAACCATATTGGAACCATATTGGAACCATATTGGAACCATATTGGAACCATATTGGAACCATATTGGAACCATATTGGAACCATATTGGAAGGAACCTTATTCGAACCATATTCGAACCATATTGGAACCATATTGGAACGATTACTATTTAATAAGGGAAAGTTTTGGTAAATTGTGCGTTTTCAAGACATATACCATTGAACCACACCGAGACACGGTCTCACAAGAAATTATAAAGATCAAAGTATAAATATATTTCTTACAATGCGAAAATTTGTTAAAACAACGTTTTACCAAATTTTCGTCGTTCAGTTCGACCGTTCGATCAAGCTTTTAAAGAAAAATTATAAAATTTAAAATTTGAATGCCACATTCTATTATCGTTGTGAAATCATGCGAGACACAAAAATCGAACTATTTATTTGGCGAAAAGTATAAATAATTTGTTTCATTGAAAGCTCGTCGTGAATCTCTTCTTTTGCTTGTCACCTTGGCACCACAATGTTGTCATAAGGCTTTGATCTGGAGATTTTACTATATTTGAAAATCTTTTTGCTTTCCCCTTACCTAACCGAACATTGTTTTCTCAAAATGCAATAGGCAACGATTCCCCAAATGACAATGGCCAAAATGATGACGAGAACCCACAAAGCCCACCAAGCTCGCCGATAGGCGCCAAGCTGAAAAATTGTTTTAAAAATTGAAAGATTTAAATCAGCACTGCGACTTTGGAAATACTGCCAGCCGTATTCGGCTTTTTAGATTGATTTAGCAAAACTAATAAGGGAATGATGCTAGATCGAAGTTGAGAATCGCTTCGTGACCGAGTGCATCTCATAGAATCGGCTATGCTGATTCTGAAACTGTAAAATTTACCTGCAAACCACCCACGCAAACGCAGGGAATCTGGCATAGAAAATTCCCGTCAATCTCCGACTCTTCATGCTCTTCTATGAGATGCACTCGGTCACGAAGCGATTCTCAACTTCGATCTAGCGTCATTCCCTTATTAGTTTTGCTAAATTAATCTAAAAAGCCGAATAAGGCTGGCAGTATTTCCAAAGTCTCAGTGCTGATCTCATAGAATCGGCTATGCTGATTCGATGAGTGCAATGATGAGTCAATGATCTTAATGATCGGTTAATGGCTTTTACTTTGAAAATACTGCCAGCCGTATTCGACTTTTTAGATTAACTTAGCAAAACTAATAAGGGAATAACGCTAGATCGAAGTTGAGAATCGCTTCGTGACCGAGTGCATCTCATAGAAGAGCAGGAAGAGTCAGAAATTGACGGGAATTTTCTATGCCAGATTCCTTGCGATTGCGTGGGTGGTTTGCAGCTAATTTTTACAGATTCAGAATCAGCATAGCCGATTTTATGAGACGCACTCGGTCACGAAGCGATTCTCAACTTCGAGCTAGCGTCATTCCCTTGTAAGCTCATCGAAAAGCTCCTATTTGTCTCCTGATTTCACCTCTTACCTGAACTCTTTCCTCATTCGTCAAATCGGCATCGGGATCGACGACTTGATCTCCTTCTCTTGGCACATATTTTGATATCAATTCAGCTTCAATGTTCCAGAATTTCGGTTTCGGCCAATGGAGATCCCCCTTGTGAACTCTGCAAATTGGATCCTTTCGTTGATAAAGCAGATTGCAATTTTCCTAGGCAGATAAAGATTGAGAGGTCTTGAGAGAACACAAGAGTCTTGCGGGAACACAAGAGTCTTGCGAGAACACAAGAGGCTTGCTTTTGGACTAAAGATAAACTCTAGAAAATGAAAATGAAAACTCACACAGGAGGCACATTGATTGCCACGTATTCTCCGCTTTCATTTGTAAATGCTGGAAAAGCGAATCGTTTTGTGGATGGATCGCCGGTTTTCACAAAATTCGTCATCATATTCGTCAACATTGCCGACATTGTCTCGTCTTTTTTCGTGAATGGTTTAATCTAGAAATTTTCAAATTTAAAACCAAATTTGATTTACCTTACCTCGAAATTGCTGCTGTAGCCTCTCGAGAAAATGTAGGCGTGATCAAGACCATGAAATGCTTGCAAGCGTCGTTCTAAACTATCCAGTTTCTATGTAGAAACATAGAAACTCTATGAAACTCCGGTTTGGCTTATTTTTCGAAGTCTTTTTTGCTCAACTTTCTAAACACAACCTCTCTGGCATAACTATTGCTGAAAGAATAGAGAACCAGGAAGGATTTTTCAGATTTAGTTTCAGCACAAAGTACAGGGTAACCCATAATTATAGGTACAGTGGCTTAATATCTATTATTATTAACTATTTCGATCTCCTTAAAGCTGTAACTTTGGGTACAAAAGCGTAGAAAAGAAACGCCCCGCTGCCTTTGCCATTGGCAATCTAACTTTGAGCTCGGATATCTTGGCGTTGAGCTACTCAATTTCAATGCTTTTGGTATCATTAGATTCACCAAGTCTTTCTCTATCGATTGATATAAAAACTCTTTCAATTGAACAGCTCAACACGAAGATATTTGAGGTTAAAATTCGATTGCCAATGGCAAAGGGGCGGGGCGGTGGGAGACCTTTTATACGCGCCCTGCCCCTTTTCCCATTAGCAATCCAACTTTGAGCTCAAATATCTTCGTGTTTAGCTGTTCAATTGAAATAGTTTTTGTACCGATCGACAGAGAAAGACTTGGCGCATCTAATGATACCGAAAATATTAGAATTGAACAGTCCAACACCAAGATATTTCAGCAATTATTTATGTTCAAAATTTCGTCACAAAAGGCTCTTGAGCATATAGAATCCTATAATTCTAAGCTCTAAGTTCTATAGAATTACTAGTTTCGAGTTTCTGAGTAAAGTATTGAAGTAAAGTGTTGAAAATAAGCAGTAAATTCTACCACAAGAGGTTTCTGAAGTGCCCGTAATTCTTGAACCCTACTTGAACTTGAACGTAGGGCCACCCTGTAACACTTAACACGTACAATACATCCACACCCATTTATGGGCCACCTATGTAACAAATTTAACCCCAACCTCCTCCATCCTTTCGCTCTATCTTGATCGGATCTTTGCCAAATAGGTGGAAGGTTTTCATCTCCTGAAACAAAGTGAGACTTAAAAAGTTCAAAACTAGGCCAGCTAGTACTTCTTCGTAGATCGGCGACTCAGGAACATAGTCGAACGAATACGCATAGACGGGAAGACCGTTGCTTGCGTATGCGTCGATCTCTCTTTGACACGGGGAAACGAACTCAATGTCGGCTTCCATCTGGAAATACAAAACGGAGATATTGGGGTATTGAACTTGCACTTGGTATTGAGTTTAAAATTAGGCATTATGACTAACCTACAATCTACACTATAAGATTTTTTTTTGTTGTTCTTTCGTGGCTCTGAATACCCCTAGGAATGAATATCTAGGCACATAAATGGTTCAAATGCAAACAGACGATATTCAGTGCGTTTTGATGACATTTCTCAAGGATTTTTGCACTTAAATGGCGTAAAACATGTGAAATTTTGTTTATTAACATAATAAATTTAATCTTAACAATATTTTGTTAAGATTAGCCTTAGTCTAATGCCTAAGCTTAAGCCTAAGCCTTAGCCCAATCGTTTTGATTTTTTTGAACGTATGCTCCAGCGCAGATGCTTCTTTGAAGAGCTAGGTGGCTCTGATCAGGATGGTTTGGCTCTGATCAGGATCAGGAAGTGTAGAAATGTTCTTCAGATTTTCAGCTTCAAAATGCTATATAATAAGTCTAAGTTTCGATCTGGGTTTTAGCTGAAAAATGGAGTTTTGATGGATGGAGCTTGATGCGATGGATGGAGCTTGATGGAAAAATGGAGTTCGGGAGCTTTTTGATCATGTAGTCATGCTTTTTGATCATCATGTTGGCTATTCTATTTTTGTAAACCCTATTCAAATCAACTTAAGATGCTTGAAAGAATGCTATTAAAGAATGAGCCAAAATCTAGCTCAAAATCAACATTGAGAACTGATTCTTGAATCGATTACGCAAAGCTTACATTTTGCAGCGCTGCCACCACTCGTCCTGTCTCAAAAGTGTTCGATGGATCATCCAAATAACGAACAAATGAAGCATTGGCGATCAATTGAAGAGTGGCATTCGAGAGACGATCCTAGACTCGAGAAATTTCTTACTTTTTACAATTTTTGTCGCTTCTTTGGCTTCTTTGTCACTTTAGAGTCACTTTTCGTAAGATTTAAAACCCCACATTAGCCCCAACATGAAACGAGTTCTCAATGATCCGGTAAACAGCTTGTTCCACATCTTTTCGCTCAAGTATATTGTTTTTCGGTAAGCTGTAGAATTGCGCTAAAGAATCTAACTTGATTTCGATTATATGAAAAACTCAACGCTTTTTGTGAGCCCATTCCTGCTTGGCGACACCAGTCATGATCGGGATTCGGGCGTTTGACAAGAGATCTCCGCCAGCTGCCGGGATCAGATCTCCATCGACAACCAGTTTCGAGACTCCGAGCTGGAATTTGTTTCTACAGAACGACCTACCGTAAATACTGTAATAGTACCCCACCGCCCCCTCGCGCGTAACTCGCCTAATAGCGGGTGTTTCTGGCCAGCCGCCACTCGTCGTCGTGGCGCAGTCGGGAGCGCGCTGGTCTGCGGCCTGGCCAAACGGCCCACAGGACTCGGGTTCAACTCCCGGTAGTGCCAGTTGGCTTTTTTGATTTTATTATTTGAAATGGTGCAAGCTACAATATATTTTAAGGTTTACTAAAGAAGTTTTAGCTTTATTGGTCAAAAGTGGATCGAGAAAATGCACGTACAGACGGACAAACGGACGTACAGACGGACAAAGGGACGGAGAGACAGACAAACGGATGGACAGACAAACGGACGGACGGACAGACAAACGGACGGAGAGACGGACGGACGGACAGACAAACGGACGGACAGACAGACAAACGGACAGACAAACGGACGGACAGACAGACAAACGGACAGACAAACGGACAGACAAACGGACGGACAGACAGACAAACGGACAGACAAACGGACGGACAGACAGACAAACGGACAGACAAACGGACGGACAGACAGACAAACGGACAGACAAACGGACAGACAAACGGACGGACAGACGCTGCTCTTTTATTTAATTGATAACCCCACCTCAATTGCCAAAGCTTTTCTTAGAAGAGAAGAGGTCAAGTTGAGCTCTTTTCTCATGCATTCAAGAAGTTCACCAGCTTTGAGATCATGCTGAAACTTTATGATTCTTTTTTTTTAATCTTTTACTCAAGTTCGCGATTTGCAAGAGTTTCTTTTACAATCTTTCAAATGTTTTTCCGTATTTCGAAGCGATTCTATGCAATAAAACCGCTCAAATTTTCCTTTTTTCCTCAAACTCACATTTTTCAGACAATCCACATGTTGATCCTGATAATTGCAGTGCTTTGCTTTGATCTCATCTTTCGTATAATCCTCGCCAACGATCTCTGCCGCATCCTCTTCACTAATCGCTTTCTCACACCTAAAAATTCCTATATAATTTAGGGATTAAAAAAAAAAAAAGAAAAAAAACGACTCATGCACAGGTTGACACATTTGCTAGCTTCGGGAAAACGTTTGGCATTCAACTCTAAAGGATAGACAACATTCCAGAAAGGATCTCTAAAATCGCTAAGAGGTAATTTTTTGCGGCATTCACTTTCGGGTTTTCTCATTCCTACTTTACTTGTGCATGCGTCTGAGAGCTTTGAAGAGATTTTTGAATTGGACACTCCTCAGATAGGTGGCCATATTCTCAACACTCCAATGTGGAGTGCCGTGCCGGTGGAGAGCCCAACCAGCGACACTGCTGCCCGACATGATGATCGCTTGATGAACGAGATCTGAAAGACAGAATGATTTGACAAAGAACAAAGAAGAATGGTTTCAATAAGGTTTAGCAGAATGGCATAGAATGGTTTCAATTTTTGAGTTGAACAAGTCGATCGTTTTATCGGTTGAGGCTAGGGAGTACAAACCAACTCGCATGAGTTGGACAAGTCGGTCGGCGCTGGGATTTGAATGCGAGACCTCCCGCTTGCCGATAGATATCTACCAATGAGCTACACTGACACGTGTCCCATTGCTGTCAGGGAAAATGCCTTACTTTGTCTTTCAAGTGAACAAGCTTTGTCCAAAACAAGCTTTGTCCAAAACAAGCTTTGTTCAAAACAAGCTTCAAGTTTTATCTGAATCTGTTGAAGCTGTTGAAGTATGTTTGGGAAACTTATGCAATGCAAGAATGAGATTCGAAACTGCGGCGTAAAGTGGTATAGGCTTGGTGGACGCATTCACTATCGACTAGACCATCAGGGTGCTCACTATCCAGACCATCGCAAGGAAGAGCGGTGGAAGCCACTTAACCTCACCCGTTTCCCGAATACATGTCCAAACTTTGCAACGTCCAAACTGCGGTGAAAAGTGGTATAGGCTTGGTGGATGCATTCACTATTCACTAGACCACCAGGGTGCCGGCAAGGAAGAGCTGGAAGCCACTTAACCTCACCCGTTTCCCGAATACATGTCCAAACTGCGGTGAAAAGTGGTATAGGCTTGGTGAATGCATTCACTATCGCCTAGACCACCAGGGTGCCGGCAAGGAAGAGCGGTGGAAGCCACTTAACCTCACCCGTTTCCCGAATACATGTCCAAACTTTGCAACGTCCAAACTGCGGTGAAAAGTGCTATAGGCTTGGTGGACGCATTCACTATTCACTAGAGCACCAAGGTGCTCACTATCCATTAGATCATCGCAAGGAAGAGCAGTGGAGGCCACTTAACCTCGCGCGCTCGTTTCCCGAATACATGTCCAAACTTGCAACGGGTTTTTCTCGAAAACTAGGGCTTCTTGGCAAAATCTAAAAGCACCATCGTGATCACCGTACTCGACTTGTGTTTACACCACATTTTGGTGCCGAAATGTCGCGGTTACCATTCCCTTGTTAGTCATCTCTCTCTAAACCAAGAAACCCAACTATAATCGCTCCAACAGCTCTAAAGTGTTCAAAGAAAAGCTAAACATAGAGCTAGATAGATGAACGATTTGTTTAACGATGCGATTGTTTTAAAGTATTGTACCAACTCACTTGTTGTCTTTGGACTTAAAGCAAGCACTGATGCAGCAGCAGCTCCTGCACTCTCACCCATCACCGTCACTCGAGTCGGATCACCGTTGAACTGTTTGATATTTGCTTGAATCCATTGCAATGCCATCACCTGCAAAACCTCAAACAATGTCCCTTTTTACTGTTTACCATGTCCCAGAGACCAAAGTTCCCCTCCATCTTCTCTCCATCGTACATATTGATGAAGCCTAAAGCTCTGGATTTTGTTCCTGTCTTCTGAAATTACCTAATGGTCCCAATCTGTAGTTGATTGTGACCAAAGTGACTCCTTTGAAGACGATATTTTTGGCCACTGTTTCCATGTCGATTCCCGTGTCGCCAGAGCCGGCTAGGAATGAGCCACCATGGATCCAAACAAGTATTGGATAGAGGTTTGACTCGTCTTCCATATCCTGAAGCAAGATTAGGGATTTTGATTGTAAACCTGGGTAGAAATCGGCATTACAAACTACAAACTCCGAACGTAAACTCCAAACACTTCTAACTTGCTTCAAAACTGCCGGATTGACACGATCTATAGCTCAAAAGATAGAGAAATCTTAAGAGCTTTCGAATGGACTAAAGCAAATTGAAAATAGTAATGCTAAAGAAAATGACAGTGATTTGTAGTCCTGACTTGAAACAGACAGTCAAAGCGAAGTCGAAGCTACAAACTGGTTATCGGAAAAGCAAAGCAATCACGGTGTTTTGCCAAGAATTGCGGGCCCGCAGTTTTCAATTCACCAACCCAATACTATTACTTTCTTTAGAATTGATGTTTTTGTGTGTGCTTTCGTCCATTCAGAAGCTAAGATTCTCTATTTTTTTGAGCTATAGTTCATGTTAATTGATATTGATTGATGTCAATTGAGAATCCGGTAGATTTGAAGCAAGTTAGAAGCGTTTTTAGTGTGATAGTTCGTTATTTTTGTAGTTTATAGTGCCCATGTCTAAACCAGGGTCTTTGATTTCATTTTAGATTTCATTTTAGAGTTCATTTTAGAGTCCATTTTAGATTTTAAATGCTTGTTTTAATAGTAATTTGATGATGGCCTTTGCGGTAATACGAAGTGAAGGAATTGACAAGAAAAGGTAGAGTTTCGGAGAGGCGATTGAACTCTCGAACTTTTGCTTTCCAGATTTTTGCTCCAGCTCTAACCACTGGGCTATCCGGCAGCTTAACTGCCAAGAGAAAGAAGGAAAGACAAGGAGGAAGAAGAAAGGAAGAAGAAAGGAAGAAAGAAAGAAGAAAGGAAGAAAGAAGACAATTACTTTAAGATTCAACTTCATGACTCACATATGGCGAGAAAACATTCAAGTATAGACAATCCTCGCTTTCCCTCTTCATATTGTCTCTCGCGTATCGATCGTGTCGATGAAAGTCCATGAATTGAAGACATGGAGGCCCGTACTCGACAGCAGACATTTCTTGATGCCATCTCGATTTCTTCACTGGTTTCTGGAAACATCATAAAGTTCAATGAAAGAATTAAAAGCAGGCTTTTGATCCCGTAACTTTTTCTGCAGTCATTACGGGATTTAAAAAAAAAGCCTGATGCTTTTAGGTTCAGTAAAGCTATTTAAAACCAGTTTACTAACTGGGTTACTAGTTGGATTACTAGTTGGATTACTAGTTGGATTACTAACTGGATTGCTAACTGGACTACTAACTGGATTACTAGTTGGATTACTAGTTGGATTACTAGTTGGATTACTAACTGGATTGCTAACTGGACTACTAACTGGATTACTAGTTGGATTACTAACTGGTTCACTAACTGGTTTACTAACTGGTTCACTAACTGGATTACTAACTGGTTCACTAACTGGCTTACTAACTGGTTCACTAACTGGATTACTAACTGGATTACTAGCTGGATTACTAACTGGTTCACTAAGTGGATTACTAGTTGGATTACTAACTGGTTCACTAACTGGTTCACTAACTGGATTACTAACTGGCTTACTAACTGGCCTACTAACTGGTTTACTAACTCGATTACTAACTAGTTTACTAACTATTTTACTAATGTGAACTGGAATTGAAACTTTCAAAAATTTCTCTCACAACCTTAAATCTCAAATCGCCGATCGGTGGCTCAGCATAAGGAATCCCTCGAAAAATTTGCACATGTCGATCATCGATTTTGTAGATTTTACCTCTAAAGAGTCATGAAACATGGTTAAAAAAGAATTTAAGGCTTTAGAAGCATTTTAAATTAAATATAGATCATAAACTAAATATATGTCGTAGCCGATTATGAATTTCAGCCGATTATGAATGAGCGGGTCCGGACGCGTCCTTTTTGCTCTAATCTTTTTTTCTTTTTATCCAATCTTTCTAATTTTATTTCTAATTTAAAAATTTAACATAATTATTAATGATTCTGCGTTGAATGATACCAAATACTTGATGGTTGGACGCGCCTAGATGATTGGAGGCTCTCCTAGATGGTTGGAGGCTCTCCTAGATGGTTGGAGGCTCTCCTAGATGATTGGAGGCTCTCCTAGATGGTTGGAGGCTCTCCTAGATGATTGGAGGCTCTCCTAGATCGTTGGAGGCTCCCACTCATTCATAATCGGCTGAAATTCATAATCGGCTACGGGGGTCCCGCCGATTTTGAATGAAACGTTGTAGCGCCGGTAATTTTTAACCTAAACTCACAAATTTGGTACCAATCGACGCAAAATTTAATTCGCTACAGGATGATATATTATTGTCCTCATACATTAAAGGGTTGCTCTACTAGAAAGATTTACCAAAAAAATTCATTCATAATCGGCTACGACATATAGATTTTAAATGAAAGTTCAGAATCCATCACTCACTTGACCAATCCCTGTTCCACCCAAACCGATCGCGCCTTTTCGAGCAACTGGGCACTGTTAAACGAAAAACAAAAACACAAGAAGATCAAAAAAGTTTCTAGAAAATATTTAGCCGCCAATCCTTGTGCCATGCCTAAAATTTGATGTCTTTCACAAAGAATTCCCACGGAGAACGAAAAGGAACACTTGAGAACCTAAAGAAACCACTCTTTAAGAAAAAAAAACAAAAAAATGAACGCCATCTAAGAAAACTTTGAAAGCAAAGAACCGAATTCTTTCTTTGTTTCTTGAATTAAACTCAATTCTCTTAAAAAACTTGTTCAGAAGAGATTTTATATGGAAAAATTATAGAATAGAGAATAAATGATTTAGATTGGAGAAGAAATTGTGGTAAAAAATGAAAGTCACTGAAAATTAGCCTCATTCTTGCAATAGAAACAGCAAAAAAGCTCTATTTTTATCAAGTTTCTTATAAGTCAATCAATTTTACAAAGAAAATTTGCATAGAATTTCGAAATATTGTACGCTTGATGAAAAGTTAACGTAAACAGTTAACAGTTAACCTTAACAGTTACTATTTAACGTTAACAGTTACTATTTAACCTTAACACTTAACAGTTAACCTTAACAGTTAACAGTTAACCTTAACAGTTAACCTTAATAGTTAACATTTAACCTTAACAGTTAACAGTTAACCTTAACAGTTACTATTTAACGTTAACAGTTACTATTTAACCTTAACAGCTAACAGTTAACCTTAACAGTTAACCTTAATAGTTAACAGTTAACCTTAACAGTTAACAGTTAACCTTAACAGTTAACCTTAATAGTTAACATTTAACCTTAACAGTTACTATTTAACCTTAACAGTTAACAGTTAACCTTAATAGTTAACAGTTAACCTTAACAGTTACTATTTAACCTTAACAGTTAACAGTTAACCTTAATAGTTAACATTTAACCTTAACAGTTAACAGTTAACCTTAACAGTTAACAGTTAACCTTAACAGTTAACAGTTAACCTTAACAGTTAACCTTAATAGTTAACATTTAACGTTAACAGTTACTATTTAACCTTAACAGTTAACAGTTAACCTTAACAGTTAACGTTAACAGTTAACTGTGAACCTTAGCAGTTAACGTTAACAGTTAACTGTGAACCTTAGCAGTTAACATTTAACCTTAATAATTAACCTTAACAGTTAACAGTTAACGTTAACGTTAACAGTTAACACATGCATGACGATGCCATTTTTCATAAAACTGACGTCTAGGACGAGAGTCGAAAGAGAAACGGGATGTCTGCGCCATGTCACTCAGTCGACACAAAATCTTATCAGGGGAACATTTTTTGAAAACTCTAACACCGGATTTGGATTCCCCACTATCGATTTGGTATTCTCACAAGTTTTCGGGTCGATCTGACGACTCAGGCTAAAAAAATCGAGGGACCCACCATGTGGACCCCTTCATCCCAAAAGTCTGCTCACTTAGGGACCCACACGGTGGGTCCCTAAGTCCTAAGGACTTCCCTAACAAGGGAAGTCCTTAAGGAAGGTTAGCTGATATATAGTTATTCTTTTTTTAAAATCTTCAGTTTTGGGAAGCTAACTCTATTTTTGACCATACTAAACTTGTCCCTAAAGTGACTCGATTCCTTTTTTGGTCACTCGCATTTCGCCCTCGAAATTTCTTCAATGCTTCGATCAATTAAAAAGCCTTTTAGCCTATTTTGTAGAGGAGATTTACAACTTTCAAATAGTTTATAACATTCATCGATATCAGGTTTCTATCGTTGGAAATTTATTGTTTGAATTTTAAAATGTTGAAATCCGCATTTCTTATGTACCTAATATTAGATGCTAGGCTTCTATTTTTGTTTTGCCACCATCACAAAAGTGTTTCTATTAGAGATTAGAGACTGCACTTTAAAAAAAAATATACGCTAGATCGGTTGGGGTTAGAATTTTCCCATATCTAACCCAAACGAATCACCCACCGGTGTAGTGACTTATGGTCATAAGTCACTAAAGCTTATTGACTGTTGATTGAGCTCGGAGCATGAAGGACCTTATATAGCTGAAGGATCATCGAAGGATCATCCTATTATCTTTTATTAATTTAATCTAGTTTATAGATTTAATCTAGCTTATAGATTAAATCTATAAACGGCTTTTTAGCATTTTAGCTTTTCCTCATTCCCCCTTTTGCTTCAAACTGATCAGAATCGATGATCAGATTAGTTTATATGTCGTTGCCGATTATGAATGAGCGGGTCCGGACGCGTCCAACCATCAAGTATTTAGTATATTAGTAGAAAAAAAATTATGGGGTCTCAAAGTTTCCTCTTGAACAAACAGTTTTTTTGCTCTAATTTTTTTTCTTTTTATCAAATCTTTCTAATTTTAAAAATTTAACATAATTATTAATGATTCTGCGTTGAATGATACCAAATACTTGATGGTTGGACGCTCCTAGATGATTGGAGGCTCTCCTAGATGATTGGAGGCTCTCCTAGATGATTGGAGGCTTTCCTAGATGGTTGGAGGCTCTCCTAGATGATTGGAGGCTCTCCTAGATGATTGGCAATGCCTAGATGTTGGGCTTCCTAGATGGTTGGGCTCCTAGATGGTTGGAGGCTCCTAGATGGTTGGGGCTTTCCTAGATGATTGGGCCTGTGTTGGGGCTTTCCTAGATGATTGGGCTTTCCTAGATGGTTGGGGCCTCCTAGATGGTTGGGGCTCTCCAGATGATTGGGGCCTCTAGATGTTGGGGCCTCCTAGTGGTTGGGGCCCTTGAGGCTTTCCTAGATGGTTGGAGGCTCTCCTAGATGGTTGGAGGCTTTCCTAGATGGTTGGAGGCTCTCCTAGATGATTGGAGGCTCCCACTCATTCATAATCGACTGAAATTCAAAATCGGCTACGGGGGTCCCGCCGATTTTGAATGAAACGTTCTAGCGCTGGTAATTTTTAACCTAAACTCACAAATTTGGTACCAATCGACGCAGAATTTAATTCGCTACAGGATCATATAATATTGTCCTCATACATTAAAGGGTTGCTCTACTAGAAAGATTTACCAAAAAATTTCATTCATAATCGGCTACGACATATAGCTTAGTTTATAGATTAAATATCTATAAACTAAGGTAATTCATTAAATTGCATAAAATCTAACGATTTTCCCACAGAATAGTTAACTTTTTTTCGCAAATAAAAACGTTGCACATGCTGAATTTAACATTTGAAAAGGAATAGTCGATTGAAAATAAAACTTTTCAAAGGAAAAACGAAGAATTTGATTATCAAATTTCCATTTGACAATCAAATTAGCATTTGACAAGCCAAAAATACAGCATAAAACCATTTTTGAGTGTGGGTTGTAAATCGATTTGAAAGAGAAAGAGAAAGACAAAGAGAAAGAGAAATCCCATTAGCTTTTCCTCATTCCCCTTTTGCTTAAAACTGATCAGAATCGATCTCTCTCTCATCTTTTCTCTCTTTTCCTTTCTTTTCCTTTCATTTTAAGACGAAAAAGACCCAAACTCCATCAAAATGCCGAAGAAACAGCTGTTCAGTTCATTCATTCTTTAGCTTTTCATTCTCTTTCCCCCTCTTTCCCCGTTTCTCTCTTTCACACTTCATCTTTTCCTTTCATTCGTTTACTTATGAGAAACTCGGGAAAAATTGGCTGTCCGAGAAATGTTTCAACACTTTTTGACAAATGAACATGCTAGTTTAGGAAAGGGATTGATGGGAAACGAGTTTGAGATTTGAAACAAGACTGAGGAAGAAAGATTTGACACATTTGATTTGACACTGGAGTTGGGATTGGTTCCTAGCCGATGTCTAGGGTAAAATACGATTGAATGACAATCGTGGCGACGTGGCAGCCCAACCTCAAGCACTTTTCGATACAACAAAGCTCATAGCTCAAATCAATTTAGAAAAATTACAGGATGCCCCAAAATTAGCCGACCAATGGATTCATCGAAAATCGAAATCGAAAAACGAAAAAATCGAGTCTTTCAGCGAAAAATAAAAATTAACTATAACAAATTGATTCTCTAGATTGCTTTCAGCTGGCTTTCAACAATTTGCTTTATTTCTTCTCGAAAATAGCTCCATGGGCGGCTGCACAAGCGTTTTGCGAACCCGTCAATGGTGGCCGTCGATGGTGGCCAAAAAATATGCAGGATCGAGTTCAGCCCAAGCTTTCTGGAGTGATTTTTTTCAGTGAATCAATGCTTAAATGTGCTTTCGAGCAGACCTTTGCTTCGAGAACACTCCAGACTGAGTAATCCATCGAATTTAAATCGTGGCTTGATACTTAAAGCTGATGAAATCCGGCAAACTTCGTTCACACCAGTCTTGAACAATTCGGGCTTTCTGGGCAGGCCACACATCGTGCTGAAAGCATCAAATTTTATTTTCGATGTGGTTTGTGCCCAAGGCAGCACTTCCTGCTTCAATTATTTGCGTTTAGTTTGAACAAAAATTAGTAGAGTTTCAGAAGTGATTCCGGAGAAAACCATGACGGATTTGGGATATCTAGCACGTCGAATCACTTGGTTTAGTTAGCTTCTTGCATAATTGAGTGTGCTCTTTCTTTTTTATGTAGACAACAAAGGTAGTTTATGTGGAAGAAACTTAAAATTAAAAATGATCAAAAAAATAACCTTTCATATTTACCAAGCTAATATTATATAGCAATACCAACTTCAGTACCGTAAATTTGATCTGAATCAATTTGATCAATGATTTAAGCATTTGATCAATGATTCAATAACTTTTAAAACCCTGAGCACACCCATTCGATTCACAATTTGTATGCTAATTCGTATCATTTCATTTCTGATCATGCATTTAGTCAGCCGTTGTCAAATCGAATGATCAGTGTCTATCTCAATTTCTCGGTTGTTTCGCCTGACTCTTTTGCTGAAAAGAGAAAGAGGACCGTGTTTTCGGGACTTCAAAATGGGGTCATTCTGTCTTTGGGAAGAAAAGGGAGGGGTAAAGAGGATGAACGGTCAATCCAGGGAGTAGAGGGAAGGGAGGAGCACCCCCGCATCTCTCCATACCCCTCACCACTCATATCCAATACACTTTGAATCGATTTTTGTCATTTTTACAGCTCTCTCTTCATCTACCAATCACAGAACATTGCTAGTTGAGGAAATCAAAGTCTCTAGTGCTTAAAGATCTTGCTGGACATGAATGTTGTCCAGCAAGATTACCGCTCTAAGCTACCGCTCTAAGCTACCGTTCTAAGCTACCGCTCTAAGCTACCGTTCTAAGCTACCGCTCTAAGTCACCGCTCTAAGTTACCGTTCTAACTTACCCTTCTTAAAACCATTGTCTTTCGTATTCTGCATTCAATTTCTGCACTCTGCACGTATCCATTTCACCAAAGAACTAGAATATCCAGCACATTTTGAGTCAATTCTTCTAGTTAACTTCAAATTTTTTCGAGCAACTAACCAAGAACAAGCCACTAAGAATTGAGAAATTCCGAAAAATTGCTTAAGTTTCTTATTGTTTAAGAATTTAATAGAAACAAAGCCATACTATTGTACAAAGCCATACAAAGCCATACAATGCATAGGAAATAGCTAAAGATTTCCAGATTTCCAGATTTCCCCAGATTCAAAAAAGTTCTTTTATGGTTTGACTCAAAAGAACGTGATCGAAATCAATGATCGAAAGGTTTCTCCATTTTCATGTCAAATAAAACAATTCCTCTGTTATTCGTTTAAGATTATCACTTTTTATTGTAAATAAATAGAAATTAGATAAGCTCTAGTGAAATTAGATTAGCTTTGATGGAGAAATTTACATCGATTTGCCATTTCTTATGCAGTGGGGCCCAGAAAGGGAAGGGTCTCTGTGGTCGACCCCGTCCGATCTGCCAAGTTGAGCAACGTCGGCGCGGGTTAGTCGTGGGTTCGACTCCCATGGGTTCCCCTCCGAGCGCCCCAGCCCGGCCATCGGAGTATCATCGGCTACGACAACTACACTTCTGCCTCAGTAAATGTGGAAGCGGGTTGTGATCTGCGCTAAGTGCGAAGACAGATCAAATCATTATATATTTCTTATGCAGTCACTCAATAAATTTTCCATGAGTTCTTGCGGTTCTTAAATTTGTGATTTCTTAAAAACCAAACAACAGTTTTATCTGTAATTTCTACTGAATAATCTACAAGTATATGCTAACTAGTAGCCAAAATTTGATAACTTCTATCAATTTCTATCAATTTCTATCAATTTCTATCAATTTCTATCAATTTCTATTAATTTCTATCAATTTCTATCAATTTCTATCAATTTCTATTCCTCTATTTACCGTATTCTAATAGTAGTGCAGCCGAGTTGATGACTATTTTACGGCTTTCAAAGTTTTGCACAGAAGCTCAACACTCTATTGCACAGAAGCTTCCGTAAAACATTTTTTGGAGTTTCTAAAGTGTTTGCTTCTTGAAAGGGCCCGTGTGGTAAAAATAAACATTATCCGATAGACATTTACATCTGATCGCCGTTTAAAAGCCTCATACCTTCTTTGGAACGTTCCATTGTAAGAACTGGTGCTATAAGATCAAGTTGATAGATGGATTACGGTACTAATAGTTACCACAATGGAGCTTTAGTCAAAAAGAAGACATTTCAGTGACCAGCCTTTCCCTAATAGTAGTGCCCCTCGGCGAGCCGAGTTGGTGACTATTTTACGGTTTCCAAGCCTTCGCAGAGACTCAACACTCTAATCCCCCACTAGATCTCATCGTCAGCTACATTTTCCGACCCCGCATCGATAGGTTCTGATAAGCGGTTCTCGAGATTTCGAGCAATTTAGGTAAAGCTTCCCGTGCACTACTAGGGAAAATTCGGTACCGACATTGTTGCTCCGCTTTGATCTAACTCTGCCGATCGACTGATCGATCCAGTTAAAATAACATAGCCGTCTGCTAGATGTAGTACTTGTCCATCTTTTGCCACTTACTGTGCACTTGCACGGGAATACGGGTATCTAGCTTTAAGATCACCTGATTTGCTACAAGTGCGCGGAAGGCGCCGACAGCAAAAGCCATGAGGCTGAGCAACAGCTGAGCAACAACGAGGTGAGCAACATTAAGGGACCCACTTCGATTTTACGGTTTCCAAGCTTTCGCAGAAGCTCAACACTCTAATCCCCCACTAGATCTCATCGTGAGCTACATTTTCCGACTACACATCGATAGGTTCTGATAAACGGTTCACGAGATTTCGACACATTGAGGCGACGCTCAGGGTGCACTACTATTAGAGAGAATACGGGATTTCCTTTCTTTGGAAAAAACCTTTCAAACACCATTTCTCCATTCAGTCTCAAATCGATTAAATCTTCCAACACAGACAAAGCAATACGTGATCAACAAAGAATTCTTTTCACTCAATGACTCTTTTCTCGTTTTCCCGTTTTCCTGTTTTCTTTGATCTAATATCTTGTCAACAAACAGTTTTTTTTCTTTTTTGCGACACCTGATACATTATTTTCAACAAATTTCAGCTCAAAAATGAGTTGCATGAACCCGTTCGGCATTCTGCAAGACTGGCTCGCTCACAAATTCTATCATTATGGCCTTTTTGTCTCAAAGCATCCACGAATTTTCACCGTTTTCCCATTGATTTTGACAGCTTTTCTATCATTGGGCATTTTCAACGTTCGAACAGAGGTTTGTTATTTGTATAATTTGGTTTTTTGGTTTAAAGCTTTCAAATCTGAGACTACGCAACGCTCCGCATCGTCATTATTAGGGTGGGGTACTATTAGGTTGATGCATAAGTGTTTTCGTTCCTTTTCCTCTGCCGTTTCAAGCCAACAAATGCACGAATTAAACTACGGTTGATTTCATTAGAAAAACCAATTATTTTTCTGCAAAATAACATTAAAACGGGTTTAAAAATATTGAATGCCTGGATTTTCTTGAGAGTATGAAGTCGGGTAGTCAAAAAGGGCTAACTCGATGATGCGGTTTAGACACCTTAGCTAAAGAAAACCTATCTTCGTGTCAATAGATAAAAGATAGAGAAAACAAAACGTTTGATATTTCGCCAAAATTTCAGAGAAATTCATTCAGCCAATTTTTCCGTCGAGTTTTTTATAGATTTTTACGAAAAAGGCGTTTTTCACTCTCGAATTTGCTTGAAAGTGAACCGAAATTCATTTAAAAAGATGCAAATTGAACAAAAAAACACTTTTTTTATAGAGCAAACTATAGATTAATTCGTGAATTTGTTACTTTTTAACAGAAGTACGAAAAAAACGAAAACACTTATGCATCAACCTATTATTACAGTATTTACGGTATGTAAACTGGCTATTTAGCTAAATAGATTCAAAATCTATTTAGCTGAAGATCTTAAGAAATAAAACTTTGTTGTAAAATATTAGATTATAAATATTAGATTATAAATATTACGGTAAACACTGTAATTGGACCCCACCCCCATAATGAAGATGGGGAGTGTTGCGTAGTCTAGATTTGAACGAGTCTTTCTCGACACTGGTTTATGCTAGAATATTCGTTTTTGTATCAAAAAATAGCCCTGAATTTCAGCTATTTTTTGATACCAAAACGAATATTTTAGCATAAACCAGTGTCGAGAAAAACGCCTCCAAAGCTAGACTACGCGACGCTCCGCACCGTCATTATGGGGGCGGGGTACTATTACAGTATTGAAGGTAGCTTTAAAAATAACGAACAGAGGTTTGTTATTTGTATAATTTAGTTTTTCGGCGTAAAACTTTCAAATCTAATATTCTTAAAAGTTAAAATCTATTTTCTACCTACCGTAAATACTGTAATAGTACCCCGCCCCCATAATGACGGTGCGGAGCGTCGCGTAGTCTAGCTTTGGAGGCGTTTTTCTCGACACTGGTTTATGCTAAAATATTCGTTTTGGTATCAAAAAATAGCTGAAATTCAGGGCTATTTTTTGATATCTTTGCGCGCATTGTAGCATAAACCAGTGTCGAGAAAAACTCGTTCAAAGCTAGACTACGCAACACTCCCTAGCGTCATTATGGGGGTGGGGTACTATTACAGTATTGACGGTAATTTTATTAATTTAAACCTTTCAGGATGATCTCCGCTTTCTCTACTCTCCGCAAGCATCTCAATCCCGAGTCGAGTACCAAATTCACAAATCTTTCAGCGGAGACTCGACGAATAGGTTCTTTTTTTTAATTTTTATGTTTTAAGTTGGCCTATAAACTTGAAATTTAGCATTTATTGAACTTAAATAGTATAAAAATGATGAATATACTAAATTTTCATTGCATTCGTAAAAGAAAGAAGTTTATAAAGAAATAAGAAAGCATCCCCAAATCCAATAAGAAAGCCTTTTTTTTTTTTTCCCTTTGTACTACACCTTGGTTTTATCGTAAATTTTTTGCAACTCTTCCCTTCCCCCCCCAACTTCGGGCCCAATCCTCAGTGATCTTAATATTTTCTCTCCCCTTTGATTGATAATATTATCTAGTTATATTATAATATTAGAAAAGCTTGTTGTCTCTTTTAATAGTAAACTTTGATTTACTAGTTTCTTTTCTCAAAAATTCCTTTTCTTTATTTATGGGCCAATTCAATAATCTGAATCTGAGCCTGAATCTGACTCTTTCTTTGAAATGTTTTTAAATATAAAGTTTTACAGCTCTTTTCTCTCAATCACCGTTGAATCAGCAACTGAAGACAAGAATTTGCTATCAAAAGAAAGAGGGGATATCATCAAGAACTTTAACAGATGGATTCTCAACGAAATGGAGATTGATTTGAATGGAGAAAAGGTTTGGATTCGAGTTTTTTTTACACTGAAGATCTTAAGAAATAAAACTTTGTTGTAAAATATTAGATTGTAGGCATTAGATTATAAATATTACGGTAAACACTGTAATATTGGGTTGGGGACTATGACTCGGCGCCGAAAATCAAAAAAATGTCTAAAACTTCTATTCGACTTCGTCAAATAATATGCGTTTGATATGAGTAGAATGGTTAACTAATTCTCTACAAAATGACATTTCAAAGAAAATTCAAACAGCGCCTCCGCTCAAGAAAAAGCCATTTTTTCACAAAAACTACAAACTGTCATCTAGAAAAAACCATTGGTGGGATCTTCCTGCAAATTTGGCAACTTAAGTAATTGAATGTGCTCTATCTTTTTTATATGAACACCAAAGAAGGTTTATGTGAAAGAAACTGTTCAAATGATGAGTCGGGCTCTTTGCCACTTTGACTAGCTGTGTTTGGGAGTCCATAAACTCCACGAAAGAAAAGCTTTGTGGAATCTCTCAAAAGTCATTTTGTAGAGAAATAGTGGATCCTTTTGATGAAACCAAACGTATATTTAAAGAAGGCTTTATGTGTGCAAAAAGTCCCTTTAAAGTTTGGCGCCGAGTCATAGTCCCCAACCCAATAGTACCCCACCCCAATAATGACGATGCGAAGTTTTGCGTAGTCTAGCTTTGAACGAGTTTTTCTTGACACTGGTTTATGCTAAAATATTCATTTTGGTATCAAAAAATAGCCCTGAATTTCAGCTATTTTTTGATACCTTTGCGCGCATTGTAGCATAAGCCAGTGTTGAGAAAAACTCGTTCAAAGCTAGACTACGCAACACTTCGCACCTAGACTACGTGGCAATACCCCGTCATTATGGGGGTGGGATACTATTACAGTATTTACGGTATGAAAGTAAAGGATATAAAGGGTAGTTATTTGTTAGAATCAACACAAATCTCATCCCAGCATCTCTAGTCTTTTAACACATTCGCGACAATGGTATTTTGAGCGTACAGTCGCGTAGTCGTCAACTGTTTTACTCATAATTTGGTGAAGATTCATGGATGAACTAAGATTATAAATATTAGATTATAAATATTACGGTAAACACTGTAATAGGACCCCACCCCCATAATGACGGCGCGGAGTGTTGCGTAGTCTAGCTTTGAGCGAGTTTTTCTCGACACTGGTTTATGCTATAATGCGCGCAAAGATATCAAAAAATAGCCCTGAATTTCAGCTATTTTTTGATACCAAAGACGCATTTTTTGAAAGTACGGGCGCTTTGAAAACAAATAAAATACTAAAAAACTTCTGCGACAACGCGACTGTACGAGGGGAGGTGGGGTACTATTACAGTATTTACGGTAGATTATAAATATTAGCTTATAAGCTTCGCAAGGTTTACAGGTGAAATTCGGCGGCAACATTTGCAAATCCGAAGAACCTTGCGGTCTCTCGAACACGATCGTCGAAATCTTCTTTGACACTTATTGGAATAAAAAGGTAAAATGAAAGCGAGTTTCATCGAACGAGCAGTTCTATAGTCAATTTCTTTCATCGAACGAGCAGTTCTATAGTCTATCAATTCCAAAAGAGGAGATGCAAAAGAACGCGACTTTCACGAACCCTTTCATCTCACTCACCGTCTTCCTATTGATCACTTTTTGATCGTTGAACGTTTCAGCTGCTCGCCGATCCGCGAATCGAGATCAGCTACCCGATGATGAAATTTTTCGAGAACAAATTCTTTCTGCCCACTCACATGTATGGGGTGAAATTGAAGCCGAATCGAGACATTGACGCGATCGAAATGGTTCACATGTTCTACATGGTTCCCTCGTATGAACAGGTTGAGCAAAATCTACTATAGTTTCTTTACTATTACGATTCCTATAGTACTATACTAATTATTCCTAGATTATACTATATTAGATTAGATTAGATTATAGATTTGTTAGATTATAGATGAAAAATTGTCTGTCCGTTAGGCGTGTCGATTATCACAATTTCGTTTCACCAGTTGCGCCTTTTAAAACACATCTATTCACGCGAGAAATATGGTACAAAAAGTCATATAATGGTTTGGTTTGGAGCTTTGGTTTGGATTCGCACTTGCAAAAATCTGATCGTTCTCTAGTTAGTACTTCGATGTACTTCCATAGATATGGTCTCACTAGACGAACGAGTCGTACTAGTCGGATCGAACTAGTCGTACTAGACGAACGAGTCGTTTCAACCCTTTCACAGTGAATCGTTAGCGACGTCGAAACGCTTTTCGTCAAATCCGACATTCTGTTATTGGATCGATCGTCTGAAATCGAATCAACGTCATCTAAACAATAGGGTCATTTGCGCAACTTGCCATAACTTTCTTCTAAGTCGGTCAATCTCTATGATTTTGGTTTCATTTTGTAGATCTCAATAAGTGCAACAAAATGACACCAAAATCATAAAAATTGACCGGCTTAGAAGAAAGTTATGGCGAGTTGCGCAAGTGATTCAGTTGAGCAAAAAATTTGGCGCAAAGTAACTACCCCCAATGAAAATAAAATGAAAATGAAGCCTTTAATTAGAGCTAAACTTTGCTCTAACTATAAGAATATGTAAAAGAATGAAAAAAAACACATTTCAGCACCTAGCCGACGACGTTTGTGCCGCTGTAGTTGAAGCGATTCGAGACTCTGTCGAAAAACGACTACCACAACTTCAGGTTTCACATTTTAAAAACAAAAAATAACTAAATTTAAATGAAATCATTAAACTTTCAGACTTCTATGTTCTCTCTATCAATTCTAAAAGAGGAAATGCAAAAGAACGCGACTTTCACGATCCCTTTCATCCCACTCACCGTCTTCTTGTTGATCACTTTTTCAGTCATTTCATGGTTAGTTATTGGGTTGGGGAGAATGAGTCGGCGCCGGCGGAGAATGAGTCAAAAAATAGCTGAAATTCAGGGCTATTTTTTGATACCAAAATGAATATTTTAGCATAAACCAGTGTCAAGAAAAACTCGTTCAAAGCTAGACTACGCAAAACTTCGCATCGTCATTATTGGGGTGGGGTACTATTGGGTTGGGGACTATGACTCGGCGCCAAACTTTAAAGGGACTTTTTGCATACATAAAGCCTTCTTTAAACATACGTTTGTTTTCATCAAAAGGATCCACTATTTCTCTACAAAATCACTTTTGAGAGATTCCACAAAGCTTTTCTTTCGTGGAGTTTATGAACTTCGAAACGCAGCTGGTTAAAATGGCAAAGAGTCCGACTCATCATTTGAACAGTTTCTTTCACATAAACCTTCTTTGGTGTTTATATAAAAAAGATAGAGCACATTCAATTACTTAAGTTGCCAAATTTGCAGGAAGGTCCCACCAATGGTTTTTTCTAGATCACAGTTTGTGGTTTTTGTGAAAAAATGGCTTTTTCTTGAGCGGAGGCGCTGTTTGAATTTTCTTTTAAATGTCATTTTGTAGAGAATTAGTTAACCATTCTACTGATATCAAACGCATATTATTTGACGAAGTCGAATAGAAGTTTTAGACATTTTTTTCATTTTCGGCGCCAACTCATTCTCCCCAACCCAATAAAAGAGCTCTGTTCAAATGTAAAACCTTTTTTAAATCAAATAAATAATCAATTTGTTAGCATGACCGGCGATTGGATCACTTCGAAACCGATTGAGGCCACTGTTGGAGTGTTCACGTCGACACTCGCCATTTTCAGCTCGGCTGGTGTCCTTTTTGCTATAGGGACTCCATTTGTGCATCAGGTTTATACTGAAAAACGTTCTTTCAATATTTCTCGTTTAGTTTAACGGAAAAGAAAGGGTTAGTTAAATGAATTTGGAAAAGAAATGAAGTCAAATGAGTTTAGGAAAGGTTTTGTCAGTTTAGTTTTGCCAGTTTAGTTCTGCCAGTTTTGCCAGTTTTGCCAGGAACCAAGTCTAGAGAGAAAAGGAGCCAAATTTAGAGGGATAAGGAACCAAATTTAGAGAGTTTTGCCGGTTTTGCCAAAAAGACAATTTTTTTCAAACAAATCATTTATTAGTACAAATTTTAAACTCTTTAGGTAACTGTGATGCCGTTCCTTGCTTTGGCAATTGGAGTCGATGATACTTTTGTGATGTTGGGCGCTTGGCAAGACACGAAGAGGACCCTATCACCGGAGAAACGAATGGCGTTAACACTGGAGGAAGCTGGATGGTTGGTGGAAAAGCTACAAGGACTTAGAATACTTGAAGATAAAGAAAAAGAATCGATTTCAATAGGAATAGGAGAAAATTACCGTATTCTCCCCGGTAGCATTGTCGAGTTGGTAGACAAAGTTAGACTACCTATCCGAAAATAGTCGATCCACTTAGATGGGCTATAATTCGAGGTATGTAAGCTGAATCAATTCATGGTTGGTTTTATTGGAATCTCCATTAAATTTGGCTATAGAGAAGTAGAATTTGTTTTGTAGACTTACTAATAAAAACATAGTGAAAATTTGAGTCAAAGTTGGCCTTCTGAAGTATAGGGTATACTAGTATACCCTTTACTAGTATACCCTTTAATAGTATACCCTTTAATAGTATACCCTTTAATAGTATACCCTTTAATAGAATACCCTTTAATAGAATACCCTTTAATAGAATACCCTTTAATAGTCTACCCTTTAATAGTATACCCTTTAATAGAATACCCTTTAATAGAATACCCTATGGGGACTCTTCTATTTTCCTTCAGATCTCGACTTCCAATTGTCAGATCGACTCGGGGTTGGTTTTAAAATGATCCTTAGTTGCCAATTCCAATAAGATGATCCTTAGTTTCCAAGTCCAATAAAATGATCCTTAGTTTACGGTTTCCAAGCCTTTGCAGAGACTCAACACTCTAATCCCCCACTAGATCTCGTCGTCAGCTACATTTTCCGATCCCATTTCCCGTCAGCTACATTTTCCGATAGGTTCTGATAAGCGCTTTTCGAGATTTCGAGTAATTTAGGTGACATTTGCAATACGATTAGGGAGAATACGGTCGTCTGATAAAGCCTTAAAGTATTCAGCTCATTTCAGTGCCATCTCGGTGACAACCCTTACCTCCGTCCTCTCTTTCAGCATCGGCACCTACAGCAGCACTCCAGCTATCTCGATTTTTTGCAAATTTATCGCCTTAGCTTTATTCTTTGATTGGTTTTATCAGGTATTGCAAAAGTACAGAGTATTGCAAATACAGGGTATTGCAAGAGTTTCCGGGCTGGTTTTCAAGGAAGTAACTTTAAATTGAACTTTTCAACTATTGAGCAGTAATTATTGAAGTATTGAACAACAATTAATAAAAAGTTTATTTGGAGCTTGGCGACAAATAAATAAGAAATGTTCGAAATTTGCATTTCTGCTTTAATGGATTACTTAAAACTGTTTTAGATGCTCTAAATGACGGCCACATTGTTTCAGAACGTTGACACTCCAAAAGTCCGCAGTTTTCAAACTCACCAATCATCGAATGAATCTTTTCCTGAGAAATCTTCTCTTCCATAATGAATCAAATGGAGAAGTCAAGCGGATCCAAATCGAGGCTGTTCGAGGCCCAAATGCCTTTACCCCAGTAGCCTTCTTCAGGCTACTCCTTCTTCAGCCTATTCTTCTTCAGGGATTCATCCACCTTTCCCAACTGTTCACTGTATTTGATTGCATTAACGGTCGTCTTGCTATCCAGCAACTCCCAGTATAAGTGTGTGAGACAAGTGTGAGACTCAAAAATGGAGGACTGGAGATGTTCATATGTGACAGTTTGAGCACTTTCTTAAACGACAAAGCCACGGGTAAAAAAACTTTTCTGACGCACTAAAAACCAGCCAGGAAACTTTTGCACAGGTCTAAAGCAGAAATTCAGTCATCTTTTTTTAGCTAACATTTTTTGCCGGAGTGATGGTGTTGGGTGGACGACGAGAAGCGGCTGGTTACCACTCGATCTTCGTCTGGAAAAGGATGTCAAAAGAGGAGATTGAAAAGGTTTTCCGAAAAGATTCTCTTCTCTGAAGACTAGATGATCATTAGATCATTAGATTATAATTTTTCTATTATATTGGGTTGTCCAGTTATGAATGCGCGTTTCTACTATTTTGTAAATTTCTCAAGATACCGAACAGATGTAGACGAGTGTTATATATCATTCGAAAGCTGAAGATCTCCTCTACATTTTGGATATAAAAAGTTTTTGAATTCATTCAACTTTTCGGGAAATTGACTGCACAAAGGGAGAGGTCGTTTTCAAAAAAAAAGAAGCTTAGCTATTCCTCAAGTTTTATGGTGGAAAATAACCGCCCAGAAAAGAAAAGAAAAGTAAAGATGCTCTGAAATTGTTATATTTAAAAAAGAGTTGTATTGATATATCTATTAGCCAAACATCAAACGGTTAACTCAATTTGAGCGGAGCCAAAACTTGATCCAAAGGCACCCTTCCATTTTTTGGCCACCTCTTCTTCTGTGCCATCAATTTGCCCAAAAGCTGAACAAATTCAAAAACTTTTTATATCAAAATGTAGAGGAGATCTTCAGCTTTCGAATAATACTCATATATATCTTTTTCTTGATCTTGATCTTGATCGGTATCTTGAGAAATTTACAAAATAGTAAAAAACGCGCATTCATAACTGGAGAACCCAATATTATAATATTTCTATTATATTATACTATTTCAATCTTGTCTGGAGAGTGAAAGCCTTATTTTAGGCCTTATTTTAGGCCTTAAGCCTTAAGGCCTTTTCTCTATTTTTTCACTTTCAGGCTAAACAACCAGACGCCATTTCGCCGACTCGTTACCTTTTCGAGAACAAGTTGGCCCCATTCCTTTGCAAGCCATCCACGAGAATGGTTCTAGTAAGTATAGGTCGAAATTTATCAATACTATAACACTATTTAAGACCTAAAGCACAGGTCTAAAGCATTTTTGTCATCAGCTTATCCACTTCCAGGTGTTAATTTATGGAGTTTACATTGCCACTGCTTTTTATGGATGCTCCCTATTGACACCGAATTTGACGCCAAGTCGGTAGGGTTTCATTGAATTTTTACTGAATTTGTACTGAGTTTCTGGCTGAATTTGTGCCTGAATTTGTGCCTGAATTTGGCCTGAACTTGTGCCTGAATTTGGCCTGAATTTGTGCCTGAATTTGTACTGGATTTGGCCTGAATTTGGTCTGAATTTGTACTGGATTTGTGCCTGAATTTGTGCCTGAATTTGTACTGAATTTGGCCTGAATTTGCGCCTGAATTTGTACTGAATTTGTGCCTGAATTTGCGCCTGAATTTGTACTGAGTTTGTGCCTGAATTTGTACTGAATTTGTGCCTGAATTTGTGACTGAATTTGTCCTGAGTTTCTGGCTGAATTTGTGCCTGAATTTGTGCCTGAATTTGGCCTGAATTTGCGCCTGAATTTGTACTGAATTTGTGCCTGAATTTGCGCCTGAATTTGTACTGAGTTTGTGCCTGAATTTGTACTGGATTTGGACTGAATTTGGCCTGAATTTGGCATGGATTTGTGCCTGAATTTGTGCCTGAATTTGTACCACATTTAATTCTTATTTTCCTTCAAAATATTGCTATAAGAAAAGTGCACCAAAAAGGGTATGATTCCAATGAAATTTGTAATGAAAACATGTCGGCCCTTTTTACCGTTGGCAATTTAAGGTTATTCATCTTTTTCTCAGCACAAACCATTCCATTTTGACTATTTTGACCATCATTCGATGCAGAATAAAATTCCGTATCGAATGATACCAAAATCAACTAAAAATATAATACCCATGCAAAGTTGTTGGCTAAAAACCTAAACCCTTTTGGACTTGACCTTTTGCCTCATAACTTTCCATGGATATTATATTTTTAGTTGTTTTTGGTATCATTCGACGCGGAATTTTATTCTGCATCGAATCATGGTCAAAATAGTCAAAATGGAATGGTTTGTGCTGAGAAAAACCTTAAATTGCCAACGGCAAAAAGGGTCGACTTATTTTCATTACAAGTTTCATTGATTTCGATCGCCTTATAGAATTTACGATATCTGTCAATTTGAATGTTTATTGCACAGATTCCTTTTCAGATTAGTGGTTGACGACTCACCATTGATTCACTACCTTCACTTGGCTGAGAATCACATCTGGGCCGAGGGACTAATTGGACTCGTTTACGTCAATGATGCTCCAGATTTTGCAAAACATCCAGACCAAGTTAGTGTACGGAATTGAAGCTTTAGTTTAATTAAGTATTCAGCTTTAAGATTTAGCTATTCTACAGGGTGCGTCATAATTATTGCAACAAGAGTTGAAAGATCGTTTTCCAAACAGCTTTCTTATTTTTTTTTGCCCCCTTTTTTGTTGTTTTGCGTTCTATCTTCTTTATTCTTGCCTAATCTGCCATTCTTGCCTCCCGCTCACATGAAGAAGACGGTTCAGGACTGGTGTGTGGCCAACTTTCCCTTAGTGATCACCAAGGATGAATGGCCTCCAAACTCACCGGATCTCAATGTGATGGACTTTTCCATTTGGGCAATCTTAGAGGCTAATGTCTGCTCTCGAAAACACACAAGTTTGGATTCTTTGAAGAAGTCTTTGACCTTGAAGAAGTCTTTGACCAAAGGATGGAAGGCGACTCCTCAAGATGACATTCGGGCCACAGTGGAGGCATATCCGAACCGATTAAGGGCTGTTATCAAGGCAAAAGGCGGTCATATCGAATGATCTCTTGTTTCCTTATTTGTTACTGTTAAATAAAGCTATTTCTGGTTAAAAATCTTCTTCCAGTGAAAATTCTTGGTGTGCAATGCCTTGAGTATCTTGTTGTGTGCAATGCCTTGAGTATCTTGTTGTGTGCAATGCCTTGAGTATCTTGTTGCAATAATTATGACGCACCCTGTATCATTTATTATTCTATCATTTATCATTCTATCATTTATCATTCTATCATTTATTCTATCATTTAGATCGATCGAATGCTTAAATTTGTGTCAGAACTCGAAAGCACTCCATATTCGATGGGGCCGAACTCGACAAGGATTTGGTTAAGAGATTTCAATGATTACAGGTAAATTAATGAGATTTTATTTAGTAAATTAGCTTTTTATCAAATAAATATCTGAAGTTTTTATCGAATAAAGAGTTTGGGGTGGGATCCGCTTTAACCGGGGATGGCTTTGCTTCAGAATAGCCGACTAGCAGAAAAAGGTTAAAATGGGTTTCCCCAAAACCCTTACAACATAACAAAAACCCGCAGCATCCAACATAAGGTTAATACTCGTGATAAGAGTACAGAATGGATTCATACTTCGTCGATGGCGACACAAATGTTTGTAAGTTCTTTCTACAGTGTTAAATCAGTGTTAAACCAGTGTTAAACCAGTGTTAAACCAGCTATCTAAAAAGGATTTAAAACCTGAAGGGTAGCAAAAAGTAAATTGAATTTATAATTTCACTGTTTATTAGTACAGAACCAAAAATGCAACGATACCCATTACAAAAACAGCATGCGCATGAATAGAAACATGAAAGTCCTCTAAGAACGAAGGCAGAAGCATCAAAGTCTCCCAAGAATGAAAGCAGAAACAAGAAAGTCCCCCAAGAACGAAGGCAGCAGCATCAAAGTCTCCCAAGAACAAAGGCAGAAGCACCCAAGTCTCCCAACAATGAAGGCAGAAACATGAAAGTCTCCCAAGAACAAAGGCAGAAACATCAAAGTCCCCGAAGAACGAAGGCAGAAGCATCAAAGTCCCCCAAGAAGAAAGGCAGAAGCATCAAAGTCCCCCAAGAAGAAAGGCAGAAGCATCAAAGTCTCCCAAGAACAAAGGCAGAAGCATCAAAGTTCCCCGAAGAACGAAGGCAGAAGCATCAAAGTCTCCCAAGAAGAAAGGCAGAAACATCAAAGTCCCCCAAGAACGAAGGCAGAAGCATCAAAGTCCCCCAAGAACCAGGTAGAAGCATCAAGGTCTCCCAAGAACAAAGGCAGAAACATCAAAGTCCCCCAAGAACGAAAGCAGAAACATCAAAGCCCCCTAAGAACGAAGGCAAAACCCCAACCCCAAAAAGAGCCAGAAGCTCTGCCAAAAAAAACCCCTCCTCCAATAAAAAAAGAGAGAAAAAAGACGAAAAAATGAGACGCGAATAATTACAAAATAGAAACGGATGCAAACAAAATAGAAATAGGAAGGAAACGGATGCAAACAAAGACATTTTTAGACAATTCTTTGCTGAAGATGACTCTCGCTTTTATCAAACACTCAAATCGTTTGTTCATGTTTCTTTCAATACTCACTGGGCGTCAAATCTGAAATGGAAGCCCAGATCGAATGAGGTGAATAAGTTTTGAGAGAATAAGAATGAGCTTATTTTCAAAGATTCAGACTGGAGACGAGTATGTGAACAAGTTCTTTTTCACGACAGCTTTTGCGATCAATGGATGGAATGTGAGAACGGATCTTTTGTTATTGTGGAGAAATATCACGGCCAAGTGAGTCTAAACTTTGCGAATTGCGAATTTGAATTTGCGAATAACTCCTTTACGAATAACTCCTTTACGAATAACTCATGTAATTTCCTTTTCAGATATCCAGAATTTGACGCTTATGTCTTTGACGAGAACAACTTCTACAGTGATCAAATGTTGGAGTTGCAAACAACTACACTTCAATCATTGGGTGATTTTAAAATCCAATAGTTACAGCTAGAATAGAACCTGATCCAATAGTTACAACTTGTATAGAACCTGATCCAATAGTTACAGCTAGAATAGAACCTGATCCAATAGTTACAGCTAGTGTAGAACCTGATCCAATAGTTGCAACTTGTATAGAACCTGATCCAATAGTTACAGCTAGAATAGAACCTGATCCAATAGTTACAGCTAGAATAGAACCTGATCCAATAGTTACAGCTAGAATAGAACCTGATCCAATAGTTACAGCTAGAATAGAACCTGATCCAATAGTTACAGCTAGTGTAGAACCTGATCCAATAGTTACAGCTTGTATAGAACCTGATCCAATAGTTACAACTTGTATAGAACCTGATCCAATAGTTACAGCTAGTATAGAACCAGATACATTTCTGGCTTTTGTCTGATCCAGATATTTTTGTGTACCAGGTTAAACTAGGCTCTCCCCTTTTCGGAAAAGTGTTCTTGACGTTATCAGCTTCACAAAAAAACCTCCGCACTTTCGTTTTATTTACGAGTTTATGGATCAATCGGAAAAATGGCGAGATTTCATCCCCAACAACGATAGCAAAGATATACAAAAGGTGTCCAAGGCCAAGTAAACCAGGTTAGGCCACTGGTCCGGATCTAGTCTGTGGCCTAATAGACGACTAAAATGTCATAAATGAACAAAATACAGCTTAACTTGGCCCAGCTTCAGGTCTGGTCATCCTAAAATGAGAAGACAGTGTCTCTCTTGGCTTGGTCTGGCTTGGTCTAGCTTGGCCCGATTTTTTGGAGCTTCGACTTCGTAAATAGGACATATTCCTTGACGTTTCTAAATTAGCTTTCTAAATATTAGGTTGGCGAGTTATAAACGATCGTTTTTTGGTAATGTGTTTTTGTGAAAAAACGGCTTATCCAATCAAAAAACGGTTTGCTTCATTCAAAAGCCCTATCCTTAATCTACAAAATGGCTTTGTTGAATTTTTGATGTTTTATTTGATGTTTTATGTTTTATTTTAACTTTTTCAGGCATTTTAATGTAAGAGTTGAAAATTCTGATTTTTAGCATTCATGAGCTAATATATTTTTGAGCTATTTTTGAGTGATTGCACACTTTTTAACCCATTCGAAACTTCTGCAGCGAATAATCGCTGCAGCAAAAACTCAGGAACGGACCGCTGCAGCGATTATTCGCTGCAGCGCTAATTGAGCTATTTTCATTCAATTAATTGCTTTTTTTTTGCTGCTTTTCAGCATTACATGTATATTCCAATTGTATCAGATCTACAAATTTCGTGGGCAAAAAAGATGTTTCATATTTACCCGGAATCAATGCAGTCTCTGGTTTTGCATTGAAATGTTCCATAATAGCTCTAATCTTATAAAGCCGATCTCCTGCAGGATCCAGTTCATTATCACAAAAACGCAGGTTCCGAAGAATGGATTCAAATTTTGCTCTTGACATGATGTGGGACATGTGGGAAAATCCTCCTAATCCAGGCCTGCTACTCCAGTAGTCACGAGTCCTCGGTAATTTGACGATTCCCATTTGAAGCCAGGAAGAGCTTCAAAGATTTTGCATCGAAATCCTGCCAGTTTGTTTTCCTTTTTCCATGTTTATTAGATTCGCCTACTAAAATATTGTCGTCGATAAAATAAGAACAATAATCGATAGGATCTTGAAAAGTACTGAAGTCAAATCCAAATCGTTCTTCATCAAAAATAAATGGTGTAGGAGACTCTCTTACATCTTTCCAACCATAAATAAACTGCTTCGGAGTCAAAAATGTCAAAAAAGGGCTTGGTCCGTAGACGAAAAAAAAAAAAAAAACGCTGCGGTTTCGAATGGGTTAAAATAATAAGCTTCATCGAATACATAGTTTCCCAAAATTTCAGAGCAATCCAATCTTCGGAAGGTTGAATTTTGAATCAAGCAAACCGTTTTTTGATTGGATAAGTCGTTTTTTCAGAAAGCACATTACCAAAAAACGATCGTTTATAACTTGCCAACCTAATAAATTGGATTTAAGAAGAATAAGACCGAAATCAGCACAAAAAAGCTTCTCTAGATGCGCTAGGCCACGTTTTAAAAGCTGGTGGTAAGTTGACGAAGCTTCCTTGTAAGTATAATAAGTTATTTATCTTAGCTGGCCAGAATCTGGCTGGCTTAAACTTGCTAGAGTCTGGCTGGTTCAAGATGGCTAGAATCTGGCTGGCTCAAGATGGCTAGAGCCTGGCTGGCTTAAGCTGGCCAGAATCTGGCTGGCTCAAGATGGCTAGAATCTGGCTGGCTCAAGATGGCTAGAGTCTGGCTGGCTCAAGCTGGCTAGAGTCTGGTTTATTAATCAGGCTTGAAAATCGACCAGTATCTGGTTTAAAGCAAGCACAACAACAAAAAAAACATCTCGCTTTTAGGCACCGCCATTTTGACACTCATCTCGGTTTGCATTCTCTTTGTCGCCGAAAGCTCGATCGTTTTCTGGGTTGTGTTCACTCTGATCTCGATGGACATCGGCACCGCAGGATTTCTTTCTCTTTGGGGAGCCGATCTTGAGCCGACAACCGTTGTTAACATTTTGGTTGGTGTAAAAAAATGAAAACAGTACAGCATGTGAGATTTCCAGATGTCAATTGGCCAATGCATCGATTTTGCCACACACGTCGGCTACCGAATTTATCGTTCCGAGAAGAAAGATCCCACTGATCGAATCCGGGATTCACTAGGAGCGATTGGATGGCCTGTTCTACAAGGAGGACTGGCAACGTTATTGGGTAAATGATTCAAACGAGAATTCAATGATGTACTTTCTTTAATGATACACAATGATATACTTAAGTTTTCAACTTAATCTACTTATACTTCATCGTCTTCAAAACCCCTACAAAACATCTTTTCAGCAATATTGGTGATGATCCGAGTTCCGTCAAATGCCGTTCGAATGTTCGCAAGAACGTCGATACTCGTTGTGGCCACTGGATTGTTCCATGGTCTTTTGATTTTACCGGTCATTGTACGATCTTTTGCATCAGGTGAACCATTTGCCCAAACTCCGTTACCAGGGAATCACTTGGAACTTCAGGAGCGATCTGATTCTGAGTCTGATTCTGAGTCTGAGTCTGATTCTGAGTCTGATTCTGAGTCTGATTCTGAGTCTGATTCTGAGTCTGATTCTGAGTCTGATTCTGAGTCTGATTCTGAGTCTGATTCTGAGTCTGAGTCTGAGTCTGATTCTGATTCTATTTCTGACCCCCTGGGCATCCCGAATTTCCTTTCAAATTCTACTTATCATAAGCCATTTTCGAGATATCAAAATTTCCCCAAACAGCAAGCTGGCCTATTAAACGCGTTCGCGCGGGCCAACCGGAATGCCTCAATAACCCAGTGGATAGTTTGCCAGCGCTTCGGCTGGTTTGTCTTTGTCTTTTGGTTCTACTGTTCTACTACGCGTAATCGCTCTCCATCGGGCATACCTGTTTGGCATAAAAGGCTTCCCTTTTTGAGTCGTACAGGGGAGGTAGCGGGGGAGCGACTGAGCCGACTTCGGTTTTGTTGGGATCACTATGCTGAAATCTTTGGAATCAATTTCTGCTGTAATTTTGACTGTATTCTATCAAACCTATCACTGTATCAAATCAATCCTATCAAACCAAAACCAGCTGAGACACTCAAGGCTGAAGCTGGCTTGAAAAACGGTCTAGTTTTGTCTCCCAAATTTCCGATCTGATCCGCTGGGTTAAGCGACGCCGGCAACAGCTAGCTCTGGCTTTGGTTCCGATATTTTCGATAGATTTCAGGGTCAGGGTAAGCCAAATCAAAGTCAGGGCAAGCCAGGATAAGCCAAAGACAGAGCCTGAGCCTGAGGGGATCAAGATCAAGCCAAATCAAAGTCAGGGTAGGCCAGGATAGGCCAGAGACAGAGCCTGAGCCTGAGGGGATCAAGATCAAGCCAAATCAAAGTCAGGGTAGGCCAGGATAGGCCAGAGACAGAGCCTGAGCCTGAGGGGATCAAGATCAAGCCAAATCAAAGTCAGGGTAGTCATTTTTATTCTTGCCGCTTCTTGATATGACTAGGCTTAATATTTTTCCGAATTCCCGATGAATTACACACTTTGCAATTCACGGATCCGTATGGCTTTCCTGAAAAATAGATTCTGAAAAATAGTTCCTGAAAACTGGATACTTTCCGCCACTTACAAGTCAAACGTTTAGATGCAGCAGCTCACTCCGATAAACTCGAGGAAATCGCCCGGAAGAAAGCTCTGAAGGACAAGCCAACGAAAAGTCTAGACTAGTCTTTCAAGCTAAAATCCTAAATAATCCATTTAGCTTTACGTTTACGGTAGTTTATTCAAACTTTTTCCCCCCAAATAAGCATTTAATACCGGTTTTTCTCATCTTATTCTTGTTCAAAAGATCTCTAGTCGTGTGTTGTTTTTTTAGTATACTGAACACAGTGATTTGGTCTTTCATTAGTTGAATAAATATTTCAGATGAAATAAGAAAGAGAGAAATCTCAAGGCTAAGCTTGAAGCTTCAACAATAGCAGCTTCAACAATAGCAGCTTCAACAATAGCAGCTTCAACAATAGCAGCTTCAACAATAACAGCAATGATGACACTCGTCAATGAAATGAAACGAGAGACAACTTGATGTAGAACAGAACGAAACAAGACAAGACAACAAAAGACAACAACACAGAAAAGACAACGAAACGCAATTTAAACTATTGGGTTGTTGAATTGAAAACTGCCGGCTATTGTCATATGTGACAGTTTGAGCACTTTCTTCAAAAGAAACCCATTTTGGTGTCAATGGAAAAGTTGTAGAGACCCGGGATAGGAGAGACTGAAAACGCCCCTGGGCCGGTTTAATTACCCAAGTCTCGTCTCTCTCCGTCTCTTTTTTCCACTTTTTTTGACGAAATTAGGATTCAAGGCTCTTAGCCATTTGGGCATGGCGATGAAATTATACAAATTTCTCTGGATCTTTAAAAACCCACCAACGCACATCCTTGGCCCTTTCAATTTGAATTCGGTCTCGACCGAAAGGGGAGAGATCGTAATTGCACCGCGGAGATCGAGGGTTTCCTGAAAATTTCAAATTTTTCGAAAGTTTTCGATTTGATCTTTGAATGAATCATCATTGAATTTGAATTTAAGGAACAAAAGAAAAGTCACTGCGCGTTCCCAAAGAACAAGTGCTCACTTGTTCTTTGGACACGCGCACAAGCGCTCGCCATCTGGGAAACCGGCCCTATATCAAAATACTTCCGTTTTGCACGGCGCTAAAACGGCGGTCTCGTGGGTTTCGACCGTCCAAATCCCAGGCCTCCAAACTGCCTGTAGATTCTAATAAAAGTAACCCGGAGTTGATTCAACTTTTACATCTTGAGTTGTAGACCATTTAAGTGGATCGACCCTTTCAGGTAGGTAGTCCAACTTTGGCCGAAATTTTCTCTATGTTTTTATATTAAAGGGGGGTATTAATCGCGGCCGGGTGACGATAAATTTTTTTTTTTAAATACTCTTCTTTTTTTTTTTTATATATTTTTTTTTAAAAAAAAAAAAAAATAAACCAGTTGAAAAATTTTTTTTGAAAATATTATTAATTTAAAAAAAAGAAAAAAAAAAAAAAAAAACACCAACAAAAATTTTTATAAAATTTTTTTTTTTTTTTATTTTTTTTTTTAAAAAATAAAAAAAAAAAAAAAAAAAAAAAAAAAAAAAAAAAAAAAATATTTTTTTTTTATTTTTTCTCTCTTTTTTTTTCATTTTTTTTTTTTTTAAAAAAAAAATTTTTTTTTTTTTTTTTTTTTTTTTTTTTTTTTTCCCCACATTTTTTAAAAAAAAATTCATTATTTTTTAAAAAAAAAATTTTTTTTTTTTTTTTTTAAAATTTTTTTTTTTTTTTTTTTTTTTTTTTTGTTTTTTTTTTTTTTTTTAAAAAAGGCCTTTTTAGTGAGGTGTCTGATGAGTGACGATCTTGTTTTTCTCCAAGCCTTGCAGTGTCTCCAAAAATTTGTAAACCCATCAAATCACACTAGCCGGGTGATTTTTATTCTTTTTATAGTATAATCAGTGATATTAAAAGAAAAAAACAGGTGGTTGCCGTAAAAAAAATTTTATCGTCACCCGGCCGCGATTAATACCCCCAAAAGTTGAGATATGGAGGAGAAGAGAAGAGTCGGAGTTTGACGACTCTCTACCCCCCTAGATAAATCTCTAGGGGGAGGTAGACAAATGGCTCGATTCCTGGAGAAAATCTAGATCTAGAAAATCTAGAGAACAACGTTGTGATCTGTTTAAAGTAACAAATAGCTAATTTTGTTTAAAGTTCTTAGTTAACAACGAAAACAATTCTATGATTTACTGTATAGAAAATCAAATTTTCTCTGATTCTCTCCGATTTTCTCTCAAAAATTCTCTGATTTCTGTCTGTTTCCCTGTTAGAAATAGAAATAGAAGTAAATAAAAAAAAAAGCTGAAAAACCGGACAAAGACTGGCCCTTTTGAGTGAGTTTGTTCCTTTTCCAATAAAGCTCGAAGCTAAAGCTCGAAGAACTGTGCGTTCTTTCCCTGTCGTTCGTAGGAAAAAGTGGCGTCTGGCACACTACTCTGGATAAAGCCCGCCTGAGTGCCGCCACGGCTGTTTTAATTACCCAAATTCGGCCAAAATGCGCGTTAAGCCACTGGAATCAGATTTCATTCTGAAGAATAGCTGATCCATCTGTGCGTTCTTTCCCTGTCGCTCGTAGGAAAAAGTGGCGTCTGGAACACTGCTTTGGATGGGGTCGGTAAAGACGGAAAAAAAACCGCGATCACTCAAAGAAATCCAAGCTACAACCAACAAATCTCCACACCAATTATCGCTCTTTTCTTTTGTTTTCTTTTTTTTTCAATGTTTTCTCGATTCCGAATCTTTTTCTGATCTCTGTCTAGTGATCATTTCGACGTTTTTCCCTCTTTTCTCGTATTTTGTGCGAAAGGGTGCTTTGCTTTGTGAACGGAAAGGGCCATCTTTTTCCCTTTTTTCTCTTTTTCCCCTTTTTCCCTCCTTTCCCATTTTCCCTTTTTTCCCTTTTTGCATCCGAAAAAACGCTCAAACACAAATCATAAATTTTTGAGTATAAAAACGATGCGAAATTCGACATAGTTCCTCAAAATTTGATCTGAGATTTGAAATTCTGAAATTTCCAATATGTTGTGGGCGATTTTCTTCGCGACAGCCTCGGCGGCACTCACGATTTACTTGATGTGAGTTGGAAATAGTATCCCTTTGTAAAGCTATAGGTCTTCATAATGATTACTGTAGTTTCAGCCACAGTATTCATACTATACAGTACTCTAGTTTCAGCTACAGTATCCCTTTGTAAAGCTATCGCTATATAGCTATGTAAAGGTCTTCTAATAAAGCTCGAAGAACTGTGCGTTCTTTCCCTGTCGCTCGTAGGAAAAGGCTTAAACAGCATAAGGATTACTGTAGTTTCAGCTATAGTATTCATAGTATACAGTACTCTAGGAGCTCTAGGAGGTACTCTAGAGCTATAGTATCCCTTTGTGAAGCTATAGAAATTTGCAAAATTCGAATTAAATGGAAATTCCGTAGCTCGGGTTACTGTAACTAGGCTTACTGTAGCTAAATGTCTGTTTAGGCGTACTGTAGCTAAAGTTCTCTTTAAGCTTACTGTAGCTAAGATTCTGTTTAGGCTTACTGTGGCTAAAGCTCTGTTTAGGCTTACGGTAGCCAGGGTACTGTAGCTCAGAATACTGTACTTGTACTCAACTTTGGTATTCCGTAGTACCAAAGTTGAGTACAAGTATTCTGAACTACAGTACCCTGGCCACCTCGGCGGCACTGACGATTTACTTGATGTGAGTTAGAAACGGTATCCCTTTGTAAAGCTATAGGTCTTCTAATAAAGCTCGTATAAAGCTTCTAATAAATCGTATACGTAGATTCAAAATTTTGACAAATCAGACCTCGCTGACACGTTAAATTTGAGCTAGAAGGCAAAAACTACGTAACTTAACGCTTTTCCGCAGTCTTTTGCCTTTTAGCCCAAATTTGACGTGTCAGCGAGGTCTGATTTGTCGAAATTCGGAATCTACGCATACGATTCCCTTACATAGAAATATTTTCGAAGCTCTACGGCCTTTCCTAAGGCCTTTTCCAGCAAAAAAAAAGGTGCGCAAATGTCCAGGTGCGCAAAAAAAAGGTCGCATTTGTCCCACCCCCCAAAATCTCGATTTTCCAGGTCAATCACCTCATAAAGTCAAAGCCGGACGCGCCTCGAGTTCACCTCGTCGAAGCCTGGGGACAGAGGTTATTAGAATTAGAAAGAATATTAGAATTAGAAAGAATATTAGAAAGATTAAGAAATAGGAATAATATTAGAAAGAATTTGAGCAAATTTCACAAATTACACCTAATTGCAGCATTTTTCATTTCGTTTCAACTCAGAGATTTAAGAAAATATCTGATTTCTTTGATTTTCTTCGATTTTCTTCGATTTTCTTCGATTTAAATTCAATATTTTTAGATGGAAACGCTTGCGAACGATTGTGAGCCCGCAATTCTCGAATAACTCACTCAAAAGGGTCAGTCTTTCAGCACTAAATCTCATTTGGAAGCCATTTACGAAGCAAAGGAAAAATCTTTATCTAAAGTGATCAGGAAGGTGTTCTTTGTGCACGCGGACAATCGCTTTGCATCTGGCAAAGCGGCCCGGGATAGGTTGCTTCTCTTTCGAAGCGAAGTCAAGCGTCAAGCGAAAGGAGCCAGCTTGGCTCCGCTTTTTCGGATCAATTTTTGGCCTATAATTTGTTAGTGGAATCAGTCGTTTTCTAGTTTATTCGAAAGCCTAAAATCTCCTCTATAAAACGATCTAAAAAACTAAGAATGAGAAAGAAAGTTCTCTGGAGAAAGTTATGGGCCTTTAAAGCAAGACGATTCATTCAGATTTTCAACGACAACCCGGGGTTGATTTCACTTTCCATTTCACAAAAATTTCAAATAGTTTTAGATCTAGCTTTAAGTTTCGATACTGTTTTGTTGTTTTGTTCTCCTATGATTTCTAAAAGCTTTTAGAAGCTTTTAGAAGCTTTTAGAAGCCTTTAGAAGCCTTTAGAAGCTTTTAGAAGCCTTTAGAAGTCTTTAGAAGCTTTTAGAAGCTTTTAGAAGCTTTTAGAAGCCTTTAGAAGCTTTTAGAAGCCTTTAGAAGCCTTTAGAAGCTTTTAGAAGCCTTTAGAAGTCTTTAGAAGCTTTTAGAAGCTTTTAGAAGCTTTTAGAAGCCTTTAGAAGCTTTTAGAAGCCTTTAGAAGCTTTTAGAAGCTTTTAGAAGCTTTTAGAAGCTTTTAGAAGCCTTTAGAAGCCTTTAGAAGCTTTTAGAAGCTTTTAGAAGCTTTTAGAAGCTTTTAGAAGCTTTTAGAAGCTTTTAGAAGCTTTTAGAAGCTTTTAGAAGTTTTTCTTCCAGATCCTGCCGACCATCAACGACTCATCGCGTCACCTCGTCGCACATCTTGGAAAAAATTTGAACAAAAACGAGCACATCAACATTCATCGGTGAGTTCGAAATTTTGAAATCTTTGAAAAATGCTTGTAAATCAATAAAAGAAGAGTACTTATGGGTTATAGCCACCGCATATTTTTCCATCATGAAAATATTTCAATTTTATGGGCAAACTATGTTTAAATTATACTTCTAAATAAAATTATACCCTAAAGTCTCGAGTATAAGTTCATCCGAGTATAAGTTCTGCCTTAATTTACATTCGCTTTGGCTTAATTTCGCTTAATTGCTTTGAATTTCTTTTTGTTGGGTTTTTATACATTTTTATTTTTATATAAACTTTTATTATTGTTCTTGGAGCGCGGGATACTACAGGGTGACAGCCTATCACCATTGCTATTTGTTATGTGATACATCCAGACGATAGTGCTGAAGAAGACGCTGGAAAGCATCTCTTTCGACCGTCGACGTGGACTTTGGCCGGATGAAGAGGCCAGGGAGGGATCCATAAGACTGAGCACCGGAGGGGAGCAGGGCGGACGCGCCGAGCCACGCCCGGAGCAACAAATAACAGCATAAAAATGCTATAACCCTCAATAAATTTACTTCTATTATTGTTCTTAAAAAGCAAAAAAGTTATGCTGCAGCGGGGTTCGAACCCTCGACACACCGCACCGGAGACAGCCGTCAATTTGCATGCGAAAACCAAACAGAACTTATACTCGCGACTTTAGGATACTAATAAATAACATAATAGATTCAATCTTAACAATATTTTGTTAAGATTAGCTTTAGCCGAATGCCTAAGCCTAAGCCGAATGCCTAAGCCTAAGCCTAAGCCGAATCCTAAGCCTAAGCCTAAGCCGAACCTAAGCCTAAGCCTAAGCCGAATGCCTAGGCCTAAGCCTAAGTCGAATGCCTAAGCCTAAGCCGAATGCCCAAGCCTAAGCCTAAGCCGAATGCCTAAGCCTAAGCCTAAGCCTTTACTCGCGACTTTAGGGTAGTAGATAAAGACTAAGCTAAACTAAGAAAGGCAAAGTTTTAGCCTTTGTTTAGTCAAGTGCTTAAATGTGCGGTGGGTAGAGATCTTTAACTTGAGAACATCTCTGGATTCTTTTCAAATCAACTCGAAAGGTTTCATTTAATAAATGAGTATCTTTTTAGCAAATAAAACCATCGTTTGATTTGATTATTTATTTACGATTATTTATTTATCTATGCTTTGATTCATTTTATTTATTTATTTTAGTTATTATCAAGAGTACACGATGGATGTGATCGCTCGTGTGGCGATGGGAGTCAAAGAGAGCCGACAATGGGACAGCGAATACCCGGAGATTTTGAGAGGGGTAAGGGAGCCTAAAAATTACTTTTTTTTACACGAATAATGGCACAAACATTACAGGGAAAAGTCCTTGAAAAGTTCTTTGAAAAGTTCTAGAAAAGTTCTAGAAATGTTCTTGAAAAGTTCTTTCAAAAGTTCTAGAAAAGTTTTTACAATAAGTTTGTTTTTTCTTTCAGATTTTCGATCGAAACCCCCGCGAGCCATTTTTCTTGCTCGCCTGTATGATGCCGTTCTTGAAACCGGTTCGTTTACGCTTTATCGTTCATTTACGCAAGGAAAAACTCTTTTTTTTTCCAAACTCGGAAGCTTACTTGAAATGGAATGAAGAAGTGTGGAGTGAAGAAAAGATTGTGAATCGATCTCGAACGTGATGTCATCGGGGCAAAAAGAGTGTTGAGAATGAAAGAAAAAAGCGGAAAAGCGAGTGGCGAGAAAAAGCCGGACTTTTGTCATTTATCCCTGTGCGAGAAGCCGCGCGATCACGTAAACATGGAAATTCTCATGTGAAATTTCTTGCAATCGCGTACCTTCTAGCGCACGGACTTGAGGTGTTTTTGGGCAATTCTAAAGGTCCAAAAGGTCCAAAAGATTCAAAAGATCCTAAAGATCCAAAAGATCCTAAAAATTTCCAGATCTTGGCTCCATCTTTCAAATGGTTAGCGAAAGTGTTGCGACTGCCGGCGAGTCGACTTTTTGAGCAAATCGAGAGCGCCGTTGAGGAGAGGAAAACATTGAGGGTGGCGTTTTTTTTTTGAAAGATACCGTAGATTCAGTCTAAATACCGCAAATGACGGGCGGAGTGTCGCGTAGTCTAACTTTGAATGCGTTTTTCTCGCCACTCATTGAAGCTAGAATTTCCGCAAAGATAGCAAAAAATAGCTGAGATTGAGCGCTATCTTTTGAGCCTAAAGACATCTTTTTTGAAACTACGAAAGCTTTAAAAAAAGACGAAATACAAAAAAAACTTTTGCGACGACGCGACTGTACGGGGATTTATGTAGCTAGATTACAGTATTATCTTATGTATTTTAGATCTAGAAATATCTACTATAAATCCAAGAATCTTGGCAAAAAAAGAAATAGGACCAGGGACTTTAGACTTTAGGACCAGGGAATCGTGACAAACGACGATATCGAAAAGATCCTAAAGATCCTAAAGGCCCTAAAGATCATAAAGGCCCTAAAGATCCTAAAGATCCTAAAGGCCCTAAAGGTCCTAAAGATCCTAAAGATCCTAAAGGCCCTAAAGATCCTAAAGATCCTAAAGGTCCTAAAGATTCAAAAGATCCTAAAGGTCCTAAAAATTCTAAAGATCCTAAAGATCCAAAAGATCCTAAAGATCCTAAAGATCCTAAAGCTCCTATAGATCCTAAAGATCCTAAAGATCCTAAAGCTCCTATAGATCCTAAAGATCCTAAAGGTCCTAAAGGCCCTAAAGGTCCTAAAGGTCCTAAAGATATCTACTACAAATCCTAGAGTCTTGGCAAAAAAGAAATAAACTTTAGGACCAAGGAATCGTGACAAACGACGACTTCATCGATCTCTTTTTGGATGCCGAAGCGCAAATCGATCACAAAACGGAGGGAGCTTTAGACCGGAAAGACGTTCATGTGAGCACTTGGCACTTTGTGCTCACGAAAATCGAAACACACCCCGATCTGGCGCACTGATTCTTGCCTTTGAAAGCGACTTTCGAAACGCTGTGCGCTCTCTCCCTGTCGCTTGGAGGAAAAAGCGGTGTTTGGCACAATGCCCGGGTAAAGGGCACTGAAAATCGGGCTTGGCCGGTTTAATTACCCAAGCCTCATGTCTCAGAAGTGGAGCGATCAAGAGAACACACAAAGAGCATGTTTCTCTTTTACAATCGAGCTTTTAGAATCGACTTTACAGGTGAACCGAAAGCTGACGACGGACGAGGTGATCGCTCAATGCTTTGTCTTTCTGGTTGCCGGCTTTGACACAACGGCCAACACACTGGCCTACGTTTCGCACTTTTTGACGAAAAATAAAGATGTGCAGGGCCGAGTGCGAGAGGAAATCGATCAGATTTGTACGACCGAGGTGATTAGAATCAAAATCATTTACGAAAACCGAAAGAACAGAGTCTTGGCCTTAGTTTTGGTGTGATTTGTGCTCAAATTTGTAAACGCCTCCCTTCTGGCACACAGAATTTCCCACTTTTCTCGTGACAACCACTTTCTAGCCACTTTCTAGCCTTTCTAGCTTTCTAGTGTCCCAGAAAGGGGCGCGTTTACAAATTCGAGCACAAAGTACACGAAAAGCTCCAGAAAAGCGACAGTATCGCATTTGAAATTTTTCCCATTTTCCAGGAGATCACCTACGAGCAGCTCAACGAGCTCAAGTACATGGATTGCGTGACAAAAGAGGGACTCCGACTCCATCCACTCGCAACAATGTCAGTCAAGATTTGAGTCTTAGAGTTTTGAATCTTTTCACGAAAAACCAACCGTAACCCCTCGGCTTAAAGACAGAGATTTCATAGATTTCATAGATTTCATAGCCAAGCCAAGACCAAGGCCAGGATCAAGACCAAGGGCAAGACCAAGGCTAAGACCAAGGCCAAGAACAAGACCAGGATCAAGACCAAGGTCAAGACCAGGATCAAGGCCAAGGTCAAGACCAAGACCAAAGCCATAACCAGGACCAAGGCCAGGATCAAGAACAAGCCAAGGCTAAGGCCAAGACCAAGACCAAGACCAAGCTCAAAACCTTATCAAAACTCTGGTTTTGAAACTGGTATTGTCGACGACAGGGAAAGTTGCCGAAATCTTAAAAAACCCCAGTTTTGCTTTTGCTTTTGATAGGCCTACTTTGGTGTACCGTACCTACCTTCGCATACAGTACGGTTTGAAGAATAGAGATACTGCAGTATACCGTAGTATACAGTGTATCGCTTATCCAAATTTTCACCCTGAAACCCCGAATTTCAGCGCTGTTTCCCGGGTGGCCGAAAGGGATTGCGAGTTCGCCGGTGTCCAAATCGACAAGGGAACGATTATTCAGGTGAATATGCAAATTTGCATACTTTGCATACTTTGCATACGCAAATTTACAAATTTCAGGTCGACGCCTACAGCCTACAAAAATCGAAAGAGATCTGGGGCGAGGATGCCGAGGATTTCGTCCCGGAAAGGTGAGCAAATGCAAATGCAAATTTCCTTTGCGCCCGTGCTTTGTGCTCTTCTAAACGCACGCTCGCTGGCACAGCTACCCCTAAAAGCAGCTAAGTTACCGTATTTATTAGCTAAGTTACCGTAAATGATCCCTTGTGGAAACTGCTAAGCCGAACTGTACTTTGTGCTCATAGAAACGCACGCTTTCTGGCACAGCTGAGGTTTATGCTTTCTGGCACAGCTGAGGAAAATCCATTGATCCTTTCCAGATGGATGAACGCCACGAAAGAGCAACACCAAGCCTATTTGCCTTTCGGTGGAGGGCCAAGGATGTGCGTTGGTGGGTTTTGAAGATCCAGAGAAATTTGCATACCGTATTTCTTCGAATAGAAGACCGGGTAAAGAGTATCATCGCGTACTCCGCGTACTCCTGTGTAGCAGCCCTTTTAAAATTTCTTTTCTGCATAAAAGCTTTCAATGAAGTGCTATGGGGCTGGAAAATGGCTCAAAAATCCCGTTAGCTACATGTGGATTTTTGAGCCATTTTCCAGCCCCTATAGCACTTCATTGAAAGCTTTTATGCAGAAAAGAAATTTTACAAAGGGCTTCTACGCAGGAGTACGCGATGATACGCTATGCCCAAATGGCTAAGTTAAGATTGATTCAGTTAAGATTAGCTGGATTACGGTATTCAGTCTAGATTAGGCTATTCAGTCTAGATTATGGTATTGAGGGAAGATTAGCTGGATTATGGTATTCAGTCTAGATTAGCTGGATTACGGTATTCAGTCTAGATTAGCTGGATTACGGTATTCAGTCTAGATTAGCTGGATTACGGTATTCAGTCTAGATTAGCTGGATTACGGCATTCAGTCTAGATTAGCTGGATTACGGTATTCAGTCTAGATTAGCTGGATTACGGCATTCAGTCTAGATTAGCTGGATTACGGTATTCAGTCTAGATTAGCTGGATTACGGCATTCAGTCTAGATTAGCTGGATTACGGTATTCAGTCTAGATTAGCTGGATTACGGCATTCAGTCTAGATTAAGGTATTCAGTTAAGGCATCCGAATTCGGTCGAGACCGAATTCAAATTGAAAGGGCCAAGGATGTGCGTTGGTGGGTTTTGAAGCTCCAGAGAAATTTGCATAATTTCCTCGCCATGCCCAAATGGCTAAGAGACTTCAATCCTAATTTCCTCAAAAAGTGGAAAAAAGAGACGGAGAGAGACTTGGGTAATTAAATCGGTCAGGGGCGTTTTCAGTCTCTCCTATCCCGGGGCAGTGTGCCAGACGCCGCTTTTTCTTACGAGCGACATGAAGAGAGCACACGGCGTCATGGAGAGAGCGCAGGATTGTTTTTGATGTGAATTATAAATTTGCATATATCTATTATCAGAATCTATTATTTTCTACGATTTCTTATCTGATTCGAATCGAATCTATATCTCGCTTGACGATAGCGATTGTAGCCCAGAACCATGTGATGCCGATGAGAACTCGGAGTAGAGCGCCTCCCACCCTGGACACTGTGCATTGTGGTGTGAAATAGGTTGGCCAACAGATGATGCAGTTCGAGACGTCGCATATGTTGAGAGGAGGGCATTGGAGTAGTCGTTTTTCTCGTAGATTTCCATTTTTCCAGGCCGTGATCTCAATGGCGCACGGCGTCAGGATTGTTTTTGATGTGAATTATCAATTTGCATATATCTATTATCAGAATCTATTATCCAAATCTATTATTTTCTACGATTTCTTATCTAATTCGAATCCGTTTTCTCTTCCAGGCAGCCGCCTCGCGTACACCGAAGAAAAGATGGCGTTGGCGCAACTTTTGAGGAAATACGAGCTGGTGGACGCGGAAAAGCCACAGGTTTGCCATCTTTGATCGCTTCTTTGATCGCTTTTAGCTATTCAAATTCAAATTCAAGCCAAATTTGGGGCAGTAATTGAGGCCTGGGATTTGGACGGTCGAAACCCACGAGACCGCCGTTTTAGCGCAGTCCAGAACGGAAGTATTTCATATAGCGCCGGTTTTTGCCAGATGGCGAGCGCTTGTGCGCGTGCCCAAAGAACAAGTGCTCAGTCACTTTTCTTTCGTTCCTTAAATTCAAATTCGGTGACGAGATTCATTCAAAGATCGAATCGAAAACCTTCGAAATTTGAAATTTGAACTTTTCAGGAAACCCTCGATCTCCGCGGTGCAATCACGATCTCTCCCCTTTCGGTCGACGTCCGAATTCGGTCGAGACCGAATTCAAATTGAAATTCTCTCTTTTTTTGTATATAGTTTGTCAAATAAAACGAAAAACAAACTGTTCGCAAAGGAATTGAAGCAAAAACAACACGTTTTTTGTGAAACATTATCAATTTCATCGATTTTAAACGAAAGTTGTGTTTATTTGTTAACTATTTAATTGAATTAATTAACATAGTTAATTAATTAAATTAAGTAGTTAACAAACAAACTTTAGAAGCTTTAGAGGCTTTAGAGGCTTTAGAGGCTTTAGGGTTTACAGGTTTTAGAGGCTTTAGAGACTTTAGAGGCTTGAGAGACTTTAGAGACTTTAGTGACTTTAGAAGTTTAGAAGTTTTAGAGGCTTTAAAGGCTTTAGAGGTTCAGAAAAGTAACGAAAAATCCCTATGTTTACCTGAACACGAGCACAGTTGTCCATCTTTCGAAGTCGATTGTCGTCGAATGAATCAATTCGGCCACTCCCGATCCGAGATTGATCTCGAATCTCACTTTTCTCTCTTTTGTCATCTCTTTTGTCAAACTTTCCCCCCCAAATAAGCATTTAATACCGGTTTTTCTCATCTTATTGTTGTTCAAAAGTCGTGTGTTGTTCTCTAGTCGTGTGTTGTTTTTTTAGTATACTGAACACAGTGATTTGGTCTTTCATTAGTTGAATAAATATTTCAAATGAAATGAGAAAGAGAGAAATCTCAAGGCTAAGCTTGAAGCTTCAACAATAGCAGCTTCAACAATAGCAGCTTCAACAATAGCAGCTTCAACAATAGCAGCTTCAACAATAACAGCAATGATAATTACATAGTTAATTAATTAAATTAAGTAATTTCAATTTTTCGCCACCTTTTTCATTTCCTTGCTTCTTTATCAAAAGATTTCATTTCCTTCCAAATCCCGATGCTTTTGTGATGCAAGAAAATCTCTCGTATCAACTCTAATCCCCAAAATCTCTCCTCGATCCCTTTTTATCAAAAATATTGCAAAAAACGTTGAAAAAACGTTGCACCACGTAAATGATTGTATAAAAGTCGGCTGAAATTCTCATTTTCCATTTCATTTTTGCTTTCTTTTTGAGCCTTATCATTTGACGGAAATAAATTTACGTTTAAAATGGCATCAACGAAAAACTTTTGTGACCTTGAAGGCTTTCTTTTTGCGCGAAATTGATGCTAAAAGAATCCTTTGCTAAGGAAAATGGGTCGAATGGAGAAATTGATCGAAACGGGTCCAGACGAGCGCACACCGACCACTCTCAACGAGTCACTTCTCGGGAGTTTGGTCCGGCAAATTGGGGACAGACCGGTGAGGAATATTACTAATAATATTACTAATAATATTACTAATAATATGACTAATCAAAGACGACGTTTAGCTGCTATGAATTTTGCTCGACAATCAACTCCATTCAGGTGGCCATCATCTCTATTTGTGGGAAAATTCGGCACGGGAAAACTTTCCTCAGCAATGTTTATCTCGACACTTTGCGACGAGGACGATTTCCTTATCGAAGCGATGACGACATTATTGGGTGAGAAGCTTCTATGTTTACCGCTTGCTTTCACAGTCGCGCGCATTTTGCCCGAATTTGGGTAATTAAAACAGCCGTGGCGGCACTCAGGGGGGGCACATCGGCGCGAAAATGCGTTTTCTATCGGATTTTTCTGGGAGTACCTTTTTTAGATGCGGAAAACTGTGCTGATTCCGAATCTGAAGGAATTTTCCAAATCCCTCTGACAGAAATTTTTTAAATTGAGTTTTAGCAGTTTTTTGGTCATTTTGTATGGGAAATTTTGTGGTACCCTGCAGTTTGGAGCTCGTAACTCGACAACGAGGGTCTAGAACCAAAAACGAAGGAGTAGGTCTTATTCTAGAGATTCTTACGAATATTTTGATGCAAAAATCATAAAATTTGCTCAACTCCACAAAAAGTTATAACATCTTTAAAGAAATTTTGCAAAATACACTAAAAACATCAGGGGAAACCGTGGCCGAGTGGTCTAAGGCGCGCGACGTCAATCCAGCGCAAAAGTACGGGGTTGTTGGTTCGACTCTCCCGCGCACTTCAGTCATTATTTTGCATATTCCTTAATTGTTTTGAGTGAATACGATACATAGCTACATTGTTCTTTTGAACAAAACAATTGTGCAATAGAGAATTTTTTAAATTTTCTCATTTCTTCTTTAAAAAATGTTATAACTTTTTGTAGAGTTGAGCAAATTTTATGATTTTTGCATCAAAATATTCGTAAGAATCTCTAGAATAAGACCTACTCCTTCGTTTTTGGTTCTAGACCCTCGTTGTCGAGTTACGAGCTCCAAACTGCAGGGTACCACAAAATTTCCCATACAAAATGACCAAAAAACTGCTAAAACTAAATTTCTGTCAGAGGGATTTGGAAAATTCCTTCAGATTCGGAATCAGCACAATTTTCCGCATCTAAAAAAGGTACTCCCAGAAAAATCCTATAGAAAACGCATTTTTGCCTTATTTCGCGCCGATGTGGGGGGGGCACAACGAGTACGTAGTTTGAAAAAAAACATTTGTCTTCAAATCAAAAATCTAAGCACTAACAATTCTTAAATGATGTCCAACTAAGAGAAAAAATGCAAAAAGAATCGATTTCGACTTGTCAATTTTTTGTTGATAGGTCGAGAAATTTTGTCTTTTGACCTAAACAATTCACCTAAGATATCCCAGTTGCAATTATTCAAATTCCACTTTCCTGGGCCAATTTTTTGCGTAGATTCCAAAAAACACACTTTCACCACGATTTGACGACGGTATCGCGATGAAAAGTGACTTTGAAAATTTCTAGATTTCAACTTTGGTGCTCGGAAGGGCAAAAACCTGAATAAAATAGAAAACATATAGAAAAACTACTACCATCGTGTAGAGCTCAACCTGAGCTTTCAGAATATACATAACACTTATGGGTTCTGTCGAGTACTTCTGTAGATATGGCGTATCAAAGTTGGTGAACTCCATGGCCAGCACCGTTGATGTTTTGATTAGGTCAAAAGACAAAATTTCGCGACCGATCAACAAAAAATTCACAAGTCGAAATCGATTCTTTTTGCATTTTTCTCTTAGTTGGACGTCATTTAAGAATTGTTAGTGCTTAGATTTTTGATTTGAAGACAAAAATTTTTGTACTCGTTGTGGAGGGGGGCTTTATCCAGAGTAGTGTGCCAGACGCCGCTATTTAAATTTAGCTGAGATGCGTCTGGGTTGTCTGAGATGTGTCTGGGATGTCTGAGATGTGTCTGGGATGTCTGAGATGTGTCTGGGTTGTCTGAGATGTATCTGGGTTGTCTGAGATGTGTCTGGGATGTCTGAGATGTGTCTGGGTTGTCTGAGATGTATCTGGGTTGTCTGAGATGTGTCTGGGATGTCTGAGATGTGTCTGGGTTGTCTGAGATGTTCTGTCTGAGATGTGTCTGGGATGTCTGAGATGTTCTGGTTGTCTGAGATGTCTGGTCTGAGATGTGTCTGGGATGTCTGAGATGTGTCTGGGTTGTCTGAGATGTGTCTGGGTTGTCTGAGATGTGTCTGGGATGTCTGAGATGCGTCTGGGATGTCTGAGATGTGTCTGGGATGTCCGAACAACCTAATAGAAGCACAAAAATTTAAATAGCGGCGTAATTAAAACAGCCATGGCGGCATTCAGGCGGGCTTTATCCAGAGTAGTGTGCCAGACGTCACCTATTTCTGTGAGCGACAGGGAAAGAACGCACAGATGGATCAGCTATTCTTCAGAATGAAATCTGATTCCAGGGGCCCAACGCGCATTTTGGCCGAATTTGGGTAATCAAAACAGCCATGGCGGCACTCAGGCGGGCTTTATCCAGAGTAGTGTGCCAGACGCCACCTTTTCCTGTGAGCGACGGGGAAAGAACGCACAGCTGGATCATTCAGAATGAAATTTGATTTCAGTGGCCCAACGGGAAACCCTTTCCGAAACATCGACGACACGGATACTCAGGGAGTCCAAGTGTGGAACGAAGTTCTTTCCTATCAAAACGAACAAGGCGAAGAGGTCGAAAATTGATGGAAAAGCATCAAACAACCAAAAAAGTTCCCATTTTCAGTTGGCCGTTTTGCTCATCGATTGCCAGGGAACATTCGACATTCGAAACACGACTCCGTTCTTCGTCGTGCTTTTCATCAACACGCTGCTGCTTTCGTCGGACTTGGCAAGTCTTTAGGAGAAGGTTAAACTCGTCTTACAGTCCTTGGACTGCTTTGCTTCCTTGGACTGCTTTGCGATTGCTTTTGAAACACGAAAAGAAACAAAAGATCTTGAAAACCGTTTAAAAACCGGTTTTAAAACAAGAAACAAACATTGATTCACACAAATAATACGGTACAAACAATAAACAAGCACAACCCCCTACCCTAAATGAAAGAAAGAACCAATAATCCAACGGGTGGGATTGAACCAATGGACGGGATTGACCTCCTAAGATCCTCCTAAGATCCTAAGACCTCCTAGGATCCTAGATCCTCCTAATATCCAAGACTTTTAGCCAGTCGGCCATGACGGCAAAGTCGAGGGGCGCGGGAAACGCGGTAATTTAAAAGTGCTCTCTTTTTAAAAGCTATTGTGTTCAAACAAACAATAAACAAGCACAACCCCTACCCTAAATGAAAGAAAGAAAGAAAACTGGGGAAAAGGAACCGATAATCCAACGGGCGGGATTGAACCAATGGGCGGAATTGACCTCCGGACTCTTAAGAACAAGACTCTTAGCCAGTCGAGGATTGACTCGAATTGACCTCCAGACTCTTAAGAACAAGACTCTTAGCCCCTCGACTTTGCCATGGCGGCAAAGTCGATGTGCGCGGGAAACGCGGTAATGAACGTACTCTCTTTTAAAACCTTTCGTCTTCGGAGAATGAAATTGACAAAGTTTTGAAAAAACAACTAAACCATAACTTTTTTTCAAAAGCTTTCAAATTTTTTCGAATAACCATTGAAGTTTTGTTGTTTATTGCAGTGATTCAATTAAAAAGAAGTTTTTTTTTTGTTTTAAGGTGCTGAACTTTTCGCAACAAGTCGACGGTCACGATCTCTCGTCACTTCAAGAATTCATCGCTTACGCGCAACAAGATCGTGGAAGAATTGGACAAGTTCGTCGAATTTATCATTAGAAAAAACTCTAGAGAATGGCTGCCTATAGGAGCGTCGCGTTGCCGCAAGTTTATTCTCGACACCGATTTTCAATCGCTTTTTTCTAAGCACTGGCTAACGCAAAAATGATGTGCTATATCTCAAAAAAACGCCCATTTTTTCTACTTTAATTTGACACCAAAACCCGCTGAAATAAACGTACTGGTGTCGAGATATGAGCGTTTCTTTGAGAGTTGAACGCGACGCGACACTCCGACGCTTCTTTTAGAGATTTTAACCGTTTCTTATCAAATAGAAAATCAAAATCTTTTCGTTAACAAGTTTTCTATTAGAATCTGATGATTTTAATCCGAGACGCGAGACGAGCGCGAAAATTCGACGAACAATACTTGAACAGTCATTTGCGAAGCGTCGAAATTGGACGCAAATTGGATGAAACTTTTGAAAAAGTCGAATGTTGGACAGCGCCACGCCCCGATGCCGCTGTTCACAATGGGGATATTTCTGTCAGAGTTGGAGGTAAGGGTTTGCATTCGATTTGATCAAAGCATTCGATTTGATCAAAGCATTCGATTTGATCAAAGCATTCGATTCTATCAAAGCATCCGATTCTATCAAAGCATTCGAATGATCAAAGCATTTGATTCTATCAAAGGATTCGATTCGATTAAAGCATTCGATTCTATCAAAGGATTTGATTCGATTAAAGCATTCGATTCAATTAAAGCATTTGATTCTATCAAAGCATTTGATTCGATCAAAGCATTTGATTCGATCAAAGCATTCGAATGATCAAAGCATTTGATTCTATCAAATCATTCGATCCTATCAAAGCATTTGATTCTATCAAAGCATTCGATCTTTGACCTTTCAAAATCTTTTCCTGATCACAAGACAGAGATCAGGAAAAGATTGGGAATTGAGAAAAATTGAAAAAACAAAACAGTGCTAATTGGTGTCTGTTCACAATGGGAATACTTCAGTCAGAGTCGGTTTTGCAAAAAATTTCGAATACTTGCTTATTTTTTGATTTTAAAAAAAGCATTACAAATGCAGAATGGAAACAATTCGTTTTTGCTTATTTTCATCCTTTCAATCTTCCAAAAAGACTCTTTTACACATTTTTATAAATGTAAATTAAGAAGATAGGGAAATTGAGTGGTATTTGAAACGTTTCTTGTCTCGATTTGACAAAGAAAAACAAAGGACTGAACTTCTCTAACAAAAGATTCGTCAATGCAGCAAAAGAAGTGGTGCTTTTGAAAAACGAATCAATAATGGAAAACTAGTCATTTTGTTTCGAAATTTCATTGAATGAGTTTCCAGATTGTGGACGCGATTTCATCAATTCCCTATGCGAACTCGTCAACCATCAACTCGACAATCTCAGGGGGAAAACTTTCTGCGGCGCGCCGGTCACTGGTGCAACATTCGACCCATTTGTGAGGGTAAGTTGGCCAGGATTCGATGGCCAGGGTTGGATGGCCAGGGTTGGATGGTCAGGGTTGGATGGCCAGGATGCTTTGCTGTTGGCCAGCAACAACAGCAAAGCGACAGCAAAATAAAACGGCAAAATTTAAGGCGGAGCATCTCATCTTTGTCAACTATATTTCAGTAGTTTTCCAGAAATATTCAAATATTTATTTTAAATATCGAGTAGTCAAATAATGGAAATCTCTCTTGTTAGAAAGAAATTGTTGTTGCTATTGTTCCCTCAGGGGAAAAACTTTCTGCGGTGTGCCGGCGACTGGTGCAACATTCGAGCCATTTGTGAGGGTAAGTTGGCCAGGATTCGATGGACCGGATGGCCAGGATTGGATGGCCAGGATCGGATGGTCAGGATTGGATGGCCAGGATCGGATGGTCAGGATCGGATGGTCAGGATTGGATGGCCAGGATCGGATGGTCAGGATTCGATGGCCAGGATCGGATGGTCAGGATTGGATGGCCAGGATCGGATGGTCAGGATCGGATGGTCAGGATTGGATGGCCAGGATCGGATGGTCAGGATTCGATGGCCAGGATCGGATGGTCAGGATTCGATGGCCAGGATCGGATGGTCAGGATTGGATGGCCAGGATCGGATGGTCAGGATTCGATGGCCAGGATCGGATGGTCAGGATTCGATGGCCAGGATCGGATGGCCAGGATTGGATGGCCAGGATCGGATGGTCAGGATTCGATGGCCAGGATCGGATGGTCAGGATGCTTTGCTGTTGGCCAGGATTTATTCAAAGCAACAGCAAAAAACGGCAAAATCTAAGACGGAAATTGTTCCCGTGGATTTAGTAGGGATCAGACTAGAGAAAAAACGGGCCAAAACAAAAACCCTTTAATATAAGATCAGTAAGGCGATGATTTGGACGAAAATGTAAAGTGAACATTAGAAAAAAGTGCTCCGACCGTTTCCGTACCCGTTCAGATCAGACCTAAAGCTAGGGCAGAAGCCGAGAGAATTGGCTTTTGGCTGTACTTTTTGTGAGATAGCGTAGTGGCAAAGCCAGGCGAGGCGGGTGACCCGTCAAGCCCACGCTCAGCTTCAGATCTAGAGCCAGATCTGGCTAAAAATAGCCAAAAATCTGGTCCCTGATCACCCAATCTCGACCACAATCATCCCTTTTTCAGAACATCGTCGAACAGGTCAAAGCCAACACACCGGCGGACATAAAAAACGGTTTTGAGGTGAATTTCGGCAATAGAAAAGGGAAATTTCGGGACTAAACAAGTCAAGATTTAGGCAAATATGGCGTTGTTCAACGAGCGCGCGGTAAACGTCGGAAAAGAGACTTTCGAGGAGGTAAAAAATGACCATAAGCTCAAGTTTAGACAGTCTTAACTCATTGCATTCTACTCTCCATAGAGAGGAGCTGTCTGTCTGTATGCGAGAGTTCGCAAACTCGAAACTCAAAGATGATTTGGACGAAACTCAAACGACAATTTACATAATTTTTTGGTTGTTAGTCTTCGAATTCTATGCAGTTATGCATCTCATATTTCGTTTTTTTAAAAAGCAAAAGTCACGTCACGGCCGGGACTCGAACCCGAATCATGTGGGCCGTAAACAAGCGTGCTGCCGATCTGACGCCACAGCGCGGTGGCTGCTGCTGCCGACTGCGCTGTGGCGTCAAATCGGTCCGAGCAGAAATATTGAACTCAAAGCGGCAAAGACGGCAAAATCATGTTTCCAGAGAGTTTCCAAATACAACGGAAAAGTGATCACCGTGGAGAGTTTTGCCAAGATCATCGAGGAGAGCCGACGAATCGCCCTCAACGCTTACAAGGTCTCTTCAATGTGTACTTTAAGCTTGAAAATTGTAAACAAAACGTAAACACCCTATCTAGTGCACGTAAACACGAATTCTTCGAGCCATCAACTCGTTCGTTCAAAAAAATATTCGAGAATTGAGTGCGTTTACGAATTTGGAGCATTCATCCCCAAAAAGGGTGATCTTTTGATCATAAAGCAAGAATCATAAACCCTAAATTCTCCGTGGTGCGCCAAATGGCGCGCGTTTACGAGCCGAGCACAAAGTATTAGGTGTGTGAAAAAGAAAAATCCACGTTTTTAACGTTTAAATATAAAAGACCATAAGTTTCGTTAAAATAATTTTTATTCAACGAAGTAATCACCATTCGAAAGAACAACCTTTTGCCAACGTTCTACAAGTAAAGACATTCTATGATAATAAAAATCTTGGTCCTTAGAGGCGAAGAAAAGATCAACCTCGGTTTTGACATCTTCTTCGGAATTGAACCATTTATTGGCCAGAGACAGAGACAGTTAGACAGCCAAAAAGTTAGACAGAGACAAAAATAAATAATAATCAGATGGAGAAAGGTCTGGACTATAAGGTGGATGTGGTAAAACCTCCCATCCAACACTCTGGATTTGTTGTCGAGTCTGTAAAGAGACATGTGGTCGCGCGTTATCATAGAGCAACAGGACACCTTTCCTATTTACCAATGATGCGCGTCTCTCAGTGAGTTTTTGTTGAACTGCATCAATCTCGGCACAATAGACATTCGAATTAATCGTTTGGCCACGTGGTAAATAGTCTATGTGCATAATACCACGTGCAGTCCACCAAACTGTCATTAAAATTTTTTTAGGATGGAGGCTTTTTTTGGGCATTGTCCCAGCAGGTTTACCACGTTCCACCCACTGTCCAAACCTTCTAGAATTATCGTAATCAACCCATTTTTCATCACACTTAACAATTCAATCAATAAATGGCTCAAGTTGATGTTTACTAATCAAAGAATTGGCGATTGTAAGGCGCATTGTTTTGTTTTCTTCGCTCAATTCATCCGGTATCCATTTGTCCAACTTTTTGACAAAATTCATGGCATTCAAGCGTTTCTTTACGGTTGATCCATCACAATTTAATGTAAAGCCTATTTCTGAAGAGGTTGAACAAGGGTTTTTCGAGAAGACAGCGTCTTATTTGGTCATCAGATAAAAATAAAAAACGTGGATTACTTTTTCACACACCTAATAATAGGGGGAAAACAATTCTAAAGCCAAATCTTGAAATTTCAAGGAATGTGTCCGCTTCGGCACGTCGGCAGACAAGCGGAAAGCGAAGAAAGAGTTCGTCGAATGGCTTGAGGTTTGGGAAAATTGGGGAAAGAAAAAAACGATAAAAACAATAAAAACATGGCTCTTTTCCGTTTTCTTGTCATTTCTAGGTATTTTGAGTGATCAGACTTAAAGCGGCAACACTTTTTGCAATCTTTTGATCTCTCCCAACTTTGAAATTTCTCAGCGTACGGAAAAAAAAGTCGATTTCGAACTCTCGAACGATATTTTTCGGCCAGATTGGCTCACTGATCGGTCAAGTTTCCCTTTGATGAACAAGCGCTTAGCTCTATTAAACTCAAGTTTCCTTTGACAGAACCAATAAAATGACTGCAGTCAATAGATTTGCCGACCCCGAAAACCCCTGGGCACAAATTTTTAGCACTAAATCTCATTTGGAAGCCAATTATAAATCTCAAAGCAGAAAAAAACTCACTGTATAAAGTGAACGGCGGTGTTCTTTGTGGGGGCGCGTAATCGCTCTCGATCTGGCAACTCGCTCTGGTATATATCGTGGAAAGGGAAATGAGTCTACTTACCCAATATTGATTGAAAAGGATGGAAACTATTTTTATTGATTTGACTTTATTGAATAAATATTTCTATTTGAAATTGGGAATGGGACAAATGCGACCTTTTTTTTGCGCACCCGTACATTTGCGCACCTTTTTTCCGCACTTAGCCCATTAGCGCACCTTTTTTCGCGTTTTAAAAAAGCTCTAAAAGCTAATATTAACCAATTTCTATTCTAAAAGTTGTTTTTCTACAGTCATGCACAAAAGTCTTGTAACATCCAGTTTAGCAAATTTCAAAGTGTAATAACTTTTTTTGAAACAGGCGAATTCCCAAACAGTTTTTGGTTTTCAGTTGTCAAAAATTTCTATTTTTATATGCAAGAAAAACTTTATTGAAACGATTAACAAAAATTAAGAAAAACAAATAAAAACAAAAAACGGGCGTATTTTTGATGCTCAAAAGTCTTGTAACATTTGAAATATTTTGCTTTTTTTTTTGGTTTTTCTTTTTATATAACAAAAAATTATTTTTTTTAAAGATGTCTGGACAATATTTGTCAACTCGGGACAAAGAAAAAATTGTGGAAGCGCGAGAGAAAGGAATTCAGAGGAAAGATGTGGCAGCTCTCTTCAAATGCAGTGAAAAAACGGTATCTATAATTGTCGGGACGTTCAAAACGACTGGATCTGTTCACCGAGCTTCAAAATCAGGCCGTCCACCAATTACAACACCCAGAGAGGATAAAGCGCTCGTCAAAGCTCACAAAAATAACAAGGATCTCAATGCGAGTGATGGAGTCGTCATGATGAAGAGTCAATTCGGCAAGGATATATCACGAATGACAGTGAACCGACGCTTGATTCGTGGTGGGTTGGTGACAAGAAGAGCAGCCAAGAAGCCCTGGATGAATGCCAAGCATTGGAAGATTCGTTTGGAGTTTGCAAAGAAGTATGACAAAATGATTGGGCAAATGTGATTTTTACTGATGAGTCAAAGGTCAATCTTTTTCGCCCGGATGGCAACCACTTGATCAGAAGACCAATAGGAAAGCGGTAAAACATCAGATATGTGTGACCAACCGTGAAATTTGGCCAAGGATCAATCATGCTTTGGGGTAAGGGCTACTTTCGTGGTGCACACTCTCAACTCTGTCTTTCAGGTGCAATGTCGAGAAATTCACCAGTTCCGCTAGTGCTACTAAACTCAACGCTCAACGCTGAAGGCTACAAATCAGTTCTCCAGAATCATCTTCTGCCATTTTCAATTGCAAAAATGGGCCCTGGATGGCTGCTTTATCAGGATAATGCGCCTTGCGACAAGAGTCAATTGCTAATGGGCCGGGTCGTCACTCTCGCAAATGGTGGAAAAGCTCGTCTTCCAGGATGGTTCAAAGCAAATCGTGTTCAACTTATCTCAGCTCCTCCATACAGCCCAGATTTGAGCATCTTTGGGCTTTTTTGAAGTCAAAGCTGGAGGGAAAGTGACTCACCTCGAAGATAGAGATTTGGTTCTTCATTCGCCGTACCGGGTCATCCCTGGAAGCCCAAATTCTACGCGATTTAGTTTATTCAATGCCAAAGCGGATCCAGGAAGTCAACAAAGCTAAAGGTGGACCAACGAAGTATTAAAAATTTGATAATTTCTATGTTTTTTTTCAAATGTTACAAGACTTTTGAGCATCAAAAATACGCCCGTTTTTTGTTTTTATTTGTTTTTCTTAATTTTTGTTAATCGTTTCAATAAAGTTTTTCTTGCATATAAAAATAGAGATTTTTGACAACTGAAAACCAAAAACTGTTTGGGAATTCGCCTCTTTGCAAAAAAATTATTACACTTTGAAATTTGCTAAACTGGATGTTACAAGACTTTTGTGCATGACTGTATTTTTCTAGGTAATTTGAGGGCCTAGAATCGAGATTTTGACATATCGGAGCTTGTGGAAACAAACGGACGGAGTTATACAAAGAGAAAAATCAACAATTTTGATTTGATCGTAATTTGAGTAATTTGATCTAGCCGTTTTGTCTTTCAAATTGGTTCCACACGCTCTGTTATGTCAAAATCTCGATTCTAGGCCCTCAAATTACCTAGAAAAACAACATTTTGAATAGAAATTGGTTAATATTAGCTTTTAGAGCTTTTTTAAAACGCGAAAAAAGGTGCGCTAATGGGCAAGGTGCGGAAAAAAAGGTGCGCAAATGTCCGGGTGCGCAAAAAAAAAGGTCGCATTTGTCCCAATCCCTTGAAATTGACTCATTACTTATGGGCCAATCCATTGTATAAGCAGATAAATTAAAACTAAATATAGTAGCTAAGATTTGATTTTGTTTTAGAAGAGAATCGACGAGTTGAAGCAAGAAAACCAAAAGAAGTACGAGCTGAAAGAAAAAGAGAAAATTTGCGATGAACTTTTGCAGGATTTTAAAGCCACGGTGATTTTTAAAGCCATTTTCTTCCTAACTTCTCAAAACTTTAGCCATTTGACTTCAAAGGAGGCGCTTTGGGCTTTGCAAAGCAATATTGCGAGCTGTACAACGCGACAAAGGAGCAATATGATAAAGGTATTTTCGATAAAAGTTAAATTTTACTTAATTCTTAGTTAATTTTTAACATAAACAGCTGGTTATATGCTAAATTTTAAACTTTAATTTTTATTTATTTGATTTATTTAATTTATTTAGGGGGTGGGACAAATACGACCTTTTTTTTGCGCACCTGGACATTTGCGCACCTTTTTTTGCTGGAAAAGGCCTTAGGCAAGGCCGTAGAGCCGTAGAGCAAAAGACTGCGGAAAAGCGTTAAGTTGCGTAGTTTTTGCCTTCTAGCTCAAATTTAACGTGTCAGCGAGGTCTGATTTGTCAAAATTTTGAATCTACGTATACGATTCCCTTCTATGAAAACATTTTTGAAGCTCTACGGCCTGCCTAGGCCTTTCCAGCAAAAGGTGCGCAAATGTCCAGGTGCGAAAAAGGTCGCATTTGTCTCCCCCTTTATTTATTTAATATTTTTCATTTAGCAACCGAGGCTTTTACATTGACGCAAGAGGATGAGAAATGGGACGATTTGAAGAAGAAAATCGAGGTTGGGTTTTTTTGATTCAAAATCATCTAAATTCGTCGATGTCGTGTGATTTTTAGAAAAAGCGAGCAAAGCGTTTGTCAAAGTTGCAAAGGAACACATTGGAAATGAAGAGAAAACGCTCGTTGAGGCACAGCTGGGTGCGTTGAAGAAACAATTGAAAGAGTTGGGCAATTGGAAAGGAATTCTTTATGGTTACCGTCAAAAACTCTAGTAGAAGACCCGAGTTTTCTATTTCTCAAAATCGGTTGAGCCGTAGAGCAAAAGACTGCGGAAAAGCGTTAAGTTGCGTAGTTTTTGCCTTCTAGCTCAAATTTAACGTGTCAGCGAGGTCTGATTTGTCAAAATTTTGAATCTACGTATACGATTCCCTTCTATGAAAACATTTTTGAAGCTCTACGGCCTTGCCTAAAGCCTTTTCCAGCAAAAAAAGGTGCGCAAATGTCCAGGTGCGCAAAAAAAAGGTCGCATTTGTCTCACCACCTTTATTTATTTAATATTTTTCATTTATTTTATTTATTTATTTAATATTTTTCATTTAGCAACCGAGGCTTTTACATTGACGCAAGAGGATAAGAAATGGGACGATTTGAAGAAGAAAATCGAGGTTGGGTTTCTTTTTTTTTTGATTCAAAATCATCAAAATTCGTCGATGATCGTGTGATTTTTAGAAAAAAGCGAGCAAAGCGTTTGTCAAAGTTGCAAAGGAACACATTGGAAATGAAGAGAAAACGCTCGTTGAGGCACAGCTGGATGCGTTGAAGAAACAATTGAAAGAGGTGGGCAATTGGAAAGGAATTCTTTATGGTTGCCGTCAAAAACTCTAGTAGAAGATCCGAGTTTTCTATTTCTCAATCCCCAAAATCGGTTAGCCAAAAAAGTGGATAAGGAATCAAAATCAAAATTGTTTTTTCTTTCGTAAAAACTATGCGACGTGAGAGCCGTTGGTCTAAAACGTGAAGAAAGCATGTTTAAAAGTGAAAATTTGTCAAATGTATAAACCTCAAAGGTCGATGACTAGAAGTGGTCGTTTCATTTTGCAATCTAAACCCGTTTCCTCGTTTCCTAAAGAGGAAAAGGATATCAGATAAAATTTGAAATTGAAATAATAGTAAAAAGGAGAAATGGAAAGGTTTCTCTTTCTCGAGATGAAGCTAAGTTTATGCTTGATCTAATTCGGATAGGAAAAGGATGCGGAAAAAAAAAAAGAAATTGAAACGTTTTGAATTGTTGATTAAGTGATGGATTATTGATTAAGTTGATTAAGTATTGACTATAATTCAAAGAGGAAAAGGATATCAGAATTGAAATGATAGTAAAAAGGAGAAATGAAATTGAAATGAAAAGGTTTCTCTTTCTCGAGATGAAGCTAAGTTTATGACAGAATTTCTATAATGACGCTTTCATAAGTCTTTATTCTTTTTAGTAATCAAGTGATCAAGTGATCAAAAAAGCCTTCAAAAAGTTCGATATTTATGAAGAACTTTTGAGTTCCAAGATTGTTTGGTGATTTCAAAATCGTTTTATCAAAAAAGATCATGAAGAAAGCACTGACTTCTAGTTGACAAAGATGAAATGCTCACTGACTTTTACTGCTGATTTGTTTATTTGCTGATTTGCTGATTTGCTTATTCAATTTGTTGCTGTTAGTGATCAGTGAGTATTTCATCTTTGTCAACTAGAAGTCAGTGCTTTCTTCATGATCTTTTACTCTTCCAGTACTCTTCCAGAAGTATTCAAATATTTACAAATATCGAGTAGTCAAATAATGGAAATCCCTCTTATTAGAAAGAAATTGTTGTTGTTTTTGTTTTTGTTTTTGTTCCCTCTTGTTAGAAATTCAAGAAATTTCGTTGTTAGCAAAATTTAAGGACAGAATTTCTATAATGACGTTTTCATAAGTCTGTATCCTTTTTAGTGTAATCATATGTGTGAAATCTAATTTGTTTCATGATTTTCATTGATTTTAGTTTCAAATCTGTCTCGACATTCGACTCATACACTTTATTTCTTGAATAAAGTAGATATTGAAGAATTTTTTTCTTACCCACGACTCCCGAACGATCTCCCGTACGATGTTTTTAAAAAACCACGTTTCCAATTTGACTGCTAACGCAAAAATAATTCTATCTAGGTCAATATTTTTAAAAACTCAAGATTTCGGGGAGTCGAAGGGGGTCTTCTATTAGAGTTTTTACGGTACTTGGTCTTTTTTTGGATTTTTTGAACACCTGATCCTCCAATTTCCACTCTATTGTCTTTTAATCGATTTGATTAGACATTCTATATCTAAAAATATCCGTTCTTCTACAAAATACAGTACTTTAGTCTCTCAAAAACGTCTCCACCGAGTCGGATGTGAAGGAAAAGGCCAACGCTGTGCTCGATAAGCACCAAAAAAAGTTGGAGGCGGCTGTGGTGGGCTGATTTTGAATGCATTATGAAAAGTATTAGTTATCATGAGAAGACTCTTGCTATTGTGGACAGTTCTGAACCTAGTGGACAGTTCTGAACACATGTATCACCGTATTTGAACACGTTTATCATACCTTAAATACTATTCGCCTATGCCAAACTCAACTTTTCAGACTAAATGGAAGACTGACTTCACTTCGGGTTTAATACAAGCAAACGTCAGTTTTTCTTTGGCTTATATGAAAGAAATGTGTATCTACTTAGAACATTATCTAGAAATTCTTTATCTTGCTAGCTTTAGAATCATCTCAGCAAGCACTCTCTTCACGGATTGCCCGTTGCAGAGATTCAAAATGATGTGAACGGGATTTGCGGAAGGAAGGAAACGGAGGAAAAACTTATGGTACAAGATTTTGATATGTAAATTTTCTCTTAGATCTAATCGTTGATAGATTAATTCTCTATTAGATCTAATCGTTGATATGTAAATTCTCTCTTAGATCTAATCGTTGATAGATTAATTCCCTATTAGATCTAATCGTTGGTAGATTAATTCTCTATTAGATCTAATCGTTGATATGTAAATTCTCTCTTAGATCTAATCGTTGATAGATTAATTCCCTATTAGATCTAATCGTTGATAGATTAATTCTCTATTAGATCTAATCGTTGATATATAAATTCTCTATTAGATCTAATCGTTGATATGTAAATTCTCTCTTAGATCTAATCGTTGATAGATTAATTCTCTCTTAGAGCTAATCTTTAATATATAAATTCTCTCTTAGAGCTAATCTTTAATATATAAATTCTCTATTAGATCTAATCGTTGATAGATTAATTCTCTATTAGATCTAATCTTTAATATACAAATTCTCTGCTAGATCTAATCTTTAATATACAAATTCCCTATTAGATCTAATCTTTTTAAACTTTTAGGCATGCACCAAAAAATGTCGGCAAACGTCAATCCAAAAACTCAAAGAAGAAGAGCAAAAAAGGAGAATCAAGAAAGCTGAAGAAGACGGTAAAATGCGTCAAATTTATGTAAAATGGTCCGTTGATCAACACACAACCATTATTTTTGGTTTTAACTCAAGCTTTTAACGATTTTCGTTCTCTATTTCGTAGAAATTTCTTGGCAACTTTGTACTAGTTTTCAAGAGGAGATTCAGGGCTATCGAACGAGCTATAATAGCTTCGTTTACCTTTGAATTTTCGCCAAATTGCCAGTGAAACAGTTAACGATTACGCGACTGTACGCCCAGAGTGTGTTCTTTCGAAAGATTTCGAAAATTTGTACAATTTTGCAATGCAATTTTCAGCTAAAGCAGCCCGCGAAGAGGCGCGACGCGCCCGCGATCGCTCACCGGTGATTGTGCGCGTGGAAACGGTGAGCTTATCCTGTGCAGAACTTTAGAGAAGTCTTTAATAAGTTAATACTCTATTCTGTGCACAAAGTTGGCAGACAAATCGACAATTTTGTGTACTTACAAAGGAAGATCACGAGGGTCATGTGAAGAGAGCAAATTCAGAATTGGATGTATTGGATTCAGATTCAGAATTGGTGTATTGGATTCAGATTCAGAATTGGATGTATTGGATTCAGATTCAGAATTGGATTTTTCGCTCATTCCGATGCTGTATTTAATCTTTGCATCGCAGAATCGCGAGAAGTTTGGCAGATATTTCTTAACGGCTCTCGTAAGGTGCGAGAGAAACTGCAGCGGTGGCCTAGTGGCAAAGTGCTCGCATGCGAGTCGATTACTCGCAGGTTCGAATCCTCTTACTTTTTCTTTCTTTCGTTTTTTTGGAAAACGTATTTCAGTGTGTTCCCTGGGTGCACACGTAATTGCGCGTTACCTGGCAAGGAATAAATACGGATATCCCGCCAATGTCAAGCATTTCAAAAACTATAAGTCATAAGAACCAAGCATTAAGCGTAACATCAAATACTTCATTCGTTTTATCGATTATCGTCATTTTTGTTGATTTTGCGATGTTAATTTTGTTGCTTTTGGTAAAATTTGTTTGAAAAGTTGCTTTTTGACCTGAAATTGAGGGACGAGATTCCATCGGTTTTCCAAAAAAACCGAAAGGATTTGAACCTGCGAGCAGCCGACTCCTACGCGAACACTTTACCACTTATGGAAGCCGCCGCGGTGTCTTCACGCCTTATGAAAGCCGTTAAGAATATAGGCCAAAAAAGTGTAGGCTTGACAACCTAATAGCAGAAGGCCAGGCGACATCGGCCAGGCCTGGATCACTAGATCAACACTGATCTAGTAATCTTGCTAGATCAATATGGCTTTAGGGCCAGATCCTCTGGTTACTACTGGGTTCTGGCCCTGACACTGCCGACTGGCTAGATTAACATGAGCTGGAAAGATGATCCTCTGGAAAGATGATCAGCTCTCGTTAGTGCCATAAGAAAGCTAGAAAGCTATTTTCTAGCCATCTCAGTCCACCTCAACACCAAGCACTTCACCACCGGGTGGCGGTTGGACTTGTCGTCCACCCACCCCACCATCTCCGCGGAATATATTGACGGACATTATTGATATCTTTCTACCACGACCAACACGACCAACCCTTCCGCGGCCATACGATCTATAAAATCATTCGAAATTTACAATCTTTTCGAAATAAATCTTTTACTGTTGGAATCAAATGGTCATTTGTACACTCATTCACTGATAAAACGGCAGTTACATTTTTCGAGAATCGAACACTTTACTTTAGAATATTCATTTTTCAGCCAGCACCCCCGCCTGCACCTCATCGTTCTCGTTCTCCTCATTTAGCATTTGGTTCCTTATCTCTCTGAATTTGGTTCCTTATCTCTCTAAATGTGGTTCATTATCTCTCTAAATTTGGCTCCTTATCTCTCTAAATTTGGTTCCTTATCTCTCTAAACTTGGTTCCTTATCTCTCTAAACTTGGTTCATTATTTCAACAAATTTGGTTCCCTTTCTCTCTAAATTTGGTTCACCAAAATTGGTTTCTTTTGAAGAAAGTGCTCAAATGCTCAAACTGGGACATCTCCAGTCCTCCATTTTTGAGTCTTACACACAAACCAAAATCCTACTACGAAAGAGGAATCCGCAAATTGCCTATAAAATGGGCAGAAGTTGTCAATAATAATGGAAATTATTTGGAATGAATTGATGGTTTTATGTTGGATAAATTTTATTTCAAAGTCCCGCAGTTTTCAATTCACCAACCCTCAATTCACAAGCATGCACTTTAAAACAAATTTCATTTGGAGAATCGAGATAGAGAACACACAAGGTATTAAAACCCAAAAAAAAACAGACAATCAACTGTCGGACTCGAACCAGACACCCAATGCCTTACGTCCTAACTCGTTACCATTCGACGACCGCAACAACTGCTTCACTCCACTGTAGCAACTACTTAAGACGGCTGTAAGGTCGCGGCTTGATTTCTCCTTACAAAACTTTAAACGCATATAACTTTTGACAGAGTGATCCGTAGTAAAAAAGAAAAACAGGATCATGTTCTGCATGAAATTCTGCGTTTGAATGGTTTATCACACATCCAGTTGCCTTTTCCTTATAAAAAGAAATGAATTAAAAACGATGAAAGGTGTGTTTTCATTCTTTTGAATCCAAATTTTTCCTCTGCATCTAACATGCTTTCTTCTTTTCCACATTCTAATCACAGGTCAGGTAAGCTGCTTGATTGTCGATTGTTTGTCGTTGGGGTGGAGGAGGTAAAGAAAATTGGGGAAAGAGAGGAGAATTCCGGTCGGATTGTGGACCCTTTCCAGTCTTTAGAGTCTCTTTTAGCAGGCTTTAAGCTCTCTCACTAACTCTTGTGCTTCTTTTTTTTTCAATTTCTAAGCAGAAATCTTCCTTGTGTTTTTTATTTCTTCTTGGGGGAAGTAAGAGCCGATAGCTCGGTGCTAAAGAATGTGTCTGGTGAGCAGAAGATCGGCGTTTCAATTCCCCTTTGGTCCCAAATTCTTTACCATTCATTTCTTTTCTAGAAATAAACCTCTTTATCATAATTTTCTTTACCATTTCTTTTCTTTTCTTTACTATAAATAAAAAGTTATCTAATATTAACTTTGCTTAGACAAATTCAAGCTTTTTTTGCGAATCCGGCCCATTAGTTCACCATTTTTTGCGTTTTAAAAGCTTTAAAAAGCTTTAATAAGCATCTAAAAACCTTTAATAAGCTTTAAAAAGCTCTAAAAAGCTTTAATAAGCTCTAAAAAGCTCTAATAAGCTTTAATAAACTTTAATAAGCTCTAATAAGCTTTAATAAGCATTAAAACCTTTAATAAGCTCTAATAAGCTCTAAAAAGCTTTAATAAGCTTTAAAAAGCTTTAATAAACTTTAATAAGCTCTAAAAGGCTCTAAAAAGCTCTAATAAGCTTTAATAAGCTCTAAAAAGCTTTAATAAGCATTAAAAAGCTTTAATAAGCTCTAATAAGCTCTAAAAAGCTCTAAAAAGCTTTAATAAGCTCTAATAAGCTCTAAAAAGCTTTAATAAGCTTTAAAAAGCTTTAATAAACTTTAATAAGCCCTAATAAGCTCTAAAAAGCTTTAATAATCTTTAAAAAAGCTCTTAAAAGCTAATATTAACCAATTTCTATTCCAAAAGTTGTTTTTGAAGTAATTTTAAGGCATAGAAACCAATTTTTGACGTATCAAAGCTCGTGAAAACAATTTGAAAGCTAAAACGAATAGGTCAAATGACAGAAAATTTCTTTTCCTTCCCTACGTCCTCCTGTCGCTCATAGCTTTGTCCGTTTCCTTCCACAAGCTCTGATATGTCAAAATTTCGTTTCTATACCCTAGAATTGCTTGGAAAAACAAGTTTTGAAATCGAAATTGATTAATTTTACGCTTTTTAGAGGTTTTTAGATTTTTTTTGTAAAGAAAAACGGTTTGCTAATGGGTTGAGTGCGCAAAAAAAAGGTGCGCAAAAGGTTTGGGTGCGCAGAAAAGATGATAGAATTTGATTCATTCCCATTTGCTTATATAAATCTCATCAAATGAACTGATCAGATGTAAATTAAAAGTTTAATTATGGTAATTTTATAAAATGGAATCTAAATTGAATCTAAAAAATGGAATCTAGAAAATTTGATTTTACATTTCGATTCGATTACGGTATACTTTGTGATTAAACAATGAAGAATTGAAGGATTCCTTTGGAATGTACCTGGCGGTACCCTTCCTTTGGTAGCTATTCATTGTGCCAGAAAGCCAGTGTTTACAGGAAGTCTCTACAAAGTCCGCACGACTCCATTGTTCTTTGTTCACTTTCACTTGCTTATTTTTCTTCTTTTCTGCGTTCTTTTCTTTTTCTTTTTCTATCAGATGGCATTCTGTCAAAAGCGGAAGGGAATTCCCTTCTTGGTTCCATCAAAGTGCCCCTTTTTTTTGCCTTTCACGTACCCACGCGCCGACTCTTTGATATCGCCTTACCCAATCATGACGTTTCATCTTTGCAAACCGTGTTTAGCATATTCATTTAAGATTTCTAAATCATATTTCTAAATGATAAATATGAATATTCATACTATCTACATATAAATATTCATATTCAGACTAGAAATAGTCTAGATGAGGTCTAGTCTAGGTGTCTAGCTGAAATTAGGCTGGGCTAGGCTAGGCTAACTATATAAAATTGGGCAGTCATTAGTTAGAGCTGGTCCTAGCTTCTTCTTCTTCTAGATGAGGCTTCTTCAGCTTCAGTCCTAGCTTCTTCTTCTTCTAGATGAGGCTCCTTCAGCTGCAGTCCTAGCTTCTTCTTCTTCTAGATGAGGCTTCTTCAGCTTCAGTCCTAGCTTCTTCTTCTTCTAGATGAGGCTCCTTCAGCTTCAGCCCTAGCTTCTTCTTCTTCCAGATGAGGCTTCTTCAGCTTCAGCCCTAGCTTCTTCAGCCTCATCTAGCTAATTGTAGTTGGTTCAAAGTTTAGTTTTTACTCTGAAATCCCTTCGTTTTGTTCCTTTTGTTCATTTTATTCATTTTGTTCCTTTTGTTCAACAAGTTCTTTTTGGCTTAATCGAACTTTTCTCTAGTCAATCAAACCTCACAAAAATCCATTTTTTCAGATACGATTATTTGCTTCTTTGTGAATGTTTGTTCTGAATCGACTCATCTCTTTTCTTTCTCTTTTTTACATCTGATCACGAGTTGAACATCTTTGACTCCAAAATTCTTTTCGTTTACAAATTTAGAACGTTTTCTTTCTGAGTAAGCGTCTAAACATTTGAGGAATTTCTCAAAGTTCCTCAAACACTCTGGAAACAGCTCGGGCCATAATGTCTAAATCAAAGCTTGTATCAAAGCTAAAACAAAGCTAAATCAAAGCTTGTATCAAAGCTAAATCAAAGCTAAATCAAAGCTTAGATCAAAGCTAAAACAAAGCTTAGATCAACGCTTAGATCAACGCTAAATCAAAGCTTATATCAAAGCTAAATTAAGGTTAAATCAAAGCTAAATCAAAGCCAAATCGAAACTAAATCAACGCTTAGATCAAAGCTAAATCAAAGCTAAATCAAAGGTAACTCAAAGCTAAATCAAAGCTAAAACAAAGCTAAATTAAGGTTAAATCAAAGCTTATATCACATGTAAATCAAAGCTAAAACAAAGCTTATATCAAAGATAAATCAAAGCTAAATCAAAGCTAAATCAAAGCTTATATCAAAGCTAAAACAAAGCTAAATCAAAGCTTATATCAAAGCTAAATCAAAGCTATATCAAAGCTAAAATCAAAGCTAAATCAAAGCTAAATCAAAGCTATATCAAAGCTATATCAAAGCTATATCAAAGCTAAATCAAATTCTTAAAGAGAAAATTCGAAATTAAAACTGAAAAGTTGAAATTGAATTGAATTTTAATGTCAAAAACCCATTTTTTTTACGTTTTTTTTCAACTATCACACTATTAACATGAAAATCGGCTTTACTTGGTTTCAAAATCATCAAAATCAACTCTAAAATCAATCCTAAACTCGCCATCTACAACTAAACATCTACAACTTCAATTGTCCTTTGTAAGTAACTTTAATATGACTATCATCTCATAGGGAGGCTGGTTCCTCGAGGGAGCGCCACCCAACTGGAACGGCCCGTTTCCCCCTCTCTTTTCCTCCTTTTTTCACCACTCCTTTCAATCAAAAGAGGCCTCCTATTTACCCTGTGCACAATTGATCTGAACTGACGACCCGAGTCTCTTCTCTTCTTTTCATTTGACTCTGAGTGAAAGACTGAAATCGACAAATGGAGAGAGAAGAGGCCAAGCAAATTCCAAATCTCTTCTCTTCTTCCCCTCTTCCCTCTTCTATCTTCTCTCTTCTCTCTTCTATCTTCTATCTTCCCTCTTCTATCTTTCCTCTTCTATCTTCCCTCTTCTATCTTTCCTCTTCTATTTTCTATCTTTCCTCTTCTATCTTCTATCTTCCCTCTTCTCTCTTCTATCTTCCCTCTTCTCTCTTCTATCTTCCCTCTTCCCTCTTCCCTCCAAACACATCCCCTTGATCATAATTTGACTCGTGTTTGGCCTACGATTTGTTCTATTTATACAGGTTTTCATTTCCTACTGGTAGATAATCTTACTTTCTGGTAGATAATCTTAATCCTTTTCCATGTTTAACTATCTTTAGGTTTACTTTTTTCTTGACTCATCTCTTTTTTAGCTAACCTTTTTGGATTTAAACTCGATTTCAGCTTTTCTCTTTTCTTTTCTTTTTCTTTTCTTTTTTCTATTTTTAAACATCTAATGAAAAGTAATCAAGAAACACAGAACTAGACAATATCTTAGCTTTAGTGCTTTAACTATCTTAGCTTTAGAGCCTTGACTATCTTAGCTTTAGAGCTTTAACCATCTTAGCTTTAGAGCTTTAACTATCTTAGCTTTAGAGCTTTAACTATCTTAGCTTTGACAATTCAAATACAAGTTCACTCATCACAAAACTGTTTCAAATTCAAATTTGAAAACCAGATTAGGTTGCTGGATGGAAATTGACATGTTTTTATTCATGTAATCCTATTTGGCTATCCAGAAATCGTCCTTCGTCATTTCGTCCTTTCGTCCTTCCGTTTCAAACCAACAAATGCACCAATTGAAATACGATTTATTTCATTAGAAAGGCCACATATTTTATAGATTTTCACAAAATTTTCAGAGAAATTGATTCACCCAATTTCTTTGTAGAGATTTTTATAGATTTTTACGAAACTCGAGTAAATTCGAGTGTTTTCACTCTCGAATTTACTTGAAAGTGAAGCGAAATTAAATGAAAAAGATGTGAAATTTCTTTAGAATAAGCACTTTTTCTTTAGAGTAAACCAGAGGTGAATTGTTGAATTTGTTATTTTTTAACGGAAATATGAAAAGGAACGAAAAGATTTTCTGGATAGCTTTGAGTCCGGCTTTGGATCCGGCTTTGAATCCGGCTTTGGATCCGGCTTTGAATGCGGCTTTGGATCCGGCTTTGAATCCGGCTTTGGATTCGGCTTTGAATCCGGCTTTGAATTTGGCTTTGGATCCGGCTTTGGATCCGGCTTTGGATCCGGCTTTGAATCCGGCTTTGGGCTGGATGTTATAGGGACTGGATTTACGGCGTGAGTTGTTGCAAAAAAAATGAAGATTTAAGCACACCAGAAAAAGGTTTCTTCATCAGTGAACTTTTAAGTACAAGTACAAGTACAAGTACAAGTACAAGTACAAGTACAAGTATAAGTACAAGTACAAGTACAAGTATAAGTACAAGTACAAGTAAGAGTACAAGTACAAGTACAAGCACAAGTGCAAGTACAAGTACAAGCACAAGTGCAAGTACAAGTGCAAGTACAAGTACAAGTATAAGTACAAATACAGTTAAGTACAAGTCCAGTTAAGTATAAGTACAAGTACAAGTCCAGTTAAGTATAAGTACAAGTACAAGTACAGTTAAGTACAAGTGGCAACCACAAAACCTGGCTTTAAATCTGTCAAAGAGGATAGGTTCGGGGTTTAGTGAAATCAAAAACTCTGCGAAATCTGTAAAAAGGTCAAAAAGATCGAGCATTGGGTCAAGTGTCGAGATTCATTGTCAAATAGAAAGAAGAAGACTATGAGATTCAAGGTTGGGGAGTGACACTCTCTCCTCCTCGAAAACTCTGAATCCATCCCCGTCTCCCCCCACTTTCATTTCTCCTTTTATTGCTTCGGAAAGACATCGATACGATTTCCATTTCTCCATTTAACCCTAAGTACCCTATTTGTGCATTTGTTGGCTCTTTCTTTTCCCTAAAAATCACCTTGGGGAAGTTTTTTTTGTGATCTGAATTTGATCTATCACATTTTTTATGCAATTTTATGCTTTTTTTATGCAATTCAGCGCAATTCAACGCAATTTTTCTCACTTTTACTTGAAGAATCTACTTTGTTAGGCGGTTTTTTTGTAGAAAATTTTAGTAGAAACAGAAGCAGAAGAAGAATTTTAGTAGATCAATCGAAAGATTCAAAATTTTTCTCATATTGATGACTTACAAGGGAAAGGTGTGGCCAGCATGTGGCCAAATGACATGTGCCAGAAACCGTTTGACGCAGAATTTCACGCTGATTCCGAATCTGTTTTCTGTTTTTGCAAAATGGCACTTTGTCAAAAGTTCTACGTGTTTGAAGTTGAAAAGGGTGAAAAGGCGAAAATTTAGAGCCGAATAGGCCGAAGAGCCTCCCATGCCTTTATAACGGTTTTCTCAAGGACCTCAAAAAGTGGCTTGGTGGCGTAGTGGATAAAGCGCTTGCATAGAAAACGAGCGCTTCACTTTTTTAGTCAAGTTCAAATCCTCTTTGGCAAAACTTTCGAATAAAGCAAAATTTCGAGTCGGGGATGCTTTTATAACGGTTCTCTCAAGGACCTCAAGGACCTGGCTTGGTGGTGTAGTGGATAAAGCCCTTGCATACAAAACGAGCGCTTCACTCTTGACTCAAGTTCGACTCCGTTTTGACAAAATCGAAAATTTCGAGTCGGGATGCTTTTATAACGGTTCTCTCAAGGACCTCAAGAGTGGCTTGGTGGTGTAGTGGATAAAGCCCTTGCATACAAAACGAGCGCTTCACTCTTGACTCAAGTTCGACTCCGTTTTGACAAAATCGAAAATTTCGAGTCGAGATGCTTTTATAACGGTTCTCTCAAGGACCTCAAAAGTGGGTTGATGGTGCAATGGATAAACCCTTGCATACAAGACGAACGCTTCACTCTTTGCACAAGTTCGATTCTTCTTTGGCAAAACTCTCGGAAATTTCGAACCGGGATACTTTTATAACGGTTCTCTCAAGGACCGAGAATGTGACTTGGTGTAGTGGATAAAGCACTTGCATACAAGACGAACATTTCCGTTTTTGTCAAATGTCAAATTTAGAGCAGGGATCCCTTTAGAGCAATGATCCCTTTAGAGCAGGGATGTAAGAATTTCCTCACGGGACTCGAAAAGTGACTTGATAGTGTAGTGCTTGCATACAAAACGAGCATCTCATTTTTCCACTCGAGTTCGATTCCTTTGCCGAGACTTTTTCATTTTTTAACACCTGATGGCTTGATGATGTAGTGGATAAAGCTCTTGCATACAAAACGAACGCTTCACTTTTTTTACTCAAGTTCGATTCCTCTTTGTTTTTCACAAACTTTTTGTCAGTTCAATTCTTTTCAATCTTTCAGTTCAATTCAAAACTTTTAGATAAACAAAAAATGAAACATTAGACGGCAAAAGAAATAAAACTATTCTTACCTTTCCCTTGTCAGATATTTTCTTGAATACCGAAGAGATTTCGCAGCTTACATCATTGATTGCTTTGATTTTTCTTGAATTTTTCTTGAATTTTGATTTCAACGATTCTTTTCTTTTTACAATTCACAATTACAATTTTACAACTTTATTTCTTTGATCTATTTCGCTATTTCTAGAAAATCGATTGCCTTTTTCTAAAAAAAAGCGATCGTCATTGATGGCGGTCTCCTTTGCGGAGCCTTCTCGCGCGGCTTCTCCCCGGCTTGTCGCCGAACAGCTGAGACGTTTCCTGCATTCAGCTGAAGTTTGAAAATATTATTTCTAACTGTAATTAAGCAAATTTTTTTCTTAAAATGCCTTTATCGTGGTTAATTGATTAGCAAAATTGGGTTCCCCTGAAGCAATCTTTCTCTGATTTCAATTTTCCAACTTTCTCTTTTGGATAGCGGTCAAAGATAGCATTTAACATAAAATTTAGTCGAAAAATTCTACTTTATTTCGTTTCTTTAATCGGGAGTGGGACAAATGCGACCTTTTTTTTTTTGCGCACCCGGACATTTGCGCACCTTTTTTTCCGCACTTAGCCCATTAGCGCACCTTTTTTCGCGTTTTAAAAAACTCTAAAAAACCTAATATTAACCAATTTCTATTCTAAAAGTTGTTTTTCTAGGTAATTTGAGGGTGTCGAATTCAAATTTTGACATAACAGAGCGTGTGGAACCAATTTGAAAGACAAAACGGCTAGATCAAATTACAAATTACAAATTACAGAAAATTGTCGATTTTTCTCTTTGTATTGGGTTGATGCATAATTATCCGGTCTTTTTTGCGTTTGTTTCTTTTTGAGCTTTTGTTTTTTTTTTTTTTAAAATTTCGTTTTCTTTAGTGAACAAAATGCGTGTCGACAATCATATCCATCTTCGCCATGCTCTTCCACTTCGAAAGGGTGGTCTGCCGCAGAGTCGTTTCGCGATCTCAAAGAACGGAGAAGCCCCCAACGGACTCGTCTCGATCGCTCAAAATTGGCAAACAAATAGTTCTACAACGTTTGGATGACTTGATAGACGATGTTAAAGCGTGGATTGCCTCCAGATCGTTTATTCTTCGCTCGTGGAATGATCGTCTTCCGAAATGGCAATCGTTATTGATGTAGGCGGTGAATTGCTCCAGAATATCACATATTTTTTTTAACTATTTATGTTTTTTTGTTAAAAAATCATTTATAAAAGAAGTCCGGATAATTATGCATCAACCCAATATAACTCCGTCCGTTCGCTTCCACAAGCTCTGATATGCCAAAATTTCGATTCTACGCCCTAAAATTACCTAGAAAAACAACTTTTGGAATAGAAATTGGTTAATATTAGCTTTTAGAGCTTTTTAGAGCTTTTTAAAACGCGAAAAAAGGTGCGCTAATGGGCTAAGTGCGGAAGAAAAGGTGCACAAATGTCCGGGTGCGCAAAAAAAAGGTCGCATTTGTCCCACTCCCCTTTAATCGATTCTACTTTATTTTGTTTCTTTTCACGTTATTTATCGAAAATTTTGGGTAAATTGGGTAAATTTTAAGCACACAAAAAAAGTATTTTCATTGAAAGTGATTCGATGTTCTGATTTGAATTGAATTTTCTCAAGTCAATCTAGTTGAGAGTCTTGTATTTGTTAGTTCTATTGAAGATTTGGGGCAACTGGATGCTGTGTAGGTAAATGAGGGAATTTTTGAGAAAAGAAATGAAAGAAAGAAGAAGAAGGAAAGGAAGAAGAAGAAGGAAAGAAAGAAGAAGAAGAAGAAAAGAAAGAATAAGAAGAAAGGAAAGAAGAAGAAGAAGAAAAGAAAGAAGCTGTTGATAGGAGAAATGGCAGAGAAAGGGTAGGGAAAGGCGGGGAAAGTGGGGTAGAAAGTGCCTGAAAGAGAAGAGGGTACACCCAGAGATTCTGGCAAATACCCAGCCTGTTTGCATAAAAAGTCTGTCTTTCTTTTTCGCGATTCGCGAGCCTGGATTTGCGGATTTTATTGAGAAAAGTACCAATGACGGGAAGTGATTTTCGAGAAATTTCAAAAATTATTGTCAATCGTGTTCTGTTAAAAAAAGGAACTAAAACGGCAGATACTTGTCGACAGGGTGGCCGCAAATCATCGAGTTTTTCGGCTATATCTTACGAGGGAACTATAACTATAACTATTTACCATCACATCTACTTACCATCGACTTCAAAATTACAGCAGGGAAAGAACATCACAAAATAAGAATTTTCTGAAGTTTTTAGCTGCTAAATGCTAGAAATAACTGAAATATAAGATTTCAATGTTTTAGCTTAAAAGTAAACAGTTCTGGGGATAACACTCTTTAAAGGGAACTCTTACACGCCGCCGAGTGACCGAATGGTTAGAGTTAATGAGTTTAGAGAGTTAATGAACCAAATTTAGAGAGATAAGGAACCAAATTTAGAGAGAAAGGGAACCAACCTGGCATTCCAAGGGTCGCTGGTTCGGCTCCTGGGTTCTTTTGCTTTTTTTGCAAAACCACAGAATGTGCGTTCTCTATCAAATTGCGTAATCGCTCGTCAACGCGCATGCGTGCACATAAGATTTCCGTTTTTGGTAGTTGGCATCTTTCGACGCTTCAGATGCTCATCGATGAATTTAGACTCAACTCTGATAGCTCTTTTCTCCGACTCGAGAAGAAGTGAAGCTGAATAGTGTCTTCTCTCGTCTTCTCCACGAAGCTGAGTCAAAAAAGATTGAACAATAGAGAACGCACATTCTGTGGTTTTGAAAAAAAAAGCAAAAGAACGTGGGAGGGAGCCGAACCGGCGACCCTTGGGCTGTTGCATGCCAAGAATAATTTGCGCGCATCTTCCAAGCCTTTAATAAAAATCTCAAAAGCATTCTGCAATTTGTATAAAGAAATTCTGCTTAGAAAATTATCGCAACTTTCATATTTAAAAGGAATTGAATCGTTTCGCAAAGCTACAACCAAGTTATCGCCGAAAAACTGAGAGTCGATCATTTGTGGCCATTTGCGGCCCTTGCGGCCATTGAAATTTTAGTAAATCTTGTAGGATGGTTTAGGGAATTCAGAAATAAACAAAATAAAACTTGTACAAATGCTTTAGGCTTTAAAGTGTTGACTTTGAAGCGAAAATTAAACCGATTACGACATTTAAACATTTATAATGATAAAATCCTGTCTTTCGAGTTAAAAGATCGCGCAATTTCAGAAAGTTTTTGCTTATTTTAATTTAAGAATACATTTCTAGCTTTTTTCGGAGTGGGACAAATGCGACCTTTTTTTTTGCGCACCCGACATTTGCGCACCTTTTTTTCCGCACTTAGCCCATTAGCGCACCTTTTTTCGCGTTTTAAAAAGGCTCTAAAAGCTAATATTAACCAATTTCTTTTCCAAAAGTTGTTTTTCTAGGTAATTTTAGGGCGTAGAATCGAAATTTTGGCATATCAGAGCTTGTGGAAGCGAACGGAAGGAGTTATACAAAGAGAAAAATCAACAATTTTCTGTAATTTGACCATTGTAATTTGAATGTGAATGTTTTGTCTTTCAAATTGGTTCCACAAGCTCTGAAATGCCAAAATTTGAATTCGACTCCCTCAAATTACCTAGAAAAACAACATTTGGAATAGAAATTGGTTAATATTAGCTTTTAGAGCTTTTTTAAAACGCGAAAAAAGGTGCGCTAATGGGCTAAGTGCGGAAAAAAAGGTGTGCAAATGTCCGGGTGCGCAAAAAAAAGGTCGCATTTGTCCCACTCCCAGAGTAAACTACTAACGCTGAATCTCTAATTAATTTCTTTTCTTTACTTCAAATTCTTTTATTTTAAAACATTAAACTGTAAAAAAAAGCCAGAAGTGTATTCTACAAGTTAAAAAAGCAAAAACTTTCTGAAATTGCGCGATCTTTTAACTCGAAAACAGGATTTTATCATTATAAATGTTTAAATGTCGCATTTGTCGCAAAAAGGCCGCATTTGTCCCACTGCCGCTTTTTTACAGTTTAATGTTTTAAAATAAAAGAATTTGAAGTAAAGAAATGAAAAGAAATGAATTAGAGATTCAACGTTAGTAGTTTACTTTCTAAAAGTACTATACTCTGTAAAAGCTTTCAAATCGATAAACCAATACAAAAATTAAACCTCTAGAATTCATCAGCTTTTAAAAAAAAGAGTAAAAAGTAAAACCTTTCTAAATACTAATCTGTACAAATTCCAGGGACCACCCAACTCTCAAGGCGCTAATTTATCCGATGCTGGCTTTGTTCTACTCACAATCAAGGACCAACTTTTGGCAAATGACTCAAGGTTTTGTAAAATATAGAATCTAGAATCAAAATGAATTCAGAGCTACCTATTTTCTCCAAGAATTTGTCGCTCGGCCGATCAATGGAGTGGATCTTTTATTAAAAGTAGTGGTAGTTCTGCAAGGAATTGTGAACTCATCCGCAAGAGAACAACCATCAAAATTGTCAACATTGCTAACGAGAAACAATACCAACAACACGAATAGGAAAAGGAAAGCAGCGGTGGGGGTTTTTTTCGAAAAATACATTTACAAGTGATTTGTAGGTAGCTGAAGCTGATTGCATCGAATGTATCAAGATTTTGTTGGAGAAAAATGTGAGTTGATTTGGAGTGGATTGAATTTTTCAATTTCGATCATTTTACAAAGTCTGTTTATAATCTTTGATTTAAAATATATCTGATTTTAGCCATCTGGATGGAGAACTCTTCTCGAACAACCGTCTGGCTTAGAAGTGATCCTTTATTCCGTGAATAGTCCACAATTGGATTCAAAATGTTATGCACTTGAGGTAAATTTTGATGTAGATAACTTGTGACCTAGGAATAACTTGTTTAAACCGGTTTAAACCTAGGAATAACTTGTTTAAACCTTTTTAAACCTAGGAAAGCTTGTTTAAACCTATGGGTAACTTGTTTAAACCTATGGATAACTTGTTTAAATTGGTTTAAACCTAGAAATAACTTGTTTAAACCTGTTTAAACCCAGGAAAGCTTGTTTAAACCTGTTTAGACCTATGGTTAACTTGTTTAGACCTAGGAATAGCTTGTTTAAGCCTGTTTAGCCTTATGGATAACTTGTTTAAACTTGTTTGAACCTAGAAATAACTTGTTTAAACCTGTTTAAACCCAGGAAAGCTTGTTTAAACCTGTTTAGACCTATGGTTAACTTGTTTAGACCTAGGAATAGCTTGTTTAAGCCTGTTTAGCCTTATGGATAACTTGTTTAAACTTTTTTAAACCTAGAAATAACTTGTTTAAACCTGTTTAAACCTAAGAATAACTTGTTTAAGCCTGTTTAAATCTTGCAAAAGGGTCAAAGGATTTGTAGGACTGTAGAAATTGGGTTAAAGGAAACGCAATAATAAAGTAAAGTAAGGAATGGCAAAGAAAGACTTCCGGAGAGCGGATTGAACCCTCGACCTTGGACCTTTTCACTTTCCGGGCACATGCTCTAACTGCTGAGCAATTTGGTATCTTCTTGGCAGAGAAGAAAGCTAAGAAAGGAAATCCAAGGGGAAAAGAAAGGAAGATCAAAACTTTGGACTTTGGGTTAAAAATTCTAAAAGCATTTAGTTGGATTCATGTACAACATCAATATTAACCTTAAAACTTTGACCTTTTGAAGTTTTGCTTTGTAAGCTTTGCTTTTTGAAGTTTTTACTTTTTCTTCATTACCTAATTTAGATTGTTTTGCTGTTACTGGATCAACCCCAAGGTTTCATCGTTCTCTTCCGGGCACTCTCAGTGATTTCGGCAAGAACAAGAGATTATCTACGACTGCAGCTCTTCGTTTCACAACTTAAACACGGACTTCACACGCAGAAGTTGCATATCCAAGTAAGAAACTGATTGTTGGACATTTGGCTCCGCCTTCTTTGTCATTGGCAATCTAAGCTTTGAGCTCAAATTTCTTGGTGTTGGGCTGTTGAATTGAAAAAGTTTTTGTACCAATCGATAGAGAAAAACTTGGTGAATCTAATGATACCAAGAATCTTTAAATTGGACAACCCAACACCAAGAAATTTGAGCTCAAAGTTAGATTGTCAATGGTAAAAGGATCGGGGCGTGTATCAAATGTCCGATAACTTAAGAAACTCGTCAAAACAATGCAAGAATGACTATAGATTCTTGTAAGCCGATTGTTCAACAAGTTGCTGAGTCGAGCTCCAACACCAAATCATCGAATGATGGCCCAGATTGAAGCAACATTGTCACAATTCTCTGCTGAATATATTGAAAAGGTTAGCTTTGACTTTATCGTTTATCTTCACTAAACATTCTATATTTAGCTGGTTCTTGACGTCTCTAGTCCCCTTGGTGGAATGGATACTCTGATGGAGGAGTTGGCTCATTGGCGATCTCAACAGTTTCCAATCTCCTTAACACCGACACGATTTGGACCACAAGACACGTTAAACAGCAATGCTTCGACAAATATTTATGGGTAAGATAATTTGTATGATAAAAATATTAGCGTTTTAGTTACAACTATTCGGAGACCGAGTCAGACACATCGAGATCGGATCGGGGTAGACTGAGATCGGCTTTTCCGTCAAAGTTCCCGGTAAGTGCGGATTTATTTAATTATCTCATAGTCAGTAAGTTTGAGTTATTGAAAATTTTGGTACTCTTCCGTTATACATCCCTGTCGTGTCCCGATGCTTCTTGTTTCTCCATTTGGCAGATTCCAATAGACGTTCGGTCGTCTGCGTATGGATGGTCATCCGGATTCAGGAAGTTGTACTTGTAGTTGACTTGAGCGTGGGTAAAGACTGGCTTGGGTAAAGCCGGCTTCCTCCATCTGTTGAGTGTTGTATCGTCGCCAAAAATCGGAGTAAATTTGGGGATCCTGGCTCGATGTGTTCAATTATCGCTTACAATAGAGTCTTGACCGATCGGCCGACCGATCGGAATGTAAATTTTGCGGATTTATAGCGAAAATGATCGGGGATTTATTTTTGCGGATGTATAACGGAAAAGAACCTACATTTTTTCTAGCTTTCTAGCTAGTTTGATAGAATTGTAATCTATTTCTCATTTGAAAGCATTCACATAAAGAAAAATATTGAAGTTAATACATCTGATAAATGATTAACGAATTGTTTTCAGAGTCAAGCAGCAGTGGCCAAGAACGTAGAAAGAGCTCGAATGAAGAGACAGGGACCGGGCTCTGGCGGAAGAGCATCTGGAGTAAATGAGGATCATCAAAGATTCTATCCAAATCGATCAGCTCTCACTTTAAATCATCGAGATTGGGACAGAAATGATGGTTGGTTAGATATTCTGGTATTCTGATCTAATGGTATCTAATCTAATCATTTTGAGAAACCGATTCATATTTGCAGTAGATTGCCTCATGAATCAAAAAGGCAACATTAGTTTGGTGATCTTTCGTTCAATTTGTTTGGAATACTCACCTGTTAGAAGATAGAGAAAAACGACGTCAAAGTTGACCGGCTTCTGTGGTTTTTTCTTAGGAAAAACCTGCAGAAGCCGGTCAACTTTGGCCGCTTATATCTCGACGTAAATTGTAGATTTATCTAGCCAAATTTTATGAGGATTCTAATGAAACCAACCGTTAGTCGATCTGATGCTTGTAACTCGAGATATAAGCAGTCAAAGTTGACCGTCTTCCGTAGGTTTTCCCTAAGAAAAAGCCGCGGAAGCCAGTCAACTTCGACGCTCGTTTTCCCGGTGTTCTTGCAGGTGAGTACCTCAAACAAATTGTACTTTTCTCTAGTCAAATTTTATGGAGATTCTTTTGAAACAAACCGTAAGTCGATCTGAGGCCTAGAAGTCGAGATATAAAGCAAAGGGCAATCATACGTCATATTTGTTCAGTCTCTATACAAAAATAATGTCGTTTTGCCCTTTGTTCTATAACTGAACTTTTTCTTAGCTAACACCCAAAAAAAAATTCTACTTTTCTCTAGCCAAATTTTATAAGGATTCTAATAAAACCAACCGTAAGTCGAGCCAATGCTTGTACCTCGAGATATAAGCAGTCAAAGTTGACCGGCTTCTGCAGGTTTAAGATACCATTCAAACGGAATTCATTGTTATTATTTTTTGTGTACCGTAGTCTTGTGTTTTGTCGCAGTCTAATATGCGGATACCGTATTCTCTCTAATAGTAGTGCGAAATACTATTTTTTCAACCCCCCTCTCGGACCGCAATACTATTAGAGAGTGCACTACTATTAGAGAGAATACGGTAATCAATGTTGCATCAAGTTGGGCCATCATTCAATGATTTGGGGGGAAAAGAAAGGTTTTCTAGTTGTCTAGTTGTTTAGTAGAGTAAAACTGAAGAGTTCTGCTAGCAGTTGAAACTAGGCTAGGGCAGATCAAAAACCTGTGCACCGCCGGGACTAGAACCCTCGACCTTTCGCTTACCAGGAAACTGTGCTAACCATTGTGTAATGGTTAGCACAGTTTCCACAGTTTTGGTCTGCCCTAGTTCCAACTTAAACCTTGCCTACATATGAGAATGTTCACAAAATAGTATTTTGTGAAATGAAGCGCAGAAAGACACAATAAAATGTAAAATGTAGTCTTTCGGAGTCACAAAATATAAGCTTCCCACAATTCTAGAAGATTACGATGGTTTCCATACAACGACAAGGGTTGAGAGAGTCGCTTCACCACCTTGGAGGCCAGAGGGTGGAATGAGGAGAGCAAAGAGTGAAAGTGCTATGTTAGTGGAAACAGAACTCGCGGAAAAGTAAGGATTTCAATTAGATTAGACAGTGAAAGATTGAACTGTTTAGCAATAACACTCTTCGTGGCTTGAAACGAAGCGATCCAATTGCTTCCGAATATCATCCGATTGAGGTGGTAAAACCATTGTCACGCTCGACTCACGATTTGAGTCGGATAGCTCGCGATGAGCGGATTCACGAGATTCAGAGGCCTGGATCAGCAGCCGCGCATACGAGATCTCTTCAGCGGTGAGAAAAGACAGCACAGATAGACAGTTGGTTAGAAAAGTTAGAAAAAAGTTACGAGTTAGGGTTAGGGGCAAAAAAGTTAGGGTAACTTTGGGTACTTTTGGAAACAAAGCTGTTCTTTCTATTCGAATGTAGGATTCGTGGAAAACTGTTCAGTCTTCAAGTTTAGACCTTTCTCACCGCAAAGAGCTCGCTTTGCCGATCCTCCAACAATTGACACAACTCATGAAACGACTCAACCACATGCCGGTTTCTCCTATCTTTTCCCGTCACAGCCCGTTGTTTCACAAGTTCCTAAAAGAAACGCTACACCTGAACCATATTCAACGGTAAAAATTTCTTTTTCAATTCAATAAATTCTCTATTTAGCAAATGAGTCCAATGAACGGCACACTGCGACCACCATCGTCGACTTATGAAGGAACATTGAGTCCTCGACCAGTCAATGATTCACCAAGGTACACCAGTGAAATGAGAGATGGACAAGTTGTCTATATTCCGATCACAATGGAATCGGATAGAAGACCGTTGAGCAGGTGATCGAAAAGCTTTACTTTAACTTAGCTAAAAGAAGTTAAAACGGCTCTTGCGTAGTTTTCGGGTATTTTAAACGGATCGTCAAGCTTTGAAAGCCTATAACTTTGTCCAGGGACAATATTTTTGTTAACCTTTTTATATCATTGTACAGAGGAGATTTCAGGCTTTCAAATAATACCAAATAGAGGTTGATTTGACAATCTAGTCCAAGAAAATCAGAGCCAACTCTAAGCAAATGAGACCTATCCAAAACTTGGGTGTCATGTCGCTTTGTTTTCATGGGAATGAAAAATGCAGTTAATCTCTATTTGGTATCATTTGAAAGCCTGAAATCTTCTCTGTACAATGATATAAAAAGTTAGTAAAAATATGATCTCTAGACAAAGTTATAGGCCTTCAAAGCGTGACGACTCGTTCAAAAGACCCGAATTCTTTCAAAATACTCGAAAACTCGTCAAGAGTCGTCAAAACGATTGACGCAAAAAGATTTGAAAAGCATAACTCTTTTCAATGAATTCTTTTTGGGATTTACTGTACATAGCTGTAGGGTTCATTGTACATAGCTGCCACTATAGCTGACATAGGGATACTGTAGACTGTAAATAACAAAAGCTACTGTAAATACTGTATAAATGACGTAAATTATACTAAACAAAAGGTACTTTAGGTATTTAGGACGTAAAGAAGCTGGTGTAAGATCTAAAAAGACTGTAGGATGTAAAATACTGCAGAATTATAGTTTTCGAGTTTTCACCCTCTCAGTTTTTAGTTTTTATTTCCAGTTTTTTGTCCCTTTCTCAAAAACTAGTCGATCATTTTAGAAATTTGAAAATACCATTCGATAGCAAATTTTCTTGCGCATCTTTTAAAGTATAAGCCATTGTGAATGGCTTGTTGGGTGGCGAGAAAATCTGCAAAGTGTAAAGGGAGACAGTACTCCCCTAAAGTGTCCCCCAAGGTTTCAGTTGAGATATTCTAGGATTCCTCCAAGCAATCCATTCTCGAATTAAGAACAGTAAAACTAGAATTAAATGCGCATATTTCAGAAAAAAGTGATTGAAAAGAACAAAATTTGGCCGAGAGATGAGAGTGAGAAGAAAAAAAGAGGAACATTTTTGAAAGTCTTCTTTTTTCCAGCCCCATATCTCGACTTCTTTTTACTATTTTTAATTACTTTTTTTTTGTAAAATATGCGCATTTAATTCTAGTTTTACTGTTTTTAATTCGAGAATGGATTGCTCGGAGGAATCCTAGAATATTTCAACTGGAACCTGGGGGACATTTTTAGGGTGAGTACTCTCCTCCTTTGCACTTTTCAGATTTTCTCGGGACCCAATAAGCCATTCACAATGGCTTATACTTTAAGAGATGCACAAGAAAATTTGCTATCGAATGGTATTTTAAATTTCTAAAATGATCCACTAGTTTTTGAGAAAAGGACGAAAAATTGAGAGGGAAAGACTCGAAAATTAGACTGCAGGATGTCAATGGAACTGTAGGACATAAAAGTACTGTAGGAGGGCACTGTAATTCATTGAATACACAAAAGACTTCTTCAACTCATCAAAAAAGTGTTTAAAAAATGTTTAAAAACCAATTCCCATATCTAGATTTGGCCGTGAACCCGACTACGACAGCCGAAGCACCTCTCGATCAAAGATGCGCAGTCCATCGGTTGCTGGTACTATCGGTTCGATTTCCCGCACTAATCTCTTCACCAATCAGCTTTCAGCCAATCGCCTAATCGATTCATTCAAACCAAAATTTCTCCATAATAATGTCTAATCAAAAAAAATTGTTTCCTATTTTTTTAAACGATTTTCTTTCAGGTGATGATGTGAGAGATGCGTTATCGCAATTCGATTACTTGAACGACTATGATGCGTCGAGTCTACGCGGAAAAGCCACAGCCACTTATCATTTGTAGATTTCTTAAAGGGGGGTATTAATCGCGGCCGGGTGACCATAAAAATTTTTTTTACGGCAACCACCTGTTTTTTATTTTAATATCGCTGATTTTATTATAAAAAGAATAAAAATCACCCGGCTAGAGTGATTTGATGGGTTTACAAATTTTTGGAGACACTGCAAGGCTTGGAGAAAAACAAGATCGTCACTCACGTCACAAGATCGTCAGACACCTCAGCACAGTCTAGATCGATTGAGTTTTAGTTGCAGATAAATTTAAAAACAAAATAAAAAGCACAAAAAACAATAAAAATAAATTGTTAATCTAGAATTCTTCCTCTTGCTCACTTTCATCTTCGCTCAAGTACAGCAGTTCCTCAAATCGGCTTCCTATCTTATCAATTTCCAGCGCATCTTCACCAGAAGTGACTGAATCTCCTCCACCGTAGGACATCTTCAGCGCTTTGATTGACACAATTAGATCTTTTTTCCATTTGTGGTCGCTTGTGGTTTTAGTTTTCTCAAATAGGTGCCTTTTAGCTGAGGTGTCTGATGAGTGACGATCTTGTTTTTCTCCAAGCCTTGCAGTGTCTCCAAAAATTTGTAAACCCATCAAATCACTCTAGCCGGGTGGTTTTGATTCTTTCTATAATAAAATCAGCGATATTAAAATAGATAAACAGGTGGTTGCTGTAAAAAAATCGTCACCCGGCCGCGATTAATACCCCCCACAACGAGTACGTAGTTTGAAAAAAAACATTTGTCTTCAAATCAAAAATCTAAGCACTAACAATTCTTAAATGATGTCCAACTAAGAGAAAAAATGCAAAAAGAATCGATTTCGACTTGTCAATTTTTTGTTGATAGGTCGAGAAATTTTGTCTTTTGACCTAATCAATTCACCTAAGATATCCCAGTTGCAATTATTCAAATTCCACTTTCCTGGGCCAATTTTTTGCGTCGATTCCAAAAAACACACTTTCACCACGATTTGACGACGGTATCGCGATGAAAAGTGACTTTGAAAATTTCTAGATTTCAACTTTGGTGCTCGGAAGGGCAAAAACCTGAATAAAATAGAAAACATATAGAAAAACTACTACCATCGTGTAGAGCTCAACCTGAGCTTTCAGAATATACATAACACTTATGGGTTCTGTCGAGTACTTCTGTAGATATGGCGTATCAAAGTTGGTGAACTCCATGGCCAGCACCGTTGATGTTTTGTCCGTTAACGTTAATTAGGTCAAAAGACAAAATTTCTCGATCTATCAACAAAAAATTGACAAGTCGAAATTGATTCTTTTTGCATTTTTTCTCTTAGTTGGACATCATTTAAGAATTGTTAGTGCTTAGATTTTTGATTTGAAGACAAAAATTTTTGTACTCGTTGTGCCCCCCCTTTAACGCAAATTTTTAGCTAGCTTTCAAAATCTTTTAAATTTAAATCAAAATCTCAATTCGCAATTGAACAAAAAGCCTATTGAAGTTAAGTTTTCCGAATTTTTCCTTTGCTTTTTCCTTTTGCTTTTTTTTTTCGTTTGATTTTTGTTAAATCCTCCGCCCAGTTGCTCAACTCGAAATCTCGGTTTTGCAAAATTGAAATTTTTATTTTCCATTTCACAACAATTACAAAACAAAAGTACGCTAAATGCTTTACGTTTTAAATGTTTTTTTTTCTTCTTTTCTTCTTCTTTTCAATGCTTTAATGCAAAAATTTGCTCAAACGATTTCCTGTTAGAAATTTCTCGTCAAAAATTCTTTCTTTGTAAAACTCTTTTCACTCTCTGGGAATAAATATTCATTCTATAAGTTAAAAAAATATGCAATAAATGATTTTCAATCGATAAAGGCATCATGGAAAGGAAAGAAAGCACGTGAGTCTTTGAATGTGGCAAAATCAAGAACAAAACATTATGTACAATCAATCATTTTGACTAAAAAGCAATCATTTTGATTGATTTTGATTGATTTTGATTGATTTTGATCAATTTTGAACAAAAAAAAGCAATCATTTTAACGAATTTTGATCAAGAATCAATAATTTTTGACAAATTTTCATCTAGAATCAATCATTTTAATGGATTTCGATCAAGAACGAATCATTTTAAACGATTTAAACCAAAGAAACCAATCATTTTAACTAATTTTCATTAAGAACCAATCATTTTAACCAATTTAAGGGGTAGGCTAGTTTCCGTAATTTTTTTTGCGCAAGAGGGTCATTTGCGCAACTGGGTCGTTTGCGCAACTCGCCATAACTTTCTTCTAAGTGGGCCAATCTTTATGCTTTTGGTTTCATTTTGTAGATCTCAATAAGTGCAACAAAATAACACCAAAAGCATAAAGATTGGCCCACTTAGAAGAAAGTTATGGCGAGTTGCGCAAACGACCCAGTTGTGCAAACGACCCAGTTGCGCAAATGACCCAGTTGCGCAAATGACCCTGTTGCGCAAAAAAAGTCGCGGAAACTAGCCTACCCCCAATTTAAACCAAAAACAACCAATCATTTTAACCAATTTTCATCAAGAACGAATAATTTTAACCAATCTAAACCAAAAAAGCAATCATTATTGACAAATTTTCATCAAGAACCAATCATTCTAAATAATTTAAACCAAAAAACCAATCATTTTAGCCAATTTTCATCAAGAACCAATCATTTTAACCAAATTTAAACCAATTCTACTGTAAAATCTTGTCTTAACAAGCATTTGCCTAATAAAACATTCAGAGATTCAACTTTCAAATTAGATCAACCGATTCTGAACTATTGTAATAAAGAATTACGCTATCTTTAGCAAATTTCAATACCTAACAATTCAATAAGTCGACTAGCTCAGAGATCTTCGGAGATTCGAGAACATTCGTCTTTCTAATCGATTTAATGAGAGCTTTTTGATCGGAAGTAAATGTGTGAAATGGAGAAACGACGATTAGACGAGTGAGACCGATGCGGAGAGAATCGAGATATTGGAGAGTGCGCTGGGGAATCGATTCGGCCAACACGACAACGATGTGACGGTGCAGGGGATTCTCCCTGAAAAGTGAGCTTGTCAAGAGTCGGGGATTTCCTTATTTTTCTTTCTTTTCTTTCTTTTCTTTCTTTTCTCTTTTTCTCTTTTTCCTTGTATTTCTTCTTTCTTCTCTGGAAAAAAGATACCGGTTAGCTCACAAAAGTGATCACAGCTAACAGCTCATAGCTAACAGCTCATAGCTCACAGCTAACAGCTCACAGCTCTCAGCTAACAGCTCACAGCTCACAGCTCTCAGCTCTCAGCTAACAGCTCACAGCTCTCAGCTAACAGCTCACAGCTCACAGCTCACAGCTCACAAGACAAGATAGCTCATAAAAGTCATCATTTTTGGCGGGATTAAGTTACAAAACGGCATCATGATCTCCAGATCAAAAAGTTATTTTATTTTTTGCCCAAATTCAAAATTAGAATTTGAGAAACATTCGAGAGTTCAGAATGAAAGAAAAAATGAAAGAAGCATTTAAAGTTGGCATTAATTCGGTCGGAAAAGTCGAACAGCGCGCTTATGAGTTCGTCGTTTGCCGTTTACCCAGCAGATGGCGCAGAGCGGCAGTGCGCTAGACTTTGAAAGACTTTAACTAGACTTTAACTGAACTTTGAAACTCCCGGGTTCGATCTCTCTTTTGGCCTCTTTTGCTCTTATATATAACGGCCCTAGTCGACGCTAAACTATATATAACGGTCCTGGACGATGCTAAGCTATATATAACGGTCTTGGACGATGCTAAGCTATATATAACGGTCTTGGACGATGCTAAGCTATATATAACGACCAAAATCCAAGATTTTCTTTGGGATTCTCTGCATTTTGCCCTAATCAAAGATTTTGTTTAGTAGAATTGCTCGAATCAAGCTCTTGTTTCTTTAAAAGAAAGCTAACGTTCTTGAGCATCTTTTGGCTGTTTTAGTTTTAGGCAAAATGCTTATTGATCATCAAGAAATCCTGCTTCGAAGTTGTGAAAAACCGTAAGTAGTCAATTTTGCGGAATATAGCGGAATGTAGCAATTGGAAGCAATTGGAAGCAACAAGTGGCTTTTAAAGTTTGCCCAACCTTATCGTTTCGACAATTCTGTTTAAAACTCTAGATAACGAAATGGAATTTTGGTCCTAGCCGACGCTAAGCTAGAAATAACAACACTCTATATAACGAAACGTTTTATATTACGGAAAAATCTTTCCATTCCTTTTTAGAGAAGTTGTGAAAAGCCGTAAGTAGTCAATTGTAGCAATTGGAAGCAATTGAAAGCAATTGGAAGCAATTGAAAGCAATTGGAAGCAATTGGAAGCAATTGGAAGTAACAAGTGGCTTTTAAAGTTTGCCCAACCTTATCCTTTTGAACAATTCTGTTTCATCGCCGACATTTTCGAGAATAAGCGATCCATTTGAGGCTAACCGTCCGGGAACTGGCTCAGCAAGTGGGGGAATCTTTGAGACGAGATCAGCGCCAAATCGACGTGCTCTAAACATTTTGAAATGTAAAACTTTACAGCTAACAGATGGTTCAAAAACCGTATTCTGTTGATTTGTCGTGACCAAGTTTCACTCACGAAAATGAAGAGATCAAATGAGCATTCATCTAGAAATTCAAAATTTCTAACGTCACAACAAACTTTTGCCACCTGGATACTGTACTTTTCGAGCATCAAATGGAATTCGAAACTCTTCCCCAAAATCGGCTTTTTCTGAAAAGATTTGTGAGAGTTTTGATTGTTTTGATTTTAGTTAAAGTTTAAGTGTTAAATTAAATTGTTTATTCAAAAGTTCAAAAGTTTATTCAAAAGCTTCTAGACTTCTGAAAAAGAGGTTCTTTTGATCATTTTTTTTATATATTGGGTTGGTGAATTGAAAACTCCCGGCTATTGTCATAGGTGACATTTTGAGCACTTGAAACAACTTTTTTTGAAAAATTATATGAAAAAAAAAAAAAAATCTTACCAAATACCACTCTTAGCAGTTTGGCTTAAAATTTGTGTGTTCTTTGTGTTCTTTGTACGGCCTCGTAATCGCTCATCGTCTGGCGCAGGGCTTTTACATAACCCCCTTCCCTCCCCCGTTTCCGAAACTAAACCGAAGGCCGGCTCCGAGTCCTCAAATTGTACATTGACTTTTCCTCAAATCGATTATAACAATCTTTAAACACTAATCCTTTAAACAATCGTTTAGACACTAATCGTTTAAACCCGTTTCTACTAATCGTTTAAACCATCTTAACTCTATCTAATCTTGCCGATCTTCTCTATGGAACATTTACAACTATTGGGTTGGTGAATTGAAAATTGCCGACTATTGTCATATGTCCCAGTTTGAGCACTTTCTTCAAAAGAAACCCATTTTGGTGTCAATGGAAAAGTTGTAGAGAATCAAAAATCAAGCTTATATCCTAATTTTCAGGACGATTCAAAAACTGGTTTTCAAGAAATGCGAAATTTACGAATTTTCACAAAGCTTGCAACAAAACTTGCATTATCAAAACAAGCTCGCCAAACTCTGCGAGTTTTTACCCGCTATAAACAGAATATCATTTTTCTCATAAGCTTTTCCGATAGCTTTTCCGTATTGTCCACCAATTTTGAGGTTGAACAATTTATTCCAAAAACCAGTGTTTCAATTTTCCTCTTTCAATTTTCAATTCACCGACCCAATAGATTGAGATTAGCCTTGATTTGCGGAGAAGTCAATGTCCAATTTGAGGATTCGGAGCCGGCTGGAGAGGGAAGGGGGCTGGAGAGGGACTTAGGTAAAAGCCCTGCGCCAGACGACGAGCGATTAGGTGGCCGCACAAAGAACACACAGAACACACAAATTTTAAGCGAAACTACTAAGTGTATCTTTTTGGAAATTTGGATATAAGCTTGATTTTTGATTCTCTACAGCTTTTCCGTTGACACCAAAATGGGTTTCTTTTGAAGAAAGTGCTCAAACTGGGAGTCCTCCATCCTCCTCTCCAGTCCTCCATTTCTGAGTCTCACACTTGTCTCACACACAAACCAAAATCCTACTACGAAAGAGGAATTGCCTGTAAAATGGGCACAAGTCGTCAATAATAATGGAAATTATTTGGAATGAATTGATGGCTTTATGTTGAATAAATTTTAGTTCAAAGTCCCGCAGTCCGCAGTCAAAGTCCGCAAGCCGCTCATCTCTCACGGAAATCCTTTCTTCCTCGAATTGTGACAGCATGAGAAATGGGTTTTATCTGTGAACTTTCGGAGGAAGCGGCAATGGGTGGGGCCAGGCGAGAAACCCGAAAATGACCCTAAGCCCGATTTGCACCAGAAGAAGTTTATGCTCTGCGTTTTCTGGGATATGGAGGGAATGGTGTACATGAAGTTGCTGGATAGCAAGACGACTGTTAATGCAATCAAATACAGTGAACAGTTGGGAAAGGTGAATGAATCCCTGAAGAAGAATAGGCCCTCCAAGTCAAAGATCGTTCTCATCCACGACGACGCGCGGCCTCATGTTGCAAAACTGACTCGCTCTAAAATAAATAGCCTTGTCTGGGAACTTTTGACGCATTCCCCATACAGTCCGGACCTCGCCCCTTTTGATTACTATTGATTCCGGATCATGAGTAGCTTGCGGGAGAACACTTCGATCCGGAAGAAGCAGTCAAAAATTGGCTTTGAAAGTTTTTCGATTCAAAACCAAAATCCTACCACGAAAGAGGAATCCGCAAATTGGAAATATGGCTATAAGCCTAATTTTTGATTCTCTACAACTTTTCCATTGACACCAAAATGGGTTTCTTTTGAAGAAAGTGCTCAAACTGGGATCTCCAGTCTCCATCTCCAGTCCTCCTCCAGTCCTCTCACATTTGTCTCACACACAAACCAAAATCCTACCACGAAAGAGGAATCCGCAAATTGCCTGTAAAATGGGCAGAAGTCGTCAATAATAATGGAAATTATTTCGAATGAATTGATGGCTTTATGTTGAATAAATTTTAGTTCAAAGTCCCGCAGTTTTCAACTCACCATCCAATAAATTTAGAAAACTTACGAAGCATAGGCCCAGCCGTTACATCAACATCCTGAAATTTGCTTTTTACACAAATGAAAACAAATTTCAATTACTTTGATGGCTTGGCGTTAGTAAAGCTTGTTCTTTGAGGTGCGTGGCATTCATTTTCTTTTTGAATTGTGTGAAAATGATAAGCGAAATGAATATTGTTAGTGCAAACAGTGAGGGAATCCATTTGGCATTGCTACCGGCTTGAATCACCTAAAAAACACAGGCATTGTTAGAAAGTATTGAGTAAAATTTGAGCTTTGTAGTATTGTTGAGGTTAGTGTTAAACAGTTTGAAAGGAAATAGCAAAAAAACTTTGATATCAAAGCCTTCATACCAAAGGCTTCATATCAAAGCCCGATATCAAAGCCTTCATATCAAAGCCTTCATATCAAAAGCTTTCATATCAAAGCCTTGATATCAAAGCCTTCAAATCAAAGCCTTCATATCAAAGCCTTCATATCAAAGCCTTCATATCAAAGCCTTGATATCAAAGCCTTCAAATCAAAGCCTTGATATCAAAGCTTTCATATCAAAGCCTTCATATCAAAGCCTTCATATCAAAGCCTTCATATCAAAGCCTTGATATCAAAGCCTTCAAATCAAAGCCTTGATATCAAAGCTTTCATATCAAAGCCTTCATATCAAAGCTTTGATATCAAAGCCTTGATATCAAAGCCTTGATATCAAAGCCTTGATATCAAAGCCTTCATATCAAAACCTTCATATCAAAGCCTCCAAATCAAAGCCTTCATGTCAAAGCCTTCATATCAAAGCCTTCATATCAAAGCTTTCATATCAAAGCCTTCATATCAAAGCCTTCATATCAAAAGCCTTCATATCAAAGCCTCCATATCAAAGCTTTCATATCAAAGCCTTCATATCAAAGCCTTCATATCAAAAGCCTTCATATCAAAGCCTCCATATCAAAGCTTTCATATCAAAGCCTTCATATCAAAGCCTTCATATCAAAAGCCTTCATATCAAAGCTTTCATATCAAAGCCTTGATATCAAAGCCTTGATATCAAAGCTTTGATATCAAAGCCTTCATATCAAAGCCTCCAAATCAAAGCCTTCATGTCAAAGCCTTCATATCAAAAGCTTACCTCATCTTCTTCTTCATCATCTCCATCGGCGGCTGTTTCTCGGAGAGCTCTCTTTTCACTCTCCAAAACGACGATCATCGACGTTTGTGAAGTGACGAAACCGTACTTAAACCAGTTATTAAACAAGGATTATAGAGGTAAGAGTTATAGAACTTTATCGATTTATTGACAAGGAAAGCATGATTGAATGCCAATGATTGGATGATTGAATGCCAATTTCCAATGATATCTTGACCATTCTCTGATCAACCATCCTTTTCAGAGGATATCGAGGAATTCCACCGCTTGTGGCTTCGCCGTGACAACGAATGTGAGGTCGAGGAGTTGGAATTGAAGGAGAAGAAGAACTACGGAGTTGAGTCTTATGAGGAGGAACGCTACGATTCCGAGGAATCTTTCTGGAATCCCCGTGAAGATTTCGAGGAGGAGAACATGGGAGAGAAGCGATCACGCAAAATGCTCGAGAAGAGCCTCAAGAAGCACATCAGCCGCAAGAACCTCCGCGACGAGGATGCAGAATTTTACGCTGATTCCAATGTAGCTGCCAAATGACGTGTAATCACCTCCAAATGGTGGAGATAATCACTGCGAAATGGTCGGGATAATCACCGCCAAATGGTGGGGATAATCACCGACAAATGGTGGAGAGAATCACCGCTAAATGGTGGAGATAAATCACTGCCAAATGGTGGGGATAATCACCGCCAAATGGTGGAGATAATCACCGCCAAACTGGCTTAAATTCAAGCCTCTCCTTTTAAGCAGATTCTTTATAATTTCTTTGAGTTGTAGTAAAAGGATAGTTGATTTTGTGCTAAAATTTAAGATAGAACAAATCACAATTATGAGTTGTGGAAACAAAAGATCAGCTTTGAAGGTCAGCTTTGAACTCTTGACCTCTAGCTTGCTGTACAACCACTCAACTACTCGGCCATCGATGAACAGATTGTGTTGAAAAACAATCGGCTTAAAAGGAGACGCCCAAAACTTTTATTCCCGTTTGGCGGTGATTACCCGCCATTTGGCAGCTAATTTTTACATTGGATTTAGCGTAAAATTCTGCGTCGAATGGTCGATATGTTACGTTTGATCTAGAAATTCGTCCGATTTAGACCTAGATCGGATTCTAGATCGGATCCTAGATCGGACATCCGATCTAGAGTGAAGTGAGGTTAGAAGAAGTGAGGTTTGTTTTGCTAGAGCAAATAAGCAAATAGCAAAGAGCAAATAACTCAGAATATGCTAAGAAATGAAAGAATTATTTCATCGGAATCGAGAACCGAATTTTGCTTAATAACTTCAATGAGTTTGAGTTTCCATAATTCCGCTGCACTCTATAGTCATTAAAAGCAGGCTAATAACTCAAAAAATATATGATTTTAAAACCTGTAAAGCCAATTGCTTAATCCTTGTGGCCACATTCGCTTTTTCCTCAACGCTTTGCGCCACCGATTCGAGCGCTTTCTCGTACTTGACAATCGTTTGCTGAGCCCACATTCTTTCGATGAAATTCCCGACGGTATTCGTTTTCCCACACATTTGAATTTCTCAAATAATTTATAGAGAAAAAAAGAGCTTTTTTCCAAACCATTAATCACCGAGGCGTTGATCTGCTTCAATAGACTCTCCTCGACACACATTGAACTTGGTGTCACTTCTTTACTCTGAAAATTTCTAGCTATGCCTATGAAATGATGACTATCAAAAGCCGGAGCCTGAGCCTCTGGTAATTATTCGAAAGAATGAAACCCAACAACAACTTTTGTCCCCTCATCAACAGAAGCTTCGATTTGAGTGGCAATTGAGTTCATTGAAGAGTCCTGAAAAAAGTTGGAAACATTTAACCAAAGTTTCGCCTTGAAATCTCGCCTCGAAATTCCTTGAAATCTCGAGAACCGCTTATCAGAACTATCAGAACTGATGTGGGATCAGAAAATGTAGCTAACGATGAGATCTTGTGGGGGGATTAGAGGGTTGAGCTTCTCGGAAAAGTTGGAAACGGTAAAATAGGCAACAACTCGGCTCGGCGGCGTACACTACTATTAGAGAGAATACGGTAATCAATCTGTTAGGTATTTAAGTCCTGTATTTTAGTCCCAATTGAACAGTCAATCATTTGATATCATGCTCAAATTCAACTCCAAATTCGAGCAGATTCGGAATCGCCATATTCGATTCGATAAAATGGAGTCAATCTCATAGGCGAAAGAACACGGTAAAGTTCATGCCTTTCGCTAGTACTAATTATTTTCGTTTAATGATCAGAAATTCTCTACTATTTACCAGTTTTCAAATTTATGGAATATTAAAAATGTTGAAATCAGATTTCTGTTTATGATTCTTTCAAGAAAACTTAAAGGGGGGGGGGGTATTAATCGCGGCCGGGTGACGATAAAAATTTTTTTATGGCAACCACCTGTTTTTTTATTTTAATATCGCTGATTTTATTATAAAAAGAATAAAAATCACCCGGCTAGAGTGATTTGATGGGTTTACAAATTTTTGGAGACACTGCAAGGCTTGGAGAAAAACAAGATCGTCACTCATCAGACACCTCAGCACAGTCTAGATCGATTGAATTTTAATTGCAGATAAATTTAAAAACAAAATAAAAAGCACAAAAAACAATAAAAATAAATTGTTAATCTATAATTCTTCCTCTTGCTCACTTTCATCTTCGCTCAAGTACAGCAGTTCGGCTCAAGTACAGCAGTTCCTCAAATCGGCTTCCTATCTTATCAATTTCCAGCGCATCTTCACCAGAAGTGACTGAATCTCCTCCACCGTAGGACATCTTCAGCGCTTTAATTGACACAATTAGATCTTTTTTCCATTTGTGGTCGCTTGTGGTTTTAGTTTTCTCAAATAGGTGCCTTTTAGCTGAGGTGTCTGATGAGTGACGATCTTGTTTTTCTCCAAGCCTTGCAGTGTCTCCAAAAATTTGTAAACCCATCAAATCACTCTAGCCGGGTGATTTTTATTCTTTTTATAATAAAATCAGCGATATTAAAACAAAAAAACAGGTGGTTGCCGCAAAAAAAATTTTATCGTCACCCGGCCGCGATTAATACCCTCCCCCCTTTAAGATAAGGTTGTGAAAAACTTAATTTATCCGATCTCCATACCACAATGAGCACTTTCCACGGGACTTTTTACACAAAAATCAACCCGAAATGCAACAATTTTGAAAAAAAGTGACTTAAACTTGTTAAAGTACCGTATTCTCTCTAATAGTAGTGGACCCTGAGCGTCGCCTAAATTGCTCGAAATCTCGAGAACCGCTTATCAAAACTTATTGATGTGGGGTCAGAAAATGTAGCTAACGATGAGATCTTGTGGGGGATTAGAGTGTTGAGCTTCTGTGCAAAACTTGAAAACCGTAAAATAGTCACCAAATCGGCTCACCGCGTGCACTACTATTAGGGAAAGGCTGCTCACTGAAATGTCTTCTTTTCTACTAAAGCTCGATTGTGGCAACTATTAATACCGTAATCCATCTATCAACTTGACCTTTCACACCAGTTCTTACAAAGGAACGTTCCAAAGAGTCGGAAAAACCCCAAAATCGTCGACCAACTTGTTTGCGCCAAGTCCAGTACAGGGTGTTAGGCTTTTAAACAGCGATCAGATGTAAACGCCTATCGGACAATGTTTATTTTTAGCCCACGGGCCCTTTCAAGACGCCCTTTCAAGAAGCAAACACTTTAGAAACTCCAAAAAAAATTTTTTACGGAGAGTGGCGAGAGGAATCGAACCGGGGAACAAGAACTGAATTAGTTTGATAGCCAGTATCCCCTAGATCTCAGCTGTTTTGTTTTCTTTCGACGTGGCATCTTATAATTGGGGTAAGAGTTTGTCGAAAATGATTGAAACATCGAAAATGCTGAAAATTTGCATGGACTTTTCTTGAAAGCTAGGGCCTGTGGGCAAAAAATAAACACAGCATCGGATTCGTGATGTCCGATAGACGCTTGCATAACCATTTAAGTCTCGTGTCTAAGTTATTTGCTCTAGGAAAAACATTATTGGACAAAAGTAACGTCTCACACCCTCTTTGGAACGTTGCACATCGGCGCGAAAATGCGTTTTCTATCGCATTTTTCTGGGAGTACCTTTTTTAGATGCGGAAAATTGTGCTGATTCCGAATCTGAAGGAATTTTTCAAATCCCTCTGACATAAATTTAGTTTTAGCGGTTTTTTGGTCATTTTGTATGGGAAATTTTGTGGTACCCTGCAACATTGGGGCTCGTAACTCGACAACGAGGGTCTAGAACCAAAAACGAAGGAGTAGGTCTTATTCTAGAGACTCTTACGAACATTTTGATGCAAAAATCATCAAATTTGCTCAACTCTACAAAAAGTTATAACATTTCTGTCAGAGGGATTCGAAAAATTCTTTCAGATTCGGCATCAGCACAATTTTCCGCATCTAAAAAAAGGTACTCCCAGAAAAATCCGATAGAAAACGCATTTTTGAGGGGAAATAAGGCCTTATTTCGCGCCGATGTGCCTTGTTTCGTTGCTTTGTTTCCTGGAAAGTTGATACTTTTAGATCTTAACCCCATTGCATTGAGTGTTCATCGAAAATGACTTTTAAAAACGAACTTAAACTATTCTTTTTTCTATAAAAACGAATTCAATCTATCTTTTTCGATAAAAATCATATGCTTTCATCAAATTTCAACTTTCTTTCGTTATTTCTCTCAGCAATTTCCCTCTACTTTCTTCATTGATGGGGGAATTTTTAGATAAATTTTTTTTAGATTAGCCCTTTGTTTATAGACTTTTTCAAATTTAAACCGCGGTCAGGGCCCAGAAGTGGCTCATTCCTTTTGCAAATTCCCTTTGCTTCCAATGCCTCTTTATCAAATTCATTTCCCGTTAGAGCCGCTAGATTATGGAACTTGCTCCCAAACGACATACGAGAAATTCAGTCGCTTTTCATATTCAAGAAACGTATCGATGCTTTAGATCTAGTGGCTCTTTGCCGTAAGTAATTAGCTTATTGATTTCAGTATGTATTGTATGATTAAGTATCACTGTGCATTTCTCTATGATTTCTTTCACTTTATCGTTTGAATAAAGTATTATTATTATTATTAAAGAAAACCTAATCTTTGCGAAAATTTGCCGAATTCTCGATGAAATACCCATTTTGTGGACTTTTCACTATTCGGGTAACTTGAGGAATCAAAATTTTTAACAATAAGAAGAATTTAATGACAGTTTTCATCAATTTTAAACTAATTTTAGACAGTTTTCAGCAACTTTAGACTAATTTTAGATAGTTTTCATCAATTTTAAACAAATTTAGACAGTTTTCATCAATTTTAGACTAATTTTAGATAGTTTTTATCAATTTTAAACAAATTTAGACAGTTTTCATCAATTTTAAACTAATTTTAGACAGTTTTCAGCAATTTTAGACTAATTTTAGACAGTTTTCATCAATTTTAGACTAATTTTTGATAGTTTTCATCAATTCTAAACAAATTTAGACAGCTTCCATCTATTTTAAACAAATTTAGACAGCTTTCATCAATTTTAGACTAATTTTAGATAGTTTTCATCAATTTTAAACGAATTTAATGACAGCTTTCATCAATTCTAAACAAACTTTAGACAGCTTTCATCTTGCTAAGTATCCTTCATTTTATTGGCCAACTTTTTTATTTCATAGATGATGATCTTAGCTTTTGGAGAAGCTATGGAGGGTTTGGTTTACGAGGAAAACACATGAAAATCCTTCAATTTCTAGAGAAACTCCCCTTTATGAGTCGAAAATGATGAATACGATGGTTTTTGTGGCTATAAATTTGATGGATTTCACGGAAACCGTTCTCTACATTACGACCGCGGTTTTCACCGTTATTGGCTTGAGGAAACGCATCAAATCGCTCAGCTTGGTCTATCCGCTTTTTGTGGTGAGGGTTTTTGGTGATTTTGGTGATTCATTAGACTTTACTGTATTTGGGGATTCATTAGACTTTACTGCATTAGACTTTACTTCATTAGACTTTACTGCATTGGACTTTACTGCATTGGACTTTACTTCATTAGACACTAGACACACTTCACCACTTCACCACTCACATTTTGGTGATTCATTTGAGTTTACTTCATCAAACATTAGACTAGAGTATTTTGTACCAAAATGTAAGTGATTCTGGGGAAAATTTTAGAGAATTTTTATCAAATTACAAAATCTAGCAAGCAGGAGATGCTTGTCGAAAAGCTAAGAGGCTAATCTCTGCGTAAAACTGTTTCAAAAAGCCAAAGCCAAAGCCAACACAAGGCAGACCAGGCCAAATCAAAGCTATTTGGGCTGGCCTGGCTTAACCTGATTTAGATCCTGATTTGAGCTAGATCCTGATTTGAGCTAGATCCTGATCTGATCTAGATCCTGATCTGATCTAGATCTTGATCTGATCTAGATCTTGATCTGATCTAGATCCTGATCTGATCTAGATCCTGATCTGATCTAGATCCTGATCTGATCTAGATCCTGATCTGATCTTGATCCTGATTTGAGCTAGATCTTGATTTGATCTAGATCTTGATTCGAGCTAGACCTAAAGCCTAGGACTAGCCCTAGTCATGGTTTATTTACCTCTAAATCAAGACCAAAACCTGGTTTCCAAAACAAAACATATTGGAACGTTTTCAAGAAACTGCAAAACTTTCCATGACTGGATTGAACCCGTGGGCCTTGTCACCCCTCAGCTCCCCGTTGCCGAGCGTGTTACCACTAGGCCAAGGAAACTTCTCACTCTTTCTTCTGACTCTTTCTCCTGACTCTTTCTCCTGACTCTTTCTTCTGACTCTTTCTTCTGGCCCTTTCTTCTGACTCTTTCTTCTGACTCTTTCTCCTGACTCTTTCTTCTGACTCTTTCTTCTGGCCCTTTCTTCTGGCCCCTTTCTTCTCACTCTTTCTTCTGACTCTTTCTTCTGACTCTTTGCTTTCTCAACTCACAACTGAATTCTAGGGTATGGACATCAAAGCTCACTATAATAATATCAGCAATTACTTCATGGTGAAAGACTATGTCGCAATGTCAATCTCTGTTTACATGCTCCTGATGAGCATCTTCGTTTTGATCATTTTCAAATTCTACTACAAACAAGTGTATCCAAATTATCGAAAATTCCTTTCACCAGAGAACCAAATTCAACGAGTATAAAACGATTTTTTTGATTTTGATCTTTGAAATAAATATTTAAATCAATGAAAACAATCAATTTGCATTCGATTTGCAATTTTCTTTCTTTTCTCTTTTCTTTCTTTTCTTTCTTTTCTTTCTCCTTTCTTTTCTTTCTCCTTTCTTTCCTTTCTCCTTTCTTTCCTTTCTCCTTTCTTTCCTTTCTCAAATCGTCATTCGTTAAACTTTCTCATCCCAAAATTGATCGGCTTTAGATAAGAGAATAAAATCATTCATTGAAATTGGATTTTTTGATTCAAAAAAAATTTTCCATGAGATTCCCACATTTTCGTTTAGATTTTCAAACAGTTAGAGTGAGTTTTTAAGGTTTTTTTTTGATTTTATTTCATTCAAAAATTAGGCTATCTTCCTTTTCTTAAGCTTTTTACATTTTCTCGGACAAATCGCTTGTGATGTCATTGATGCGATTCATTGGCAACAAAAATATGGGAATGGTCGGTGAGTGGAAAGGTTGATGAAAAGATTATTGATCATTTCGCAAATGCTAATCTCAATTAAACCAAAGTTTTTTCAATTCAACGACAATTCAACGAACAACCAGTTATTATACTACGATCAACCAGCTAAGAATGCCATTAGGATTTAGAAAAATCAGGATCTAGATCAAATCAGGATCTAGATCTAGATCAAATGAGGATCTAGATCTAGATCCTGATCATTCTAAGAGTTGGATCCTGATCACCCTCTCAATGAATCATTTATTAAAATGGAATTGGAACTTTGGAACGTTCCCCACATCATCATTCTATTACGTTGATGCATAAGTCTTTTCGTTTTTTTCGTACTTCTGTTAAAAAGTAACAAATTCAGCAATTAATCTATAGTTTGCTCTATAAAAAAAGTGTTTTTTTGTTCAATTTGCATCTTTTTAAATGAATTTCGGTTCACTTTCAAGCAAATTCGAGAGTGAAAAACGCCTTTTTCGTAAAAATCTATAAAAAAACTCTACGGAAAAATTGGCTGAATGAATTTCTCTGAAATTTTGGCGAAATATCAAACGTTTTTTTTCTCTATCTTTTATCTATTGACACGAAGATAGGTTTTCTTTAGCTAAGGTGTCTAAACCGCATCATCGAGTTAGCCCTTTTTGACTACCCGACTTCATACTCTCAAGAAAATCCAGGCATCAAATATTTTTAAACCCGTTTTAATGTTATTTTGCAGAAAAATAATTGGTTTTTCTAATGAAATCAACCGTAGTTTAATTCGTGCATTTGTTGGCTTGAAACGGCAGACGAAAAGGAACAAAAACACTTATGCATCAACCTAATAGAAGAAGAAGCTAGGACTGAAGCTGAAGAAGCCTCATCTAGAAGAAGAAGCTAGGACTGAAGCTGAAGAAGCCTCATCTAGAAGAAGAAGCTAGGACTGAAGCTGAAGAAGCCTCATCTAGAAGAAGAAGCTAGGACTGAAGCTGAAGAAGCCTCATCTAGAAGAAGAAGCTAGGACTGAAGCTAAAGAAGCCTCATCTAGAAGAAGAAGAAGCTAGGACTGAAGCTGAAGAAGCCTCATCTAGAAGAAGAAGAAGCTAGGACTGAAGCTGAAGAAGCCTCATCTAGAAGAAGAAGAAGCTAGGACTGAAGCTGAAGAAGCCTCATCTAGAAGAAGAAGCTAGGACTGAAGCTGAAGAAGCCTCATCTAGAAGAAGAAGCTAGGACTGCAGCTGAAGAAGCCTCATCTAGAAGAAGAAGAAGAAGCTAGGACTGAAGCTAAAGAAGCCTCATCTAGAAGAAGAAGCTAGGACTGAAGCTGAAGAAGCCTCATCTAGAAGAAGAAGCTAGGACTGAAGCTAAAGAAGCCTCATCTAGAAGAAGAAGCTAGGACTGAAGCTGAAGAAGCCTCATCTAGAAGAAGACTCATCAACCTAATATTATGATGAGAAAGGATTTAGAAAAATTTTACAAAAATTAAGCCCATCAATAGATCAATATTAGGTAAATGCATAAGAAAATGCGGATTTCAACATTTTAAAATTAAAACAATAAATTCCCCACGATCGAAACCTGATATCGATGAATGTTATAAACTATTTGAAAGTTGTAAATCTCCTCTACAAAATAGGCTAAAAGACTTTTTAATTGATCGAAGCATTGAAGAAATTTCGAGGGCCAAATGCGAGTGACCAAAAAAGGAATCGAGTCACTTTAGGTACAAGTTTAGTATCGTCAAAAATAGAGTCTACAATTTTCAAATAGTTTATAACATTCATCGATATCAGGTTTCTATCGTTGGGAATTTGAAATCCGCATTTCTTATGCAGGAAATGTTGAAATCCGCGTTTCTTATGCATTTACCTAATACAATCCGCCTCTTTTTTTTCCGGTCCATTTGCCATTGGCAATCGAACTTGTTTCTTTGCGGGATTTATTTGAAAAACGTTGAATTTACTTTACGTTACTTTCATTTGACTTGAAATCAAATTGAAATCAAATTTTCTATCAAATAAGAGCAAATTGAACGTTTTAAAAACAAATCCAGTCAAGGTACGAGTAGAAAATTCGTTGCTTTTAGATTGCTAACGGCAAACGGACGGCAAAAACAAAAAAGCGGAGTTAACATGACTAACTACAACACCTTAAACAGTATAACTCTTTTTAAGTTGACTAAAATCATTTGCATTCAGACCCGAGCAATTATTTGAATCGAAAACGATGAACACAATGATTTTCACGGGAACAATGGTAATGGATGCTGCAGAAATGCTTCTTTATATAACGACAGCTGTAATCACGATTATTGGATTGAGAAAAAGAATCAAAACGCTCAGTGTTGTTTATCCACTTTATGTGGTAAGTTTTGAAGTTAAGGGTAATTGATTTTGCGTATGTTTTCAAGGAAACACTCGCTTTAGCTTGCGTCTGAGATTAAATTAAATACAAAGAACTCAACGAACAAACAACCAACGAAACAACCAACGAACAAATTAAACAACCTTCAGTAGAAAAACCCCAAAAAACTCACCTAGGCTATAGCTTCATTTACCGCAAAGGCTATCCGCTTTACAGAACTAGCGCCTTGACTAGTCTACCCATCTAACCAAAGCCGGACGGGAGCCTACAACACTCAGATCAGGGAAGTGACCCCATCTCATGGATTCGAACCTGAGACTAACCGAGCTTGGCTGCTTAACTTGGCTGCTTAGCTTGGCTGCTTAGCTTGGCAAATCTGACGGGATACCGTGTTTCAATGTGGTGAGGCCGTAGCTTCAACGCTAGTAAAACACTAGATTTCAAGGGCTATTATTTAACACCCAAGCGCGCACTTAACACCCAAGCGCTAGCATAAAGCAGCGAGGAGAATAGAACGTTCAAAGTTAGACTACGCGATTGTACGCCCGTTATACGATGGCGTTCTATTAGAGTATTTACGGTGACAAGATATTAAAGTTTAGCAGGATTAGAGTATTTACGGTTTATTATAGTTATAGGTTATATTATAGTCTAATTTATAGATCAAATCAGGATCGTAACTTTAACAAGATCAATAACAAGATCAGTGTCAAGATCAGTAACAAGATCAGTAACAAGATCAGTGACAAGATCAGTGACAAGATCAGTAGCAAGATCAGTAACAAGAACAGTAACAAGATCAGTAACAAGATTCCTCCGTTTCAGGGCATGGATATCAAGATGTGGTGGTCGAATCTCACTAACTATTTGATGGGAAAAGACTACTTAATGCTCGGTCTAGCTATTTACATGTTTTTCACGAGTATTCTCATTGTTGTCTTTTTCAAGTTCTATTATGATGAGGTTCATCCGCGGATCAACTATCAAAAGTTTTTTGGGAGCAATAGTCGGGAAGGGAAATTGCAAAGAGTATAAAATTTTCCTATCATTTGTGACAATGAACGAACCTCTTTATCTGGAGAAAGCTTTCCAACAGTCACCAATTCTTGACCGGCAAAGATCATTCGGCTTTCATCGGCGTTCACAACACTGCCAACATCGATCTGAATAGAGAAAAATGGGGTAAATAAAGGAAAATAGAGATCAGACATGTGCAGGTCCGGATCCGGATTGGGTCTCAAGATCTGGCCTATTTTTCCGGATCGAAGTCAAGATCTGGATCCAGAATCCTTTTGGAACGGATCTCCGGATCTGAATCGAGTCTAGCCTCAAGATCCGGTCTAGTTTTCCGGATCCGATCAACGATCTGGATCCAGAATCTTTTTGGGACGGATCTTCGGATTTGAATCGAGTCTAGCCTCAAGATCTGGCCTAGTTTTCCCTGTCGGATCCAAGACCTGCTTCCAGAATCCTTTTGGAACGGATCTCCGGATCTGAATCGAGTCTAGCCTCAAGATCCGGTCTAGTTTTCCGGATCCGATCAACGATCTGGATCCAGAATCTTTTTGGGACGGATCTTCGGATTTGAATCGAGTCTAGCCTCAAGATCTGGCCTAGTTTTCCCTGTCGGATCCAAGACCTGCTTCCAGAATCCTTTTGGAACGGATCTCCGGATCTGAATCGAGTCTAGCCTCAAGATCCGGTCTAGTTTTCCGGATCCGATCAACGATCTGGATCCAGAATCTTTTTGGAACGGATCTCCGGAATCCAACGAAATTCCGAATCGGAGCTGGGCCCTAATTCAACAAGTTTTGACAGTGATTTGACAAAAATAAGAACTTTTATAGCCATTCAAAGCCAAATCTCACTTTTTTGACCTACAGCCGATTAAAAGCCAATTGTTTTCCAATTTAGAGCCAAGCCAATTTAGAATTATAGAAAAAACAAAATGTTATGAGACAACCCAACAACAATAAATTGCTGAAAAGAAAAGAAGTGCAAGAATTGACGAGAAATAGTAGATTTCCGGAGAGGGGATTGAAATCTCGACCTTTTGCTTTTCGGTATTGCTTGAACCTCTAGCCACTGAGCTATCCGGTACCTTGGCTCGCAAAGAGAAAGAAGGAAAGACAATGAGGAAGAAGAAAGGAAGAAGAAATGAAGAAGGAAGGACGAAAGAAATAAAGGCAAAGAAACTAGTATTTAAAAATTTACATATGATCCGATCCGGGATCCGGCTTTTTTCTGGGTCAAATCTCTAGATCCGGAAGACCGAGAACTCGAATCTAGACCTTTTCTTGAACCCGCACATCTCTGTTTTCGATAGTTTGTGTTGACTTTAAATTCGAAATCATCTAATTGCGAGTCGTCTAATTCCAAATCCTTTCAAAAACTTTCCCCATTTAAACTGTCCCCATTTATAATTTCCCCATTTAAACTCTTCCCATTTAAACTTCCCCGTTTAAACTTTCCCCCTTTAAACTTTCCCTATCGAAACTTTCCCCATTTAAACTTCCCCATTTAAACTCTCCACCTGATTATCCAAGTATTTCACTTTGATCTCTTTCATCAATGGAACGGCCAACTCGTTGTAGAAACCTTAAAGTTTAAGGTTTTTCTTTTTGCGAGATCTACAAAACCAACCAGCAATTTGCACATCACTTTCCGCATTCTCAAAGATTCGTTTCGCGAAACCGTGATGATTGGCCGAGATTTGCTTTAAAAGTCTAAAAATGGGACATGGAAAATGGATTTGGGCCAATTTTACTGAACTTTGTTGAGATTTTATTCAAAATTCAATCATATTTTGCTCAAAATTCAGCCATATTTTCTCAAAATTCAACCATTTTCCTCAAAATTCAACGATTTCCCTCAAAATTCAACGATTTTCCTCAAAATCCAATCATTTTCCTCAAAATTCAATCATTTTTCTCAAAATTCAACCATTTTTGCCTCAAAATTCAACGATTTTCCTCAAAAGTGCACTTGCACACCTAGTCGATCACGCTAGAATCACGCTAGTCGCGACCCGTCTCCCCGACACGCAAGACACCACATAAGTGGGCAACACGTGCCGGCTCGACGCGCACAATCAACGCACTCAGCGCATACAGACAACAAGTAGTGCACCGGGCCCGAAGGATCGGTTGAATGTTGCCTCGTTACGTCGACTCTATCCGTTTCGACTCCAGTGGTTTCACGCACTCTTGAACTCTCTCTCTTCAAAGTTCTTTGCAACTTTCCCTCACGGTACTTGTTTGCTTTTTTTTCCTCAAAATTCAACCATTCCCCTCAAAATTCAACCATTCCCCTCAAAATCCAACCATTTTCCTCAAAATGCAATCATTTTTCTCACCCGTAGTCGGCATTTCTTCCAAAAGCGATACATTGAATGGGAAAGTCGATCTCTGCGGGTAAAATCTCGAGAATCTCATCACTTGTCTAAACTTCTTAACCGTAAATTGTTGAGTCACGTGTATTCAGACGAATAAAACTAACTAATAAAGCTAATTTGAAACAAATCGAATGCACAAATTGATTCCGAATCAATTTCCGACTCTTATCATCAAAAAATCAAACCAACCCTCATGCCAACAGTCGCTTTCCCGTCCGTTAGAAAGACTATCGTTGGCAGGAAAGATTTTTCCTAAAATACGAGATCGTTTTTGGCTTTGGCTTTGGCTTTGACTTTAGCTTTTATAATTTTTTTGATGAAAACCTTTATGAAACAACGTTCTTTAAATTTCCAGCCGAAAAAGCCCAAAAAAATCACCAACAGGGGTCGAACCCAACTCGTGTGGGCTGCAGGCAAGCGCACTCCCGACTGCGCCACGACGACATAAACACCTGGACAGAAAAACCCGCTTAAGACCCTAACGGCAAAACATTCGGCCAGAAAAACCCGCATAACGGCCTAACGGGGGGTTTCTAGCTGGTTTTTTGGGGCTGGCAGGTTGTCGCCGTGGCGCAGTCGGGTGCGGGCATTTCTACCGCCCACACGAGTCGGGTTCGACTCCCCGTACTCCCACTCGACTTTGGTTTTTGCAATTTTTTATGGGAAATGGGAAAACTACAATCAACTACAACATATTCTAAGGTTTTCTAAAGAGTTTTAGCTTTATTGTTGAGAAAACAGCTCAGAAAATGCCTGTAAAGACAGACAGACAGACAGACAGACAGACAAACAAACAGACAGACAAACAGACAGACAGACAGACAAACAGACAGACAGACAAACAGACAGACAGACAAACAGACAGACAAACAGACATAAAGACAGGCAAACAGACAGACAGACACTGCTCTTTTATATATAGTAGATTGTTTTCTTAAAACTCAAACCTTTTTCTCAAAATCAGCCAACATTTCATAAGACTTCAACAAAGCGTCGGCGATATTTGTGCCTCCATGAGCCTCGATCGAGTTGATGTACTAAAGTTTTTCAATGTAAATGTAAATTCAAATGCAAATTTTGCATCGCAACGTTCAAATGTGAGAATTCCAATGTGATTCTACCTCTAAAGCTTCATTAATATTCTCAATCGAAGCATTCATCGGCTCCTCTTTCCACAATTTCGACTCTCGATCAAAGAGAATCAAATTGAAATGATCTGCTGGCTGGAGTTCGCGAAGGATTTGTTGCATTGAGTCTTTTAACTGAATTGAAAATTGCGAAACTTTGGATTTGCGAAAATGGCAGTGGAAAAATGACAGTCTTTTTATGGAAATGGGCTTTGGAAAGTCTCTTACTTGTTGAATTTTTCTTCCTTTCATTGAGCCGCTCTTGTCAAGCGCAAAAATGACAGTTTTGTTGCCGCGTTGCATCTCATCTGATGGAGTGAATTGTTGAAGGAAAAAGCCGTCCACCTAAAATCTCTTTGTAAAAAGTTTTTGCATAGATAATAGCAGAGATAATCCTTTTTTCTGATCTTCCACTTACCACTTGAATCTCGGTCTCTCCAGGTGGAACTGTTGTATTAAACAAAAGGATTAGCTCTCCATTTTGAGTAACTTGGTTGGCTTCATACGAAATATAGGCAAGATTTCCGGATAGATCACCGGCCGCTTGAAGGACAACGCGAGGATCAACTGGAGTTGAATCATATGACAATAAGAATAAATACCGTATTTTCTCTAATAGTAGTGCACCACGCTGAGCCGAGTTGGTGACGATTTTATAGTTCCCAAGCCTTCACAGAAGCTCAACCCTCTAATCCCCCACTAGATCTCATCGTCAGCTACATTTTCCGACCCCACATCGATAGGTTCTGATAAGCGGTTCTTGAGATTTCGAGCAATTTAGGCAACGCAGCTTATCGAACAGAGCTGATGCAATTGCAAAAGAGGTTCGGTAGTAGGTTCAGAAAGTACTGTTGGCTGTTGGCATGTTGGCTGTTGGCATGTTGGCTGTTGGTGTGTTGGCTGTTGGTGTGTTGGCTGTTGGTGTGTTGGCTGTTGGTGTGTTGGCTGTTGGCATGTTGGCTGTTGGCATGTTGGCTGTTGGCATGTTGGCTGTTGGCATGTTGGCTGTTGGCATACGAATTTGTTGGCATGCCGCCATTTTGAAGAACTAGATCAGGCATACAACTGTTGTTGTTCAAAATTCAATGGTGGTTTAGTATTTATGGGATTTATGGGGACAAATACTAGGTTTAAAGCTCGTTTTGTACAAATCTAATGCTAAAAAAGAAATAGACATAAAACATCTACTGTATTTTCTCTAATAGTAGTGCACCCCGGCGAGCCGAGTTGGTGACGATTTTACAGTTCCCAAGCCTTCACAGAAGCTCAACACTCAAATCCCCCACTAGATCTCATCGTCAGCTACATTTCCCGACCCCACATCGATAGGTTCTGATAAGCGGTTCTCGAGATTTCGAGCAATTTACGGGTGACGCTCTGGGTGCACTACTATTAGAGAAAATACGGTAATAATATAACAATAATATGACAATCTCAATCATATGACAATCATATCACAACACCCATCAACATCAACTTTTGACTCATTAAACTTTTCAGAAAAAGTTGGTTTTTAGAGATTTGTTAAACGGATTTCAAAATCATTTTTGAAATCAGCACAAAATTTTTTGCGTCAATTGGTATATTATAAAAGAAATTTCATCAGAAAAAGCGAATTTGCAACAAAATTTTGAATACATTTGATCTCGAATACGATAATTGTCAAGAACTGCCTTAATTTTGGCTTTGACAAGGCTTTTGACAAGATTTAACTGCCTTTAACAGAAAGTAAGATCAGCTCTGTACCCAGGAAGATTTTGAGCAAACCCTGGCCAAGAGGAATCCAAGTAAAGTCAGCCCAGGAATCCCAGTAAAACCAAGTCAGCCAGTCAGCCAGTCAGCCAGTCAGCCAGTCAGCCAGTCAGCCAGTCAGCCAGTCAGCCAGTCAGCCAGCCACATGGGAAAATCCCAACTCGAACCTAATTCCACCTTCATTTTTTCGGCTATTTCTTGGCCAATTGCTCTGGAATTTTGTCTACTAGCTGAGAATGTCGCTTTCTATCTGTAGACAAAATTTCAGAGCAATCAGCCAAGAATCATCCAAGAAAACGATGCTGGAATTGTTGATTGGAATTTTCCAAGGTCTAGCCAGTACCTGGGCTTGTTTTATGGCCTTGATCCGAAGAATTTCTTTTAAAAAAAGTGCTGACTGCTTTTAGGCAAGTAAGCTCTTTTATCTATTTTCATTTTACCTGCTTTTCCTAGAAGCTCAGCATTGGGAAGCTCATTGAGACCGGGCGCGAACTCTGGCACGTGGATCGTCGAAAAGTTGTGTTTGTCGGCGATCAGCACATTGATTTGAAGGTCTTTGATCGGCTGAAAAGATAAAAAACGATCTGATTGCTGTCTATAAACGATCGCCATTTAATATTGAAATATTGCTGCCATTTATAAGTCGTGCTCATTCTCAACATCATCAAACTCACCCTTCTCACCCTCACAACTCATTTTCAACTCACCAAATTCGCTCTAACAAGTACAGCGTGTTTGTAAACGTAGCTCGATTTGTGGAGAATTTCTTGATAAGTGAGATTGAAAGAGACATGCGAACGGGCGGAGAGGCTCACGTCCAACTCGAAGATCTTTGAGTTGCTGAAAGAAAAAGAAGTTTTTAGCTTTATCTATTGAAGCTTTATCTATTGGAGCTTTATCTATTGGAGCTTTATCTATTGGACCTTTATCTATTGGACCTTTATCTATTGGAGCTTTATCTATTAGAGCCTGATCTATTGGAGCTTTATCTATTGGACCTTTATCTATTGGACCTTTATCTATTGGAGCTTTATCTATTGGAGCTTTATCTATTGGAGTTTTATCTATTGAAACTTCATCTATTGGAGTTTTATCTATTGGACCTTTATCTATTGGACCTTTATCTATTAGAGCCTGATCTATTGGAGCTTTATCTATTGGACCTTTATCGATTAGAGCTTTATCTGATTGGAGCTTTATCTATTGAAGCTTTATCTATTGAAGCTTTATCTATTGAAACTTTATCTATTGGAGCTTTATCGATTGGACCTTTATCTATTAGAGCCTGATCTATTGGAGCTTTATCTATTGGGCCTTTATCTATTGGAGCTTTATCTATTGAAGCTTTATCTATTGGAGTTTTATCTATTGAAGCTTTATCTATTGGGCCTTTATCTATTGGACCTTTATCTATTGGACCTTTATCTATTAGAGCCTGATCTATTGGAGCTTTATCTATTGGACCTTTATCGATTAGAGCTTTATCGATTGGAGCTTTATCGATTGGAGCTTTATATACTTTTTCATCATTTTCCCTACCTTTCTCTAAGCCTGACCGCTGTTTTCTTTTCGCTTTCGGCTACGGCAAATTCATCATCGACTTTCGCTTTCTCTTTGATCGTTCCATATGTGATTTTTCCGTTTCGATCTCTGAAAAAGAGTTTTTAAAGCTTCATTCTATTCTAGGCAATGCATTTTCTAATCAAACTTACAAGTAAAAAGATCTGATGAAAGCATTTGGGGGTAGCTCGACGAGGAAGGTGACCTAAATTCCACCTTCGTTTCCAGATCGTTTCCAGAGCTATTCATTTTCCCTCTGATTGGCAATAGGTGTACAAGGGAAAAACGAGATTCGACCATTTTAATGGCTACTTTTTCAGGAATGGTAGAATTTTGTCAAACTCAATCTTTTGGTACGAAAAACCCCTGAAAAAGTAGCCATTAAAGTGGGGAAATCTCGTTGTTCCGTAAACCCATTGACAGACGGAGAATGAACAGCTCTTTTCGTTACGAACTTCACTACTTTTGATAAACTCACAATGAGATACAGTTTTAAATGAATTTTTTTCCTATTTCCTTACCTTTTCCGTCACATCACCGGTATTCTCAATCTCGCTCACAAGATCCGTGCTGGCAAAGCAACTTTGAATCTCTGACAAAGCATGGAGGTAACGAATTACCGTCTCTGAGTGCTGAAATGAAAATTTTAATGATTTAAAATGGAACTTAGTAGCTAGAGAGGACACAAAAGTCGCTTTTCAGGTTTTTAGATGATAGCTCTAGATTTAGGCTTTTAGATGCTAGCTCTAGCTTCAGGCTTTTAGATGCTAGCTCTAGCTTTAGGCTTTTAGATTCTTGCTCTAGCTTCAGGCTTTTAGATGCTAGCTCTAGCTTTAGGCTTTTAGGTTCTTGCTCTAGCTTTAGGCTTTTAGATTCTTGCTCAAGCTTCAGTTTTTTAGATGCTAGCTGCTAGGCTTTTGGCTGCTGTTGGCTTTTGATGTGCTCTGCTTCAGGCTTTTAGATTCTTGTTCTAGCTCAGGCTTTTAGCTGCTAGCTCTAGCTTCAGGCTTTTAGATTCTTGCTCTAGCTTCAGGCTTGATTTGCTTTGATCTGTCTTTAACCTTAATCTGGTCTTCGATCTGTCTTTTAGCTGGTTTTGAGCTAGAGATTAACAAAGCAATCAAAGCTATCAAGACTCTAGATTCACCAGTAATCAGAAATAAAGGAAATAGATAGATCGATTTAGATTTAGATAAGTAGATTTCTCGATGGGGATTGAACCCTGGACCTTTTGCTGAGCTTGCAGCTGGAAATTCCTCTAACCATTGAGCTGTTTGGTTGAGCATTGACCTTAACTTGACGAGAGAAAGAAGGAAAGACAAGCTTAGATCAGGAAAATCTTGCCATCTTTCAAATAATTATAAGCAAAATTTATTTCAAACTAACCACAAGTCCCAGTAACGGCAATAGTTGAAGAAATAGCATCGTTTTGTTTCCAGTAATAGTCTCGAATAGCTTCGTATTTATACCAATGAGTCAAGGTTGTTGAGGTTGATTCCAAATGAAAGAATTAGTCAGTCTAATGGAGTTGTTTTGAGAAAAAGAGAAAGCTTCAGCCAGAGGGAGAGCGAATAAAAGTGAGTGAGAGATTGTCATCGGCGCTGTCTGTTCTCTTTCTTTTCTTGGTGAGTCACAGCGTCACCAATCCAAGCAAGGGCATTTACCGCCGTGTTTATTGTTTTCTAAACGAGTTTTTGAATCTAATTGTCTTGTTGTAGAATACTTAGCTTTTGAAGAGAAAGGAATCTGATTTTTCTTTAGAATTTAGGCTTAAAATGGATATAAACTAAGAAAAATGAAAAAGATACAGAAGATAGAAGAGGACTGGGCATTTTGAGCATAAAGTGCATGGAAAGGAAGAAGAAGGAGAAGAAGAAGAAGAAGAAGAACTAGAACAAGAACATGGACAAGAACTAGAACTAGAAAAAGAACAAGAACAAGAACTAGAACATGGCCAAGAACAAGAACAAGAACAAGAACTAGAACATGGACAAGAACAAGAACTAGAACAAGAACATAAACCAGAACAAGAACTAGAACTAGAACATGAACAAGAACAAGAACAAGAACATGGACAAGAACAAGAACTAGAACTAGAACTAGAACAAGAACTAGAACAAGAACTAGAACTAGAACTAGAACTAGAACATGGACAAGAACAAGAACTAGAACTAGAACTAGAACAAGAACTAGAACAAGAACTAGAACAAGCGCAAGAACAAGAACAAGCACAAGAACAAGAACAAGAACAAGAACAAGAACTAGAACTAGAACTAGAACTAGAACATGAACTAGAACAAGAACTAGAACTAGAACAAGAACTAGAACAAGAACAAGAACAAGAACAAGAACAAGAACAAGAACAAGAACAAGAACTAGAACTAGAACTAGAACTAGAACTAGAACAAGAACTAGAACAAGAACAAGAACAAGAACAAGTTAAAAAGCTAGATTAGACTTTAGACTTGATAAAACTTGTTTCAAGTTGCGTTCATTTGAGGAAAGAGAAAAATGAATGATTAGGCGTTGCCCTGGTGAACAATGGCAATCCACTTCAAAGAGAAAAGAAAGAAAAAGGGAAATTTATTTATGATAGTTCAAAAAAAGATTTTCTAAAGAAATTATAGAGTTTTTAGAACGTATAAGTAAGCAAAGAAGCTAAAAACAAAACAAATAGCAAACCCGAAGAAAAATAAAAGTCCCAATCAGTGCCAAAATTTTGCAACACTGACGCTTTGGGAAAATCAAGCTATTCAATACTGAACACTTTTTGCTTTCAATTCCCCTTTTGCCTTTTTGATTTGTCCGTATATTTGTCCTTATCTTTTTCTATTTTCTTTCCACCTCTTTCCCTTTCTCTTTCAAGCAAAGCCTCCAGCAATCGATTTGGAAATTCTTTCTTTGACACTGTCTATCAATTCTGAGAGATTTGCTTGCAAAAGATTAGTCACATTCAGCAGAATTCGGCAGAATGGCAAGAATTTTATAGAATTTTGAAACGGAATCGAGATTTTGCTTTCAACATCGAATGGAACGAATGTAACAAAAAAGGAGAAATGAAAATCAGCGAGAAATCAGTAAGGGATTCTACAGAGTGGCTACAGGGAACTCAGTAAGGGATTCTACAGAGTGGTTACAGAAAAATCAGTAAGGGATTTTACAGAGTGGCTACAGAGAAATCAGTAAGGAATTCTACAAACTGGCTACAAAGAAATCCGTAAGGGATTTTACAAAGTGGCTACAGAGGAATCAGTAAGAGATTCTACAGAGTGGTTACAGAAAAATCAGTAAGGGATTTTACAGAGTGGCTACAGAGGAATCAGTAAGAGATTCTACAGACTGGCTACAAAGAAATCCGTAAGGAATTCTACAGAGTGGCTAGAGAACTCAGTAAGGCATTCTACAGAGCGACAAGCAAGCATTTGCAGTCGTTTTATTACCAAAGTATCTACAGGGTGCTTCATAATTATAGGTGCAGATAAAAAGCTTTGTAGATAGACAAAATTAAACTTTAAAGAGGAAACTTTTCTTTTAAAAGCTTTATTTGATCTAAATGAACAACAAATTAACAATGAAATTCAAAGCAATGGTCATTTTTTAGCCAAGCATGATGTCAAGTGTTTAGAAAAGTCGTCCACGGTGGCGAGGTAGGTTATCGAACATTTGATAAGCGCCCCGCTCCTTTTTCCATTGGCAATCTAACTTTGAACCCAAATATCTTGGTGTTGGGCTGTCCAATTTAAAGCTTCTTGGTATCATTAGATTCGCCAAGTCTTTCTCTGTCGAATGGTACAAAAACTATTGCAATTGAACAGCTCAACACCAAGATATTTGAGCTCAATTTGAGGCCATTGGCAATCTAACTTTGAACCCAAATATCTTGGTGTTGGGCTGTCCAATTTAAAGCTTCTTGGTATCATTAGATTCGCCAAGTCTTTCTCTGTCGATTGGTATAAAAACTATTTAAATTGAACAGCCCAACACCAAGATATTTGAGCTTAAAGTTAGATTGATGATGGGAAAGGGGGACGGTGGGACACCTTTTATACGTGCCCCGCCCCCTTTCCCCTTTACCATTAGCAATAACTGTAAACTCCAATAATTTGGTGTTGAGCTGTCCAATTGAAATTGTACCAATCGATAACACTTCTCGAAAAAGACAATGGCTCAGCAATTCCAACTCCAAAGTGCTGTTGTCTTGCTGGTGGAATCTCAACGGAATTGTTTATTTCGAATTATTAGAGACAGGAAAAACGATTGATATTGTTTTACCGTTTGATAAACGGTTGATATTGTTTTATTTACCTTGTTTTATTCAACAGCTCAAGAAGGTTGACCAAATTTTGCGTCGAAAGGGTTTAAATCCCTCGACTGTCAATTTTCTCAATGTCAATGTCTCTTCAATGTCAAGCTCACACGGCGAAAGCTTCTTTTATGGAGCTAGAGGAATTAGGATGAATGGTCTTACCGCATGCAGAGACTTCTCTACGATTTCAAGATGAGCAAAGACGCTGTCGAATCACATCGTGATCTCTGTTCCACTTTTGGAGAACAAGTTATGACTGAAAGATCCTGCCAGCACTGGTTTGCCCGATTCCGAGAAGGCATTGAAACTCTGAAAGACGAAACACATGGGCATCGCTCGGCAGCGGTCGATAATAATGAATTAGAACGACTTATTGAAGCTTCAATGAAGCCGATTCAATGCAAACAACACCAGAGCTTGCCAAACATCTCAATCAACAATTGTCCGCCATTTGGAAATAATCGAAAAGACGTATGAACTTCTTGTATAAACAAAGCTTTTTGTATGAACATATAAACAAAGAAAGCTTCTTTTTATGAAGTTAGAGGAATAAAAAATACCGACTGGGGCTACCAGTGGTGAATTTATCGCATACACGAAATATATCAATCACAATACAACGACACACACAATACTAGGCTATATCTTAACTTAACCCACGTCATGACAGACGGCTCCCTAACCCTAAGCTCAATGGGGAACTAAATAGCTTTTTTGGTGGTGAAGGGAAGATGACGATGAAGGAGTGGCTTGTCACTTTAAAGAACTGGGGCCACAACCACCAGACTGCCCTCCAGAAAACCTCTCAACCCGAAGGGAAAGGAAATCCGAAGGGGGTGACCATGTCGCATGTGGGGTTCGAACCCTCGACCTTCCCCGATTAAGATAAAAGACACTTAACCAGTCAGTCACACGTGCGGAATGGCTGAAATGTTTTACCGCATGAACCATATAGTCCAGACTTTTCATCATCTGATTTTCATCTCTTCAAATCGATGCAACATTCCCTTGCGAATTGCCAGTTTAAGAATCAAGAGGTGCAAGAGATCGAGATTTGGGTGATCACAGAATCACAGAATCAAGAGCTCTTCGACAAGAAGCTCTGCAAACTAAAGCAACGTTGGAGGGATGTTATAGATAACGATGTTTGTTGTTGTTTAGAATTGAATTGTATTGTGTTCAACCGGATTATTGTTTGGAAGAAATTGTTACCCAAAAGTAATTTTAATTGAATTTAATGTTTGTAAAAAGGCGAAATTTCTTTTGCATCAATCTAGTAAAGTCAGATTCGGCTACATGCAAAGCAAGGACATGCTAGAGCCAAGGCAGAAGTATAAGCCAAGCCAGGCTAGGCCCTGTAATCTGTAATCTAAAGCAACATTGAAAAGATTTTATAGAAAACGATGGTGCTTATTGTTTGGAATAAATTGTTACCCAATAAATTATTACCCAAAACGAATTTTGATTGAATTTAATGTTTTGTAAAAAGGTGAAATTTCTTTTGCATCAATTTAGTAGAAGTAAATAAAAAATTGCCAGTAAGTACTGGCTTAGTAAGTACCAGTAAGTACTTAGGATACACCTTGCTGAGATTGCTGACAATTCTAACTATTTTAGACGTCTAGATTCCGGATTCCAGAACCCGGAAGGAAGCCGATTTTTAAAGTTTAAACAAAGTAATCCTTGACAAAACGTTCTTGTATAATTTCAAGGTCTTACAAAACCATTTTCCCCTTTTCTTTTCCCTTATTTTGTTAGGTTTTCGACATTTATTTGACAATACACAAATGTACAAGACAAAGACCAACAATTTCGAGTTCTTAACGAGATGGATCAGGGGGCTGGGGTTGTTGTTGTTGTTGTTGTGGTGGTGGTGGTTGTGGTAGTTGTTGTAGTGGTGGTTGTACTCGTTGTCGTTGTTGTCGTTGATCCTGTCGATGTGCTGCACAAGTTGCCTGAAATTTTTTGTGGTTAATAAAAACCAGAGCTTTCTAAAAGTCAACTCACATGATGACGCGCAGTGTAGAGCACGAGTCGTAGAGTTGTAGGCGGTGTTTGTGCAGAAACCATCGGCCACCCATTGGGCACAGCTAAAGATAGCATTTTGGGGATATTTTTG